AGAAACAGCGTCGTCACTGCCAACAGACCAGCGATCACATCCAAGTCAGGAGGGAAAAATTCAACGAGGTCAAAGTCGCTTCTACAGGACTCACAGCAGACTGAAAGACTCTGACATGAAAGGATTGACCCTAACTCATGAATGAAGTAACAGGACTGTACCTGTTCAATACTAACTGCAAAACAAATGATGAAACCAAGGCTACATAAATCAGTTCATACTCCGACACTGAGGCTTTTGTAGAGGACTAAAATCTCTCAGTGGACCATTATGGTAAATCCAGTTATAGAGAATGTTTATTCAAGCCACATGTAAATTTATGTACAGTATTATTTACATGCAGATTTTAGACTTATGATTATATCTAGCCTTAGTGCTTCATGTATGAATAACAGCACTGATGAGTGCAACCTGTTGAAGCTTTAATACCTCACGGGGAAAGATAAGAGGGAAACTGTGTCCCTGAGTTAGTTTCCAAAAAGCCTCAAAGGTGCAAAGACTTTTTATAAGAAAATAAATAAAAAAATGCACGAGTGTGCCTCTGCAAGTACAGCATCAGTAGCTGATTATGAGACAATCAAGTGCATGTTGTCACTGCTCGGCACCCATGTGCCCTGATGACATCATACCCGAGTAAAATGGGCCCCAGTGTGCGTCTTACAGTCATGTGGAGAGTCAAACATCGGAACTCTTTTATCTGGAAATCATTGCAGCGTTAAGTCATGTGGAGGGCAGCTGTTGTCCTAGAACACTGACAAATACCAGATGATTCCCATCATGCCACACAGAAGAGGTCATTATTAGTGCTATTATTATTGCAGTGCTCATGCTGTTGTAAGTGGTCTCCACTGTGTATAAAGTATTAACTTGTCTCTTACAACGTAGCTTCTATTTTTCTAAGAAAATATCACAAAACATGTGAAGTTTGTTTCATCTTCCAACATGTGTGTTCATTTATTATTTTCAAGTATTTCATCTCTATCAGTGAGTGGTCATGTTACATAGATAGTTCCTGTGGCTGGAAATTACGTCTGAGAGCTGCCTAAGGAATACATTTTCTATAATGGATGCATTTAAAGAAAAAAAGACATTTTGTACAGCCGGATGTTTTTAAGAAGTGAATGTTTTTAGCAGAGATTAAATTTCTTTAACTACATAATGATCCTAGAAATTATAGAGAACTATTAGCTCGTACCATTCAGTATAGTAAACAGATAAATCAGAGTCAAATTCAGGATCTCTGAATTGATTTAATGTGGTTAATCGACATAATCTGTGAGTGGGTGATGCAGGCTAAAAGATTCTCATAATGAGAAGTGAAGAATGTGGGGTGCAACACAACAAGACAATGTGTTCCTAATATTTTATGACGTCTGGAGCTAGAGGTAGCTGGAAGCACTCAGTAATCACATAACTGTGACAAATCCTGTGACGCTAGTACATGAAGAAAGTACTATTTACACAATTTGTGGCTCTTTAAAAGTCAGACATGAGGAGAAACTGCATTTTGTGCCAACTAGTAGCCTCCAGAGAGGGAATACATGCATTGTGTATTCATAGTACTATCATTTGGGAAAACCTGCATGCTACAATTGAATGTAAGCAAACTTTAAAACCTAAATGAATCAATGTTTTTAACACTAGCAGTGGTGATGATACACGCACAAGATGAATCCATTTGATCTGGTGCTTTTTCAACTCTCACTGCATCGTGACCAAGATATGGTCTCGTATATTCTGTTTTCTTAACCAAACTAGTAGGAAAAGTGTGCTCTTTTAAAACCAAATTTTTTGCTAAACAACCAGACAATGTGTTTAATGACACTGAAGCATTTTTAAAAGGCCAGGATTTCTGTGTAATATATTAATGTTCGGACCAAATACTTCCTTTACCACCGTATTACGAGTTTGCATCAGCTCTCAAATCAGCTGATCGTGTAGTATGTGACTCATTAACTGATAGTATCTATCTATCTTCACGCCATCTCTACCTGGCCTTCAGGTACAGCTGAAAGCATCTGTACTGGAGGGTCTGAGCAGCTTCGCAAGTATCTTCATAGAGGGACCACCAAGCTAAGACATCAAGAAGTAATTTGAGGTTGAAGATAAAATGTGAATATGGGCCCTGTTGTTTTGAATTACATTTATACTGTACGTATTTGTTGAGAGTATGCAGTAATAAATATTATTTTATAGCATTTGTGTGGTTTGTCATTTACTGAGCAAGAGGAGCATGGATTTATGTTCCTAATGACATATTATTATAAATATATGTATAATGTGCCATATATAAGTGGGATGTTTGGAAAGGAGTTTTGACTTACTTTTCATGTAAGTCTTTAACGCACTCCCTTACATAAATACATTTCTTCTGTTCTATCAGTGGTATAAGATTACTCTGCTTACACATGCTCCAAAATTACTCACCTTCCCCTTTAAAATCAGAGTGCAGCTATGGTATGGGAGAGCTGTGCAATCTTGACAGGAACGAACACAAATCATCTCGGTTATTCGCAGCCTGTCAGAGGTTTCATATTGTGTCAGTCTTTTTTTTTTTTAGGTTACATTTGGTTTATATCAGATTCAAGAGAAATATCATCAAATGGAAACAGATGTCAGATGTGTTGAGCCTTTTCCTAGTTTGAAATTATTGCTTCAGACAGCTAGACATGAGGCTCCAGGGGTCAGTTCCAAGAGGGTTGACAGAGATAACTGCTGTTGAAATCTCTGAAAATTTCTTTTATTTCAGTTTATGTTACAGAGCTGTTTTTTCACTCTGCAAAGCTGATTCTTGGAAACAGCTTCAAGTTCCGTAAGTCAGGAAACATTAGCGGTTGCTTTATTTTCTTACTCTGCCACAGAGTAGTTTATAATAGCTTGCTTCTGAGGGACCCGTGTCCATGTTACAGAGAAAACTATTGAGGAATATTGGAGAGAAGAATTTTGTTAAGAGTTCATCTGACAAACCACGCATAACTGACTCCAGTCAATAAACTATGTAGCTGAAGCATGAAAGATATGCACTACTTCATTAATAAACCTCATTAAAACAACACGTCTGTAACTGACAATTTTACAAGAACTGCAATCTAGATATTTGAAAAAAGGAGAAAGAGAAAACAAAGAAAAGCTCCAGTTTGGAGGAACTTCCCTTCAAACTGGTAAACCAAACATACTCTGAATGTCACTGCAATATGTTTCAAATAAAACTTGGTATGAGCCGGGACTTCATCCATAATTGTAGTAATTTCGGAGCTTCATGACAAGAGTGACATTTTGTACAAAACCACATCAAGCAGCTGGTGCTCCAGTCTCCCACTGCTGCTGTAAATAAAGGATTTTCTGAACAAATATTTTAGGTCTCGAGCCCATGCTTGATGTGGTCTTGGATATTTGATGACCCTGAGTCATAGTTTGTATTTGTATGCCAGTGTGATTTTGTTTGTGATGTTCTCCCTGCCTGCCTGAGGGTGGTGCTGTTCACCCGTTGTGCGTTTTCTTGAAGTATGTTGAGTTGAGGTCGCACCTGCCCATGCCGGCTTCGCTTAGCCGTTTTCCTGGCTCCCCACCAGAACGCGCCATGCTGCTCTGCCAAGTGATTGCCGATTTAGTGTTGGACTGATTATTGATTCCTGATCTTTGTTGTAAATAATGTTAATATTGACTAAAAGAGCGGCCCTGGTAGCTGCAGCTGTTTTGTTGATGCATACTTTAGTCTTTTATTTAGTTTAGTTGTCTTGTTTCTTTGTTGTCTAGATAAGTTAGTTGTGTTTGTCATTTTGACTTTGCTCGACCTGACGCCTATTTCTACCTTTATTGATGAATAGATCAGTTCTGTTGGACTGCAGTCTGCTGTGGCACTGGTCATCCTTGGGGGTGGGGAAAGGAGGGGAGTCATGTTATGTTCAGGTTCCCTTTAGGCCATGCATAATATGGAGTTTGTGAATTTCCCTTACACAGCCAGCACGATCATTTGCAGTGTGTCAAAAATCATTTTGAACACTTATATTGGCAGTTTGACTCCTGTCATCACGGCAGTATCTCTTCAATGCTGATCCCAGGTGACCTATTACATTTAAGTGACTTTTAAAAGGAGGATTTAACACTTTCTTTGTTTCAAACATAAAAGTTATTCAGCAATGAAATGCATCCTTATTCAGTCCAGTACACTCAGGGGTTTTGCTGCTACAGCCTCACTTGTTATAATAATGATCAGTAATTTATGTTAGCAAACTTTTGATAGATATTGCTGAGTGACTGACACTACAGAGAGGCAAATTTTGTTCCTTCTGACAAACCCCGGCAACATTTCCCCAGTACCAGTCCTTGTGCTGAGCTAAGTTAAGCCAACCAACCGCTGGCTGGCTGTAGCTCCACATTGGAGCGGTATCAATCTTCTCTCAGTAAGAAAGCGAGTAGGCATACTTTCCCAAAACGTCAAACTGATTTAAAGACGGCAGATCAATCGGTTCTGTCATATGAATAAAAAAAATTATATGTTTAAACAGATACTATTTCCCATGGTGCATATGCAGTTTGTCAGATATGAGGCATAGCTCCTGTTTTTCCTCAAAATCTCTTTTGTACGCACAGAGGCAGCCATGCGTGAACATGTGGCTGACAGAGGGATATAATTAACCTCAAATAACTTTCACCTCATTATTTACACTTCTCTCTCTTTGTCCTCTTGGCACTGTGTGAAGTCCCTCGCACCACATTCCTCTGTTAATCAGGACATTCTAGCTTCCACTTCTTCGTCAAACACGGCTTCAAAGGACAGATGAAAACAATCTGGTGTTTGAGAGACTCATCGTTTTAGGTTTGGACATCCTTCAAACAGTGCTACATGAGTAATATGAAAATAAGTATTACAGCACAAGTAAAATGGCTGGGTGATTGCTGTTCAAAAATCTTTCCATGAAATCCCCCCCCCCCCCCCCCAAAAAAAAAAAAGAAAAATGAAAGTCTTTGACCAAGTGATTACAATAATTCAGTAAAGATGAACTCAAGAACACACATTTATCATACACAATAACTGAATTTGAACACAATACAAAAAGAAAACTATACAGATGTTTGAATGTGACATGATCCAACTAGTGTGAGGGGTAGGAGAAGTTGCCATACCGCTCTCTAGCTCGTAGACATGTACAAAAAGGACATATCATGGAAACTAATTTTTACAGTTTGGAGGAACTTAGTCCGACAGCTCCACAGTCCCATATACATGATGCTCATCATTCCATGGGCTGCTCCTGCCTCTCTTTGAACTCATTAACTCTGGCCTGGAACAGAATAAAAGAACATGGAGTCAGAGCTGGAGCCGAAACAGCCTGGAGAGTGTCACATTAAATAGATGCCAACTGAGTCACCTTTCACTATGGGACTTTTATACAAGAGGCAACCATATAACTCAGGGTTTCTTCCTATATCACTCATGGAAATAAATTCATTCCATATGTGGAAATTATGGTTCTCTTCCTGCTCGTCTTCAGCTGTAGAGAGGTTAGAGCCCTGGGTTAAACGAGGGCCCATCAACAAGGCAGAGGCCGCTGACAGCTGACACAGGACGATAACAAAAGCCTACCATACTGCTAAGCATCAGCTGCAAACCAGTTTTGCTTGTAAGTCGACACAAAATTTGAGTTTTTGCATTATCCGTAAAATGGCCCAAAGCCGGGTCGCATTATGTTCCACCTGAAGCCACTTATATGAAAATAATCCTCACATCGACATACATTTATGCATCTGAAATAACTTATGTGGTCATGTGCTGACTGACTGACTGATGAGTGTTCGAAATGGGCACGCAGGCTTACCTGAAAGGTGTTGAGAACATGTTGACAAACATCACTGAGCTCATTCAGACCCCTCCGTAGAGGCTCTGTGGCTGCAACTCCCCCTGAAACAGACAGCAGGTACCTCTGAAGAAATATTACTATCGTGGTGGTAAAATGTATAAAAAACAACCGAGGTCGTTTTTCACATGCAGCATGTACTTCCCAAACATTTAAACCTTAGTTTCATCAGTTCAGAAAATATTTTTCTTGTAGCATTGGAGAGTCAAGGTGCTCTCCGGCACATAAGGTGCACAGTGATGAGTTTTTTTTTTTCTTTTGGAGAGCAGCAACATGAAGCATGGTGTCCATGAACCATGATTTGCATATGTGAGGCTCATGAACACAGATGTTAACCAGCTCCAGTAAGTACTTGTTTTACTCTGGGTTTTTTTTTTTTGTTTATCTCTTACTGATCATTCTGCATTGTGCCTTTGGAGTTATCTCAGCTGGGCGCACACGTGTAGGGAGAGCGGCCACAATATTAAGTTATATTAAGTCTCCATTTGTAGACAGTTTGACTGACTGTGACTGGTAAGTATCTAAACTCTTTGCAGCTTTATGTAAATCAAAAAGTCTTAATCTTTGGTCTTCTGAGACCTCTCTTGTGCGAGGCATGGTCCACATCAACAGATGTTTCTTGTAAACAGAAAACTCCAAATATTCCAGTGTTTTGTTTTTTTTTTTTTTATATAAGTGAAAGCAGCCCTCACCCACACCTCCAAATTTGTTTCACTGATCGGACTCCAGGTTTGATACCTTTGATTGACTTTTGTTAATGTAAATAGCCGAGGGGTTCACAAACTTTTTTGTGTTTTTTATTCAATATGAAAAAGAAGAATACAATGATTTGTATGTTATAAGTCCAAATATTTTGTTAATTTAGCAAATGCTACAGCTTATCACTGCCAGTGACTCAGCAGGTCAACAGGAGATGGAGAATGAATAAGCCCCAAAAAGAGTTACTTGTTTTTTCAGGTTCTTATCATTATAAATAGAATACTTAGCTTTTTTTGGATGTTAAATTAAATCAAACAAGCGATGGTGCTTGAGTACCTTGTTATGGTCATCTAATTGATTAATCAAAAAATGTGATACTAAAACCAAATGAAAATGAATGAAAAGGATTGTCAGCTGCAGCCCTAGCCATCTTCTCCCAATTGATGTGGAGAACTTTCACCCACCAATTTTCAGTGTGGTCATGGTGGGGAACAACAATAACAGATATATCTATAAATACTGCTGAGTATCTGAAAGCACAGAGGAACCAGGGTTTTTCCTAGTGCCTGAAAGGTAATCGTGTCTTGCTGTGATGAAGCTTTGAGGAAAGATCCTCCAGGCATCCTGAGACTTAGTTCAACAACAAAAACAAAGTTGTTTTCTCTGTCTTGCAGAGTCATTTCATGTGATGGGGCTGCTGCTATCCTTTGGCACTTTGTGCAAAGCGGCTGACATTAGATTTTTTATAACAAGAGAAAAGATTATAGTTCCCTGTGGACAAGAACAAGAGGCTGTGTATGTGCATGTGTGTTACTGAAAGTCCGTCAGTGGCTTTTCTTCTTGGGCTGAGTGGACAAAGTGAATGCACAAGACTCCAGTCAACATGTTTACATCTTAACAAGAGCGCCTGAAAATGCTTAACCCGAAGCCTCCTACACGTGTACACTACCAATTAAAAGTTTTCCAACATACCCATTTTCCAGTTTTTATTGAAATTTACAGCAGTTCAAGTCCGATGAATAACCTTAAATGGTGCAAAGGTCAGCAGTAAACTGTCCAATGAGAGAAAAAACAAGACTAAGACTTTTGACTGGTAGTGTATGCACACATAAACAAACCTTGGTTGTTAGAGGAAGAAAAATTAGATGATGTGGTGGTAGTTTACAGGGTTTCTCTCACCTCGTGTTTGAATGCGAAAGTTGATCTTGCTCTCAGATGGATGGGTGATAGTGTAGCCACAGAAGTCAACATCCACACTGATGGAAAACAGGAAAGTGAAAGTGAGATTGACATCACTATCATCACTGTTTGCCTTAAAATGGGTGGAGGTGTGATTACAGGTTGTCAACTATCAACTCATCAACTGACGGAACAAAAACAGGTAACAAAGAGCAACCACAAGAGTCCCTTGTTAATATGATCATCACAAATTGTCACAATGACCTCAGTGAATTGTCAGGGGGGAAAAAAACAGTCCTCTCCAGCTGCAATCGCAACACAAATGGCACAAATTAAGCATCAGTCATATTCTTTGTACATGCGATAGAGGGTTTTTTTTAAGAATACAAATAGAAAAATAGTTCAAACCCTATGACCATGACATGTTGGTTTAAAGCAACAGTTGGAAAAAAAAAACACTCAACTGTTTCATGATCATATATCTGAGGGAGTTTCCCAGTGTATGGTCCTCATCATGCAGCACAAATGTCACACAGCCCTCATCTGCCCCATCAGCTTGGACCTAAAACACAAGAAATGTTTATTAGAACATTAAAAACATTATCCAGCTCAGTCCCTGGAGATAAGTGAGTGGGAAAAATAGGTCACACTGAGAGGGAACTAGTATGCATTGCCAGCGAATTCAACACTTTTGAGCTCACAGATACTTATTGACAATCGTCAGTTGAACATAGTGAACATCATGCTAAGAGACTGAAGGAACATTTGGGTCTGTTTAAAGGCTGCCCCCCACTGGAGAAGCTCTAAGCCAACTACGGACTGAAGAGGAAACCGATATTGAGTACAGTGGTTCACCTTACAGCTGACGTTAACCCCACATAACAGCACACATCATAGTCCACAGATAATGCTGCATTAAAGAGAACAGAGAACAGCTTTGAACGTAGTTTGGGTTTCAGGTGTTTCAGCTGTTTTCTCATAGCTAGCCACTGTGGCTACCCACGTGTGGAGTTTGAATGTGGTCGAAATGCTACCATAAGCTTCTTTAGTTGATTTTTTCTGAGCAGTGTTAAACAACTGTAAGGAAATATTAGCTGTATACAATATAAAAAAAAAACAAAGCATTTTCGCGTCTTACTATCTCCAGTACTGGTTTCTTTTCGCCTTCTCCAGCCATGCTTCAACATGCCGACTTGGTCCGTCAATACAAACGTCGTGGGCTTTTGGTCCTCTCCGCTGTCTGACAGGCAAGAGGAAGCGCAACGGGGACTTATCTTTGCGCTATGGGGATTTAACCTTGCCCCATAAAAGGTGTTTTTTTTTGTCTATATTTGTACAAAATATGTAACAGGAGGTGTTATTATGGCAGTATACATGAATAAAATATTCAGAAGGATAAGAGAGAGGTACAATAAAATTGTCAAGTGATCCACTTGTGGCAGTCACTAGGCCAGACTTTTAAAAGTTTAGATATACAACCTGGGCCACTTTTCTGAAGTTAATATATATATATATATATATATATATATATATATATATATATATATATATATGTTTGAGCTGAGTTTGACAACAACTTGACAACTTTTTGACAGTGACAGATGGAGATAAGCTTATGCCAATGGAGGTGTGAGCAACATGAAGGTGAAGCAGCAGTTAACTTTATGTAAATTGTTTCATGTAAACAACATGAAAACATTAACCAATATATTAAGCAATATATTGATCACGATTGCTATGCTAGGGGATTGAATAAAGTTAAGAGATACCAAATATAATAATTCATAAACGGTTTCCCTTTAAAAAAAATATATTTTTACTAGCTCCAGTTGTTGGCTGGCTCTTATGTCATGCTGCTTTCAGTGGGCTTATAAATGTAATGTATATGGTATTGATATAAGGTATTATCTTAATCTTATTAAGAATCTATTTCTGTACTGTGAAATATAACTGAGTCATCCATGGACATCACGCTAGTCGCCTGTCAGACCTTAGCGAGGGCTTAATAAACATGATTCATACAGACTACCGCCATGACGTAACGTAAGTATGAAAACATGTGACGACAAGTCTACATAAGAGGAAGTTGAAAAGTGTATTTCGAAAGGCGAAACGATACAATTGACTGCGAAGGGCAAGGGATGTGGTAAGAACTACATTACCCAATAGGAGAGTGAATTGGTTTCCGGTCTGGAGGTCTGGGTGATTTGCAAAGCCGAAGTCACTCGGAAGGGATTAGCTAGCTTGCTAGCAGCAGAAACGTCTTCAGATGTTGGAATTTGCGCTAAATGAGCTACTTTGATCAGTGCTGACATATCAAGGTATTGGATTTATTATTATACATTACTGTTAATAGCGTTAGCTCCGTAGCTATAAACGTTAATTGTTACTATGTTAAACAGCCAACCTAACGCCGTTATGTACATTGGTGAACAACATTATTAGCTTGCTAGCTTGTTGTTTGCCAGCCACCTTAATCTTGCTTTCCTTTTCTCGTGACAGCTAGGACCATATAAGTAGAATTGGTTCAGGGCCTACTAGTACTTGGCTTTCTCTTAGTTACACACATTTACTCACACAACTTCAGCTCCTTCATCTCTCTCTTATCTGTAACATCAACATCAAATGTTTCACCAGAATCAGTTTTTGTTCATCAATCCTCTCTTTCCTCAGCCCATCCTTCTGGCCTCTGGCCCCACCAGTAACATCTCACTCTTGTTGCTCTTGTGTTGCCAGCTGGTATTAGAGGTGAAATCCCAGCTGTTGCCATGGCAATCCTTTTTGCTGTGGTGGCTCGAGGAACCACCATCCTGGCCAAACATGCATGGTGTGGCGGGAACTTCCTGGAAGTGACTGAACAGATCTTAGCCAAAATCCCCTCAGAGAATAACAAGTTGACTTACAGCCACGGCAGGTAGGACTAACACATACTTGCACACTTCCATGCACATCTACACACCTACATCACACAACTGTCAAGCTGTGACTACAGTTCATCTTTTTCAGTTTGGAAAAAAAATAAATCTTACAGATTTGTACTAGTGCCAGAAAACAGTCTACACTGTGTGATTCGGAGATTATTTCCACAAGGTGTTGATGTAATGCACTCCTACAACACTGTTATATTAACTTAATGCACATTTGGACCCATTTGAAACATTTCCAAAATCCAGGTCATGGTTTATCTGGCCAAATAATTATGTTTCACCTGCAGAAATCTTACTATGTTGTCTGTAACAATTATCTGGAAAAGGACATGTGTGAATTTACATTAAAGTTTCTGAAATCAGATGACTACAGAAAGTGGAGTGTAATGTGGTTATCAAGTGAATATGAACACATTGCAGGTAACCAGTCACAAAAAAATCAGATATGAGAGCTTATGGATGTTGAACCACAGGAAATCACTATCTAAAACAATAAAGTGATATCAAATGCCACCATAATGCGTCTTCATTCAAATGTCTTGGCAGTGACGAGAGTAAGGAAGAATACCATTGGCACTTAGTTTTACAGCCTATTTACTACTGTTTACTTCAGTTAATGTTTACCAACACATTTTGCAGTGCATTAAAAACAATTTAAAATTCAGCTGTGTGTTTTCCACTGTATATATGTAGAACTGACAAATTTCTCGTTTTTCTTTCATAGCTATCTCTTTCATTACATCTGTCATGACAGAATCATATATCTGTGCATCACTGATGATGTAAGTATAATATTTTCATGTCTTTTGTGGTTGAAAAATAGGCCACGTACTCAAGATCCCTTTAAATGGTTTTATTATGCAGAATGGAGCAAGATTTAATCAAGAAAGGCACTTAATTAAAATTTTGTAACTCTTCATATAAACAAGACCTTAGAAGTAAATGTAAGCCCCCAGCCACCAGAAATGGACAAATATATAATTTTACTGCAAGTTAGGGCTGCCAGGACCTGCAGGTTATATGATGGAAGGGTTTGGTCATTTTTTATTTTTTATACACATAAAACTGGCCCATAAGAACAGGAAACCACAACAGTACACTCACTGACACATTGTTACAACATAGACAAAAGCCATTTTTCATTTCACTAGATCTTTAAATGAATGTCTATTTATAATTTATATATGTTTAATCCTTGTGTGCCAAAGGACTTTGAGAGGTCACGTGCATTCAGTTTCCTTAGTGAAGTCAAGAAGCGTTTCCAAACAACATATGGGTCACGTGCGCAAACAGCCCTGCCCTACGCCATGAACAGTGAGTTCTCCTCAACACTGGCAGCTCAGATGGTGAGTATGACAAGAGCCTGAGCATATTGAGCAACATTTTGTTGTGAAGGCTCTTGTGACTGCTTTCTACTTCTGTAGTCTATAAAAAAACACAACACATATACAGATTTAGTAATCACAAAATACACTTACATGTCCTTGTCATTTCCCTCTTTTCCCCTACCCTTCTCTGTTTTTATCTCTATTTGTAGAAACACCACTCAGACCCACGCGGATCAGATCGTGTCACTGAGAGTCAGTTGCAAGTGGATGACCTGAAGGGCATTATGGTCCGCAACATAGGTCAGCTTCTCACGAGTCTCCTCATACAGGGATGACTAGTACATGGTCGTTATTGATATGGAGCTATACTAATGTCCAATGTGATAATTTGATTGAATCAGAAACAGCTTTCTGTGTGACCGTGCATATTTTCACTCTTAAATGCAGTGTGTTGTGTTAGCATCAGTGACCTCTTCAGTATCCAGTGCCAGTGAAGCACTGGTATTTATTGGCCATAATGCCCAAAGCAAATGTTCTGGCCAAATAATTATATGATATTTTAACATTCTGTCTCAAATGTCAGTCCAATTTAAACCACTATTTGATATAAATCTCATTACACTGGAACTTTTGTGTATCCCAAGACAACTTTGGCTCTCTTGTGTCTTTTTACAGACTTGGTAGCTCAGAGAGGAGAGAAGCTGGAATTGCTGATTGACAAGACAGAAAATCTGGTTGATTCTGTGAGTTTAAATGCCAGTTGTTTTGTCCTGTTTGATGCATTATATTTGGCACTGATGTTATTTTCTCTCCCCCCTCCTCCAGTCGGTCACATTTAAGACCACTAGTCGTAACCTTGCACGAGCCATGTGTATGAAGAACCTCAAGCTGACTGTTGTCATTGTGCTGGTGTGCCTGGTGAGTACAGACAGATACTAGTGATATTTGGTGAGATTGTTATTAGCTGGATACAGTGTAAATGTTATATTCAAGGATGGTGGATTAGTTTAGTTCTGTCAATGCTGAGAAAATGCCCTTAGGTTCAAACAATGCATTATTTTTTTATCTTTAACATAAAAGAATAGCTATATTCCTTAGTTACTACTGCTTACATTTTCAGCTATGAACATCAGGCTCCTGTAAAACTTTACCTTACATTATTAATTTACTGAAAACACATTGAATGCATTGATCTTTCCTAAGAGGGCTTGTCAGCACTGTTTGACATTGACTGCAGAAATTTCCCCTGTCTTGCTCACTATATGATTAATCAGACACGTGTACAGGAAGTGAACTTTGTCTCTGTGCTCTTTTCAGGTGGTCCTTTACATTATTGTCTCTGCTGCCTGTGGAGGCCTCAAATGGCCCACGTGTGTCAAATAAGGGGAAACTATGGATAAAAGAGAGGGAGATAAAGGAAAAAAGGATGAGGAGGAGAAGCGCCTGTTCAACTATGCCTGCCAATGGACACAAAAGGAAACACAGCTTTCCTTGCTTTACTTCTCTAGCTTCATCATCCCTAGAAGGCACGTGCTGCTCCTCCTCCTGCCTCCTTCCTCGCCCCCTCTGTGATAGTGTGCACATTGACTTGCCTTCTGGACAGGGAGTCCCACCTCATACCCACACTAATGGACAGCAGCCATGTGGCCTAAAACTGATGTGGAACAATAATCTTGTCTTATTCTAGTCTGGTACATTCATCCTGTCTCATGCACTTAGTGGCCTGATGTATCAGTCTGTGATACTGTCCTGCACCTATCTATGTAATTAATCCATTCAGACTGATACCAGAATGAACCACACAGATAGCAAAAGATTACTTTGTTATTTTCCTGCTTTTCCTTTTATGTCAAAAGAGAAATATTGGACCTGCAGGCATTTAGAGTATATTGCAGATCCATCTAGAGTCTGGTCCTTTATATAACTGAAAACTAATTTTTGACAAAACTGATGCAGTATACAGATTTTCCGATTTACATTACGTTTTATCACCAAGCACAGTAGCATCTTCTAAAATGGTTGTTGTAAAATATGAGATGTGATCATACAAATAAATATTGTATATTTGGTTGATATTACTAATCCAAAAGTCACAATGGATCTTTTAAGTCGAGCCTAATTTTTGAGAAAATCACTTTCTCTTTCCCACCCGTGGACTTGATAGGAGGCTTAGTTTGCCCTTTACCTTTGCTAGGATATTCATTGTGCCCATATGTTCTTTCTGTTAACACAATGCACTTTTTACATTGTACATACATTTGCTTCCTGGTATCATATGGTTTATAACCATGTAATTATTTAATTATTGTACATTCAGATTTGAAATAATAAACTGATGGTATCAAGTGGTTGATCTCTGCAGCTGGAAAACGAAATATTTGGCTTTCATTTCCCCTGCTAAGAGAAGAGCTGAACTGACCGATGAATGCGGTTAGTCTTTCATTAATTGATTGAAATGATTTCAGTTATGATTAGCTGGCTGTTGTAAGTAGACGCCAACTCATCACGCCGTGTCAAAGTTCAAGCAAACATTTGTTATTCACTTGTGCGGGAAAATGTGAGTATGTCCAGTGAATGGCACATGACAGTGAAATTGGTTTGTTGAGGATTCCCCCGAAAAATGAATCAACCAGGTGAAACTAATTGTTCATTAGGACCGTGACAGCGGCGCGCTCCCGTCTGTGCTGCTCGCTCCTTAGACAGGTTAAGTGTTGAGTTTTTACTAGCAAACTACGGTTTACGAATTTAATACCGTAATGTACGTCGGACAAATAGTTGCTGGACAGGTGGTAAGGCCGTTTATCATATTTTTCTCCCACATTACTTTCCTACTTAAGTTGTATACTTGAGGTACCAAAAGGTTAGACCTCCTGTCAACACAAATTAACGTTAGCTTTGTTATTGTTTGCTTGATAGCTAACATAAGCTAATTTAATTGCTTTTTTTGGTCAACTGCTGTTTGCTGCTCTCCATTTTTGTTTTTCAACCGTTGAAATTCATATGTAGTTAGTGTTAGTCCGCTGTGTTTCTAACTATGTTAAAAACTAACCGCTAACTTTAGCTAATACCTGGATATTTTAATATCGTACTCTCTTATTCCCTAATCGTTTAAAGTGTCCCAGAGTTGTTGTGTAGTCTACTGTGTTTTAAACCATTTATGGATGTTAAAGTATTTTCTTTGCTATTTGTAGCTGTATCCTATGTTTACTCCATGTCTAATTATAGACCTAACTGGACTGGAAGAGGCCTCCCACTGGGATTATCTATCACCTCAAGGACAGGGCTCAGTATGTTTGTTGAGTGCATGCATCACTGTAAAGGATAAATAACTAATCACACATCTGACATACCTTTGTTTTTCGCTAGATGGCACAGGGCCACAACTATAGCCTTTTCCAGTTCTTCTTGCTTAGACCAGACTGACTAATATTCTGACTGTTGAAAGACACGGCTGTGCCATTCTTGTGACCGGGCTCATTGGTGTGGTTTTGTGCCCCTGTGCTTTACAGAGGACAGCCTTGTCCTGTGGTATGCTGGCTGGAATCCCCCAGTTTGACCTGCTGCCCTGCTGCAGTGTTGGGTCACTCTGTGCTTGGGCTTTTGTCCCTGCTGCTCATAACTGCTCACTGTGTGATACTATATGTCCAGTCACCCATGCAAAGGCAAGGAAAGGCCATTCAAGGCTGCATGGTGCCCGAGGGCCTTCAGAAATAGTTCTGTTGCACTGTTCTAATGCTCTCAGTCTGACTTTTAAGTGTATAATTCTATTTGAAGGTTGTAACTTGCATTGGAATTCCATAAAGGAAAACAGAGGTACCTTGTGAGACCCTGTATCAAAAAGTTGCATAATTTGTTTACGGTTCATCTGAACCAGTTTCAAAATAATCCCATTTCATTGTTTGACAAGGCAGAATGGTTCTGACTCTCAAACTGCAGGGTCCAATTCACAGCCTGCATCTTGGCCAGGAGAGTTTAAAAGTTTAGAAAACAGCTGGTTTTCTGAATTCTGCTGAAAATTGACATCACTTCTGTATTCTTGTTAAACATCTGCACTTTGCACTAAACAAGATGTTGCAATGCTTAGATTACTTATTAACTAGCCACTAAATTCCTGATTTTACAGGATATAACACTTATTTTTAGAACTCTCTTAGTACCATGATTTACATCTTGTCTCTAGTCAAGATTAGACTGTAGTTTCCAGGGTCAGGACCCTTGTATAGATTAAGCAGAAATAGCATGGGTCTTAGGGGTCTTAGATTGTAGTGTCACACCACTGCTGTAGTGTCAGGATCAAGTGTCGAGTTGTGTGTGTACAACATGAGGCCATGTCATCAGAGAGTGATGTCAGTGAAGGAACATCAGAGAACTTATCAGCTACACCAACATTGCAGTGTTGCATGTGTTGCCACCCAGGAATAAGTGAGTTTCTATACAAGTTGTGGTTGGTTTCTACAGTGTAAAACTGTCATAGTGCAATGTTGTCCTGCACCTAGGCCTCTCGTCATTCTGTTCCCTTTTCACTTATCCCTTACTAAAAAGCCGCCTGATCCATTCCCTCATAAAAGGGGGACTTTGGCTGCTTAGCAACAGTGAATGCCAACTCAGCCTGGTAGGCCATGGCCACTCCCCCTGCACTGGGCTCGGCATGGATAAGGTAACATGTTGCTTTCTTCCTTGCTTGCTCCCACTGTAAACTTGGGAGTGGAACTCTATACTGAGCACAGTCCATGGCTGGGTGTTGACATGCCTGCAGTGGGGAGCAGTGTGCAGCAAAGTCACTGTTGGTGTGTGACATGAGGACTCATAGGATAGAGTGCTGATCCACTGCTGCAATAGGCCTACTGGACATGGTCATGTTACCTCAGCGAGGAGAGGAAAAAACAGAGTCTAATGCCTACACCGGGGGCACACTCAGGCTGTGATGTTACTGATGCACGATTGACTCTGAACACGAGGAGGAAGGAGTGGTGGGACGGGGGCTGTTGGTGTCTGGCTGAAGCAGACTCGCACAACACTGCCTACTCAGTTGGCTGGATTTAGGGCTTTGGAAGGAAAGCAGTAATGAGATTGTCTCTGAGAGAGTAAAATGAGCCGGGTGAACCTGCAAAAACGGAGTGATCTCTGACGTGATACACTAGGCAACAGTGCTGACTGTGGAGGTATTTTCTTCCTCACGGCCATTACTGAATGGAGACAACAAGAGTGGACATATTAAGTTAGTCCGTAATATAGTTCATCACTTTTTTTCAGTGAAAGGTAAGTGTTATAGACATGTTTAAAATTAATTTTTTCTTTGTATTTGTTGGCCCAGTCTCTTGTAGCTTGAATCTTGCAGTTTTATTTTCCCATAAACATTGTTGGGGTCATGGTTTGTCTCAGGTGCAGTTCTTTACATAACAAAACTTGTCCAGTCACGTTTTACCCAGTAAAATCACTCCTCTGCATCATTATTTTATGTGTGATGTAAGATACTGCAGTGGCCTGCAATTGACTGTTCTTGCCAGGGTTCAATGTGCACAGCAGTTTGCCAAGACTTTGATTGTAGAGATTGTAATGTACAGCAAGGTGTGTTGTTTCTCTGCCTGTTAAACAAACATTATTCATCCAAATTTGGACTGCTGGCCATGTTAATAACAGCAGAGGTGCTCTAATATAACTTACCAGTACTAGTGTTGACATCTGATAATTATAGTGGTATAGAACCTAGGTTCTGTTGGAAATTCTGATTGTGTCAATGTGCTAGAAGAAATTAGTAAAGGTGGCTGACATTTTGGCTAAAAACTATGTAATGATTGTTTTGTGCACCTCAGACTAGCTGCAGCTAGCTCTAGTATTGTCAGGTCTCAAGTGACTAAAGGTGTCTTTGACTCTTAAACTGTTAACTTATGTTACACTTAAAGTAGAGCCATGTTTGCCCCTAGGGAAAGAAAATATTTAGTTTGACACCCAGGACCTTCAACTGCTGATTATGATTAGTTATTGCTACCAAAGAAGCTTCTATCTCTGCAGTAAAATATATATAGTGTATATATAGAAAAGCCAAAGGCAAGACCAAGAATGGAAACATGAGGTTAACATACTGCATATTATGAACTGAACCCTCTCTCCAATGACTATTCAGTGTTTTTCACCAGATGTAAATATATTGCTTTTTGGATTATTAATTCTTTGCATTTTGTGATGTGTGTCCTGGGAAAGTGATGACCTTACTGATCCTGCCCATCCTTTCTCCACCAGTATACTCTCTGTCTCATGCATAACATTGATTGCAGCAATGAAGATATATAGTATGGTGGTGTTTTGTTCAGGGCAGATTGGAGATCAGTTGTTTGCTATAGAAACATGTTTATATTTATTTATTAATCTGCATAAATTTACCTCAAATGTTACATTTTCTTAAATACACTAGGATGTCAGGTGTCTGCATACTGGAACATTTTCAGGTTGATGGTGACTTGATACCTCACTCTCTGGTGGTACTACCACAATGGTGCTTTTGTTGTAGTAGTGATTGGCAAGCTTAGCAGTCCAGCCATCTTAAGTAAACACAACAGTACACAACAAAGCAGTTAAGTCTGCCATTTACTTCTCATGCCTTACACACATTGCCTCATTTCAGAGAAGAAGCATGGCCACTGGTCCATCCTTATATTAAGATTTTATGACACCATGATTCAGCAGAGACAGTAATGATGGTATTTTCTACTTGCTCAGCTTAAATGTAAAGTATACCTGATACAAAAAGAAAAAGTAAAACAAAGCTTTAGAAAGGGTACAGATACTTAGCTGACCTGATATTCAACAGACCTAATGAAATTGCATTTTGCAACACATAGCATCGCTTATGTAGACTTATACAGAAACTACACTATTCCCTAAGCATGATCCTATTCAATTTTGTATATTTGAAGTAAGTCATAAATAATTTGAGTATCCAGCTACTGTTACTTGTTAGTCAATGGCTGCAATGGCTTACCAGGTGCAACCCCAAGCTTTTTTGTAAGCCTAAGAAAAACATCTGGGCATAAGCCTGTTTCTCAGTTTGGTGTGTTCCTGTTAATGTTCTGTGAAATTACAAAGATTGTGTAGAAACATGGCTACAAAAATTTGACCCTTTCCTCTTCTTCACAGATATTCATGCCCGGTCATCATCAAATTTGATGGATTACGTTGCTTGTAACTGAATGTGAGGTTATTTAGAACTACAGAAGCACACAAAAATCCCATCAGAACGCTAAAATGTCTAATAAGACATTCAACATGTCTACTGACCAAGTTGAGAGTACAGTTCCTTTGCCCCATAGAGGCCTTAAGCTTGGCCTCTCCCCTGAGAGTCATTACAGCAACTCATCCATGTCCCCGTCACCTGACTCCGACAGTAGTATTTCCAACCTGAGTGACAGAGAAGCCAGCAGCTCCCCTGACATCAACATGCTGGAGTGCTGCCTCAGTGAAGGTTCCCCTGTGGATACTCCCTACAACACCACCTTACCACAGGGTGATGTGTTCTGTGGTGTAAGCAGACACATGAACCAAACTTTTATTGCCACATCCGTTAATGGCAGCGTGAATTTCTGGAATAAAAACTTGAGTCAGATGAGCAACCAAGAGACAGGATCAGAGAAGTACAATACTTTTAGTAAGAACACAGAGGATGGAAGTAAAACACCATTGACATCCCCAGACTCTGCTGGCAGGGAGAGCCACCTGAGTTCACGTGAAACCTCCCGTAGAGGATCCATTGAGAATGACTGCTGCTCCCTGAGCTCTGGGGAAATGGTAATAAGGAGCAACAGTTTTTGTCTGGAAGATCAGTCACTCTTAATAGTCTCTTCCCTGGAGGAGTCATCAATCTCTCCAGCTGCGGGCCATCCAGCACTGCCTGCTGAATCTAACCTGCTTTCAAACACTCTGCCGGATGTGTGCGAAAAATCTACAGAAAGAGTCATTGAGGAAAAAGCAGGTGATCCATGTCTTGGTGTGACTTTCACTCAGACAGACAACTTGGAGCTCCCCAGTGAGGAAAATTATATGGCAACGTGCAACTCTCCTGTAGCTTTGCCAAGTGAGAATGAAGGAGGTCTTTTGATGACCTTTGTCTGTGAAAAATCTTCTGCAGATAGTGGAAAAGAGGCTCAGTTCCCAAGTGCTGAAGCAGACCTTTTGGCCCATTTCCCTGGAGCAATTACACCAGAACAAGGGAAGACCTTTGTGTCCACTCTGTCAGCTATGCAAGAAAGTGACAAGAATATTCATACTTCAACTCCAGTACAAAACATTGGGAACAAGATACCCAGCCTCCCTTCCTTTTCAGAGTCTCCCTGCACAGGAAATGCAAGCAGCCCAGGACACCATCCTGTTAAACAACAGGTGGTCCCTGTGACTCCTAAACAAGGTTTGGTTGCAGGACTGCCACCTTCAGCCAGCAAAGTCAAGAAAATGGACATTAAGAAGTTTCCCAAATCAGACTTGAGTAATGTAAAATCTAAAGTTGTTACAAGGACTTTGCATCAAATGGCAGTGCCAGGCCCCGCTTCACATCACAAACCACCACAAGTTAATGTGACCAGCAAACGTACTGAAGCACATAGAGTAGCAACTATCAGGATTAGTCCTGCCAAGATGAGGAGTAGCACTGCAGTTGTCTCTACCACCACTAAAATGGTCAGTGATACGCAGAGACAAATGAATACAGGAGCTGCCAACTTGGGCGTGACAATGATACAGTCATGTGGGCATACTGCTGTGGATAGACAAGGCAAGAGTAGAGCATCCTCACTGGACCACCACACAGCTGCCAATAAACATGCTTCAGCCATCCAAAGCAGTAGCACCAGCTCAGAAGCAGAGCCGGCAACCTCAAGCCAAGTAGCAGATGCCTCAGGACAGCATGCTGGCAACCAGACCTTCTGCTTCTCATCCTTAGAAAAATCCCCTCATGGAAGTGGCCAAACGGATCCCAAACCAGCTCCAAAGAGAGGCATGTCGAACAAAATTGAGGTCAGGTCGGGCTCAGCCATAGGTCAGGACAAGCCTCCTGTCCTTAAGACACGGCCTCGCTACTCATCAGAGTGTTCATCTTCATCTCGGCCACCCACGGAGAAGAGAACAACTTTAAGAATCTCAACTAGTTTTACCATTCCCAAAGCTTCCCAAAACAACCACCTGGGCCAAACCAAACCAGGAAACCAGAACTGCTTTTCCCAGAGTAAACGGGATGTAGAAGCTGAGGCCACAAAGAGACCTGCTGAAAACTCTGCTAGAGTGGTTAACAAGATCTTCCTGGTGGTGAGTATGGACATAAAATTTGAACAATTAAAAATTCAGCAAAAATTCATCAGTTATTTTCAGTTGCTATCAATATTAATTTTTCTCACAGATCTTTCTATAAATCACATTAAATATTTTGGAGGAAAGAGCTGCATGTTTTGGAATAGGAGACACAAAAATTTGCTTGGACCTGACAGGGATCTTTGGGAAAATGTTTTTTGTGGTGAGCCATCAGAGCCAATTCCACAGAGCTGAGTGACTGAGTGACAAATTGCTCTCTTTGCAGGGAGAGTCCAGCAAATCGACAGCAGCAGGAGCCTCATGCGATGAGAGTAAGAACAGATTTCGAGGACGACCATCTCCTAGACGAACAAGAGGAGCACCACTCTCACAACCTCCAGCTGACGGTCCCAGACCAGCCACTCTGTCAGCCAGGCAGAGGCATGGAACCCTGGGCAGGGATGAATGCAGGACTTCCAAAGCTGTAGTGACACCCCAGTCCAAGCAGAAGAGCATCACAGGTAGGAAGCATCATTGTTGGACATTGTTAAATACAGAGTGTGCGGGATTGATATCCACTTAAACTGAGCCTGTGATAGTTGTTCTTCATTTCTCTCATAGAGGGGAAAGTTGACCTGCAAATGTCAGTAAATAAACATTGACAGTAAGTCACAATCAATACCCTCATAAGTTCTATGGCCTGCCCTTGACTAAGCAGAAAGCTAATGATTTCCTAACTATTTCCTCTGTTGTATAAACAGAGAGAATTGTGTAACAGGTCTGTTGAACTCTGTGTATAATGGAAACTAGAACAGTAGAGAAGCTGACTTGGACTGCTCTGGAGGGGCCATCTATGATAAAAGGTAGCACCAGAGATAAATGGTTTTGTGTGTGTGTTGGGGGCACATGGACTGTGCTCACTATAGCTGATACAGCAGGATCCTTCAAAGTAACACAGTGATGCTATGAGATAGTGCTTTATACTCTTCAAATGACAAACACACATTTTTGACATATTCACTTGCTTGTGGCCAGCATTTCAGGAATAATGAAAATGCAAATAATACAAATGATAAATAACATTTGCATAGCTTGGTTCCACCTAGAAATGCTGTTGTGAACTAGAATAACTCAAGTTGTAGTAAAGCTGTCTCCCCATTAGAGGGTGACATTGAGCAGTTCCTGTAATAGACCTACTGTTGTCCTCCTGATGAGCTCAGCTTTGTTCAGCAATGTTCCACAGGAACAGTGTTGGATACAGATGTCACCTCCGGTCTCTTGTCCAGGTCTTGGGGATAAACGGTCAACTCCCTCTGCCCACTGCTCTTCATAGTAAGAGGAGTCCTGGGGAAGGAGGGGGACTCTTCCTCTGATGGGAAGCCATCTGTACGAGTGGAAAAAGCAAGGGAAGGAAAGGGAGGTTTTGAGCTCACCAATAGTTTTGAAGACAGAACACACTGTTTGAAACAAGCACCCTGAGCACAGTAAAAAAGCAGGAACCTTCTCATGCTCTGGCTACAGAGACATTCGACAGGGATACATATTTTTGTTTAAACTGCAGCATTTTTGTTTGGTTGATCAAATTTGACATGTTTGATGTTGTGAGTAAGATAGGTAAGTTTTGTATGATTGAAAATGGAAGAAAGAAAGTAAGCTTCCAGGGATAGTTTTCATTTAATATTTACAATGTTCTCTATGCTTGTTGTATAATAGAATATGCTTTTACTTTATATATACTTTTACTTGCTTTAAAATGTACTTTTTACTAGTTTGGATCTTGTCCAATGCAAAACACTCATTAGCCAAGATGCTAGGATGGTTTATTAGGCTTGAAGTAGTTTTGAACTGTGTGAACAATACACCACTAAGCTCAGTTTGTGTACAAGTTTGCTATAAGAGGTTCATGTTGCTGACCTCTGATACTTATTTGTGCTCCATTGCATCCTAGGCAGTCAGAGAGCACAGGCATCAGGAGACCCATCCCTTGGAACTGCCTCAGCAGCAAGTATTAAGCCCCAGTTAAATGGATCCCGACCTCCTCAGACTCCAACTCGCCCATCTCTTAAGGGCCCTCCCCCTACTTCTGCTTCTAGACTACCACACAAGACCTCAGGGCCATCCAGGAGCCTCACTGAGGCCAATGTTCACAGTGAGCTGGGTGAAGGCAGTTGGAGTACACAAGGTGAGCCCAACAAGAATTTACATTGTTTTTAGAAATGGGATGTTCAGTCCCTGCAGGCTGTTACATAAAGAAATCAGTTTGATGCACAATCAGGCTGCAGTTTTCAGATGTGTCCTTAAAACACATCTGGTCATGGAGGGGAGGGGCTGCTGTTTTACATGGTGACCCACTTCAGGGCTTGGGTTGGATGTAAATCTTCCCTGAGTCAAATCTTACTCTGATTTAATACCTACACATCTGCCAAGATACAGGAGATCGGCATATTAAATCATAGTGACATTTTTCAGATTTCTTTATTTTAAACTCTCAATAAATCTAATTCAAATCTATCAAAACAAAATGTGAATTGATAAGCTGAATAAGGCCTGGTGTCAACAAAACATTCTGTGGTCCTGCTGAGCTTTGAATGGTTCTAATGAGAACTTTTTGGTGGCATTTTATTTTCTGACTGATGTATAAAAAAGAGTGCTGTTAGACAGTGAGCTCTTTTCCACCCAGCATCCTCAACAACATGCAGATCTGTGATTGGCTGAGAGGACCTCTTTTCCAAACTGGGGGCCCCCCCTTGTGTGGTTGTCAAGGCAACGGGTTCTATTCCACTCTAGTTCACACACAGTATTGCCTGGAGGAGAGAAAGCAGACATTACAACTGATGTCGTCTGAGGTGGATAAAAGGAGCAGTTTGCCTATTTTCTTTTTTAAATTGAAAACCAATGGCTGGTTACACAGGACTTCGAAGCTGCACTTGGACTGAATTTCCATCTACTGTTTTCAACAACTCCTCTTTACTGGCACAGGGCAGTGCAGCATCCAACTGTGATCTTACCCTCATGACATGCCTGCTCATTGGATCCTATCGCTTTTGTATCATCCCTTTGTTAGCTGCATTTAATGGAAAAGATAGAAAGCTTTGGAGAAGTAAGTGAGATTGGAAGTTGAATCATAACTGGGGTTTCCATGGTGGCATGTTTATTTAAAGAACATTTGTTCTACATGCTAGATATTCAAGCAGTCATATTGTTTATAAATTTGATTCTATATTTGCTGCATCTTGCTATGGTAATTTTTGTCATTGTGGTCAGATTGACAGCACCTTTTGTTGATCTGATTCATATTCTTTTTCCTTAATGTAGCCTCTATATTTAATCACATTATTCAAATAATTATTAGAATATTTGAAGAATTTAATTTACCTTGTTACTCCAGAAGTTGTTCTAAGTAATCACTACTGTTGACTGACATGAGGTCAGTGGCAACAACAGCAGTACTGTATTTAAAGCAGAGAGGGAGAGGGTTCAGTGCGATTTGCAGTGTTTAACCAGCTCGTCTTTATGTGCTCCAACAGTTTCTGGAGGAACTGCACAAAAACAAACCCCATTCAAAGCTGTTGTGCTGAAAGCAAGGCTCATCTCAACACCTGGAAGAAACACTGGACAAAGTGAGATCACACCTCTCCACACACGCATGCACACTTTTTTAGAATTTCAGACTTATTTCCTTTATCATTTCCTGTACAAGGTAGTGTCTCTCATTTTTATATTATTTGTTTGAAGGCATTGATCTTAGATTTTGATCAGATTTAAATCTCCCTTTTTTAATTCTCATTCATAGAGCAACTATGAGTGAGACCACATTGATTTTTGCATCTTTTATCTTTTATCAAATCCTCACACAATGATAAGGAAATGGCCCTGTTAAATCTCACTTAGGTTGAAAGTGATTAAAACCTCCCAAAACACTCAGCTACAAAAACTATTGTTACTTCCCTAATAGTGTGGTAACCTCATTTGATTAGGCTCATTTGATCTTGATTGAATCAGATTACCTCTATCTTTGCTGGCCATTTTCACAGTATGTTTGATCAAACCTTCATGAATTAGTTCTGATTTAAAAGCCGTCTGCGGTTCAACGGTTTTGGTCAGTTGCCAGTTTTCCTGCTACATTATGGGTCAGATTAAGTCTCGCCACTTTTCTCACCTGGATCTTCTGCTTTTTACAGCTTTGACCACTGCATGCAAGAATGTTGCTTCCACCAGCAAAGGAGCTTCAAATTCTACAGTCAGTCCTCTGAAAAGGACTGGTTCTGCAAGACTTGTTCGTCTAACTTCAAGTGGACCTGGTAAGAGTTTTCTTTTCTCTTTGTGTTTTCAACAGAGCTTGGGCTTCTCGTAAAATTGTATCCATTTGATTTGTTACATGTATTACCTGTTTAAATAAATGTTTACAGGGCTTGTGAAGGCAAAAGGCTTGGCTTCAGAAGTGAGGGGAATGCAATGGCAAAAAGATATTGGTTATTGAGTTGTCTATAATAATGGTATAGTATAAGAACAATAAAGATGAATAGAGATACTAACTGAACCTCAATATTTTAGTGCACTAACCCCACTTAAAATCATGTTTAGTTTTCTAAATGGACATTATAAATTTTGATAGGTAATGTTATTCTAAAAAACAGTGTACTTCTGTCTTTGATGTACAACTCTAACATCTTAAAAGAATATTAACTGTAAATAAAAAAAAATATATAGATTTCATTTTTTTTACACACAAAAACATGCTGAGAAAGTGTAAGTAAATTTTTAGTCCTGAGTGATGTCAGTTGTCATCTCAGGCTGCATAGAGTCCCAACAACCTTCAGCAATATGGTAGGGCAACATCTGTGTATCGTGTGAGACAAAAAAATCCACAACACATTTGCTGCGCCACCAAGTACATTTACGATTTGAAAGTGACTCAAATAAGTACATCAGCATTTTTATCATCTCCTGTCTTCTCTCATCAAGAGAAAAGTGAGGGAGATACCCAATGGAAATTACACCCTTGTGGCTTGTATCCGTAGAGTTAATCTATTTTTAGCAGAAGCTACGAATGAACTATTTATTTCATGCTGCTCAGTGTTGTAAGGAACTTGAGGTTCTAAGGTAAATCGGATGTGGTTTGTGTTTTCTATAAGCCTTATCACACTAAAGGCTTAATGCATGCTCTCATTTTCTTGGCCTTAGTTGCTCTCTGTTGTTCACACACAATGCTTGATGCATATTTTTGGGCTGTTTTACAGTGTCATTTCAGTCTGTTTTGCAGAAACTAGATGAAAAAAATGTTTCATTATATAACACTTAATTAGTCAGCACATTGTTTTGAGTCTAAAATATGGTTCACAGTTGTAGCTGAGGACACATTTTCACAGAGAACTATGCCAGCCAAGCTGTTTTGCACACAGCGCATCAGAAAAAACCTTGCCATGGGCAGACTGTTGTCTCTTGCCATCCCACTGCTGGTGACACAGAGAAAGAGAGTAAATGGGAGGAAGAGTGGGGGGGCTAGATTAAATTGTCATTGGCTGAAGCTATTCTGTTTGCTCCTCCTATCGCTGTCTCTCCTACCCCATCCCCCTCTGCTCTTATCCTAGCATCTTGGCTCTGCTACAGCACCGCCATCATCAAGCTTGGGGATGCTGCTTTGCTCTGCTGTGAGAGATTCATGTGTTTGGTGAATAGCTTGAAACCTTGCTTTACGAAGAGGATTAAGGGATTTTTACTTTTTTTTCTGCCCCTATCAGATCTATCAGGCTGTGCCACAAACCAGTGGCCAGCCTTTAACCCTCTCTGTGGATTCCAGCGTTCACAGCTGAGAATTAGATTTTGAATTGGGATACCTGCCATGCCTTCACTTTTTTCAAGGCTTTCACAGTGGTGTAACTCTTACTGCTTTTTATTGATTTATTTATTTTCTGCCTGTGCTTGTCAGTGATGCTGTCATCTAAGGCATGATGCACTGAGGCACACCATGGCGTGTGGTTCATAGCCAGCATCAAGCTCCTGTATTTGGGCACTGTTTTTTAAAGTGATTATTAGCAGAAAACTGTGACTGTCTTGCTTGGTTTTTGAGAGATGTTATGGTCTCCGAAGCTCTCCCTGTCAAACATCCACGTGCGTCTGACAGCTAAGGGTTTACTCCGAAACATTCAGCTGCTGTCAGGATGCAGGAAGAACACTGTGGTTTTCCAAGCAGGTCTGTCGGTTATTTCCATGTTAAAGATTTCTACTTACATTGTTGTGGTTTTTGGGTCTCTGCACTATATTTAAGCCAAACCTGTCAGTGTTTACCTCTCAAGTAGACCTGTGCAGTTAGCTGTTTCTGAAATCTATTTTTAGTATGTCTATTTACTGGTTGGCAAAACAGGAGGTTCATCTTTCATTTACCTACCTTGGTCACCAAAATGTGTGACCCCAGACAGAAGTATTTTAGGAAACAAATCTTGAATTCAGAAACAACTTTATCTAAACAGACATTAGAATTTATTGCATTAAAGTCATGTATTTCAGGATGGCTAGTATTATTTTTGTGACCACCTTTTTATACAACTGTGTCAAAATGCACTTGGTTGCTGTCATGCTCACTGGAACACCCAGTACTCCTGTTTCACCCTGAGATGGACCAAGGTTATTTTGGTTCTTAGTCTCTAGGTTGAACCATGGGAACCTTGTCGTGATTGCTGAATAATGTTATGGGAACACAGTAGCCTCCTGTGGGTTCCCACATCATTTAAAGCAATTTTTAAAGGTTGCAACCAAATAAGATAATTTAGCTTTACAGTCTTAAAGGGCTTAATCTCTTATCTGTTACGTGTTCAAACAAACAAGAGCATTATGATACACTCTCAAAAATGTATCAAAACAAAGATTCCTAGTAAAATGTCATTGTTGTCGTGATTGTATTGTATGTTCACAAATTATTTCTACAGTGTCCCATGCATCAGTTAATTGTTCATTAATATGAGACAATGTCCAGTAAATACAAGAGTATTTGTCTGGTATTGTGTGAACCAAGCACTGTAACAAGTGCATGATTGTAAGGGGTCTCATCACACATCATGCTTTGTGCTATGCAGTGACATCTCCTTACAGCAGCAGAGCACTATACTGTGGAGTCGATGAATCACTCGGTATTTGATGTTAAGTGAAGTTGAATCGGAACAAAATGATTCTTTAGGCATGGTAAGAAGAATGAAGTAAAAAGGGAAACGTATGTCATCCACTCTGTTCAGATACATTGATGGAAATAGCTGCAGGTCTTCTGTTGCCATGGAATAGCAGTCAAATTGAGAGACAGCCTATGTGCTTATATGAATTCATTTGTACAGTGCAGGTCTGTGTGTTTACGGAAAACAAAAGCCACATTACATTTAAAATTTCTGCTAAAATATGAGACGATAAAGCCAAACCATATATTTACTTATGTGTGAATATTTTCTATTTTGTGAGTAGATTAGAGTTACACACAACAGCCTCAGAAACTTTGAAGCAAATACAGGATCCCCTTATATGGCCTGAAAATCAGACTGAATTGCTTTTTCATTTTACTCACTATTTGAATGTCTGAAGGTTTTCTCATAGGCTCATAGGTTTTCTCACAGGTGTAGAACTCAGCAACCTCTTTAGACCATTTTGAATAATTTAAATAGGTGAGAGCACAGATTTTTAAAATTCAGCAGAAATTTGTTGCATAATGTCCACTACTGGTCTTGGATACAAACACAACCCATTCCTTTCTATATGGATTAAAAGTGGCAACAGCTAACATGGCTGTGATCACGCTGTTTTAATATCCTAGGAGTGCAAGCAAAAGGCAAAACTATCATGAAAATAAAATAAATTAAGTCTGTCACATTGCAGAAAGGCAAGTATTTCACAAGCTTCTTACTACCAACCGCTTATTTTTACTAATATGATAGTTGCACCATCACATAGACAAATGTGATATTTCCACAATATATGTGAACCATCTGCCGCTATGCAGTAGCTCGTCTGTTGTGGAGCTTGGCTTTGATCTGTATGCAGGCATGTTTGTGGTACATATTAGCTGTGTGCAACCTGAGAGGGTCCTCTGTGCACCACCAGCAGAGGGCATCCTAATTTAAAGAAACCCTTGACTTAAGATACCCTCTTGAATACAGCATCATAAAAAAAGATTGGAAGCTGAGCAGCAAAGCTCAAATTTTTGTTTGGCTCTGTGTCAGATAAAAATGATCTATTTTGACATTTTCTGAGTATGTACATGGTGCAACACTGGAAATGCTTAATTGAAGTGCAAAAAAAAAAATCTATGTATATTAGCCTTTGTAGCCACAATTCTAAAAGTAAATTTCTAATCTGAGGTTGCAGTGAGATCATTGAGATGGAGATCTGTGTTTTTGTTCTTGAGCCATCTGAGTCCTACATGTCAGTCTGAAAATATAAAAGCACAACTTAGTGCTACAGTCCAAGCTTGAGGCTATATACACAATGATTGAAATTATTCACCAGATTTATTAAAATTCTGAACTTTTTGTTCAATAGTACAATAAAATGTGTTCCTTGTTTTATCAGTTGTACCATCCATCCACTGCAGTACAGTATTAATATTTTGTTTGCATTAAAGGCTGTGCCTGTCTTTTATGCTGAACAGTTTACTTTGGCTGTGAAACACAGAGGCCACCAGGGGAAACCGGCTTTGAGGTGAACTGCACATCCGGATATAGAGCTGTGTAAACTCAAGTTAGTCTGTGGCATAAAAGCAGCATATAATTATTCAGATGAGATGGGTCTGGCTTTTTATTATCCTGTTGTCTCTTAGCAAGCGCTAGTTTTACTGCCTTGACTCCACAGTTTGTTTTTGAGTCTGTTCCCTTTTAGTCCTTTTCAACAGTGTTCACTTTGTCAGCTTCACCAGCTAGGAGTGTTGATATCCTTTGCTGTATTGTGCTGCCTTGATAAGGCCAGTGTGCAGAGCTGTTACCTCAGCAGCTCCAGGATCAGCTGTCTACAATAAGCAGGAAAAACAATCCCACTTCCTACACTGAATATCTGTGGGGTCTTATTTTGAAAGGCACCCGGGTAGATGCAGCATTATTTTTGCTTTAATGATGTCTGGATCCCATAGTTGCATACTGGTGTTATTCTGGGATGTTATGATGTTCTCAGATGATTCCCTGCTTGGTGCATCTAAATTTAACTTGAATATGTTCCAGGTTTTGCAGCTCATAAAGGACATGATCATAACACTTCATGGACAGTACGTAGTATTACAGGAGCACACTCATGGTCACTCGACTAGCTTTAAAGTAGATTTATAATTTGACTATTATGAGTTCACTTGCAGTTATATCAATTTGTTCTTTTTGCTTATTAATCTTAATTTGGTCTAACAGCTGTCATGTAAGACAGCAGACAGCTAAGTGAGTATCTCCACAGGCTGCTAGCAGTATAGTATATTCAACTCTTTACAGCTGGTATTTCTGATATGTCTCAGGCTATCCTCACCGCTGTGTGACATAACGATCACTACACAATCTCCTTGCAGTCATTTTTTTCACCCTTCTCCACTACAATTGTCTTTGGCAGTGGGATGTTAGTTTGGTGTTCCTCTGGTCTGATGATGCAGTAGTGTCAGCGACAGAATAAACACAAGTGTTCTTCATTAGTCGGATTGATGGTAGCTATAATATAGGGGTGATATATTTATAAAGCTGATGTAAATCAAAACTACAGTAGCATGGCCTTGCTAAAATAAGCTGTCCTTGGTAACCTGCAGAGCACTAGAATATATTAGGATATGGAAAGCTAATTGCATTCAGAGGATCCATTTTTATGTCTTGGCTGTCAGAGGAGCAGCAGCACTGGGATTCATCAGACTGGTTGATTGGACAGAACAGTTCTGGACTGCAGAAATATCCCGGGAATTGATACTGGAGCTTGATGCATCTCTGACGCTGACAGAAGCGTATGGGGTGGGTTGTACTGCTGTTGGACCAGCTGCAGTGGTTATGGAGGGGGGTATGATGGTGATCAACGTTGTCACGACACTCAACACATGTTCTTTTACAGTGGACAAGAACAAACCCAAGGCCAGCTCCCGCCAGCAACACCCACAGCCGCAGCCATCCCAACCAAACCAGAGTCATGGACATCCAGATGTGGTACCAGCGAGTGTGGCAAAGGGTGAGAGGAAGGACCAGGCCATCCAGCAGCTCAGAGACCTTCTCGCAGCCAGTAACTGCAGATTTGAAGCATTCACTGTTGTCTTGCAGCAGACTTTGACTGAGGTAAGAAAATTTTACTTCCGCAGGGAAGTTCATTTTTATTTTTTACATCCTTTAAATTTTATATTGAACATCATGGACCCTTGAAATTATTTTTTCCCAACAAAGTATCTAATAAATAAAGAGAATTTACACAATGTGTGGAAACATTTCCATAATAACATTCGAAAAGCAGATGTGAATCGCATATATTCATTCAATTTTGCAGAGCTTTTATAGAAAACTGTGACAAAACAGTGCAACAAAGTATTTAGTGTTTGCTTTAATATGCATATTAAAAACAGTCATACATTGAAGGATACTCCTTTTTTTCTCAGTTTGTTAAGGCATTACTTCTTGGTCTCTAAATTTACACAAAAACTATTAACTTAAGTGATTGCCTTGGATTATAACAACAAGTGTTGCAATATCAAATCCTGTGTGTTGATGCAAGGGAAACCAAATGGCATTTCTATTTACAGCAACAGCATGGAGAATGATTGTAAGGGTATGAGGGCCTGCACACACAGACATACTTGAAAGTTGTCTAACACAACAGCCCTGTTGTCGTCCACTGAACTAATCCTGGATCAAAGAGAAATTCAGCCTTTTAATTGTTACTCAGCTGCATCTGAAAAGTGGTGTCATGATCTCCTAATGTCTTAACACAAGTCTTTCAGTTGCACTTAAATATACTTTTCATAGACAGGTTATTCAGGCATGCGAGCATGTCCCTGACAGTCTTTTGAAAATGGATGTTTAAGATTTGTGTTTGACTTGGATCTGGTTTTAATAGTGGTAGCATGTGATTGGCTTCCAGGAACTGGATGCCCCGAGGGATTATTTTTCCCATAGTGCATTACAAACAGGCTTATCCTATGAACTACCCTCAACCTGACCCCAGCTATCGTACTCCCTCATTTAGTGTTGTCAAAGCAAAATTATGATAGAGTGCTTGGACTCAATTAAGTATCTGTGCATCAGGAGCCCTACAGTTTATTATAAATGAATTATAAAACTGAATTAAATTAATGTAATTAGTGAAGATTTATATCTACAGTTTCCTGTAAACCTAGAGAAAAAAATCAGATACTATCTTATTTGAGTGTATAAAATGTCACAAGCTATTTCAGTCCCTCCGGTTAACTTTAGAAATGTCCTTGTCAAATATTTTCACACTTTATCTGTTGTCAGTACGCAATGAAAGAAGATGATTGAGTGAAACAACTGGTATGTACTATCCAAATATATTTTAAAAAATCATCCAGATTTCATATTTGCAGTACTTAGTGTTCCAGTGTTGAGAGATCTCCATCAAGTTACTTTGTCTTCGTCAGTTTCTTTGAGGAAAAACTCAAATTAAAAGATGGTGTCTTGTTTAGAATTCATAGATAGGTCTAAGTGACAAACCACAGAACACTGTTTTAGATGTATATAACAAATACTTAATCTTGTGATTCAATGCTGTTCATTAAAAGCAGTGATGGTAGCCTGATGCCCAGAGGGGATTTATTAGGTATGTGAGATTTGATCTTGTCCTCCAATCTTCATTCAACCAACTTCAACCCTGTTACAAGTTATTGAGTTACTGCCTTTTTGTCTGTGTTACTTTGTGTTTGTAAATGGGTTTAATATCATTGTGGTGGTGGAGGTGATTCATTTAGTTGCACAGGGGAAGACATCAAATCCAGTCTTGCCAAGATTCTCCTCAAAAAGCTATTGGGGACTTACCATCATTTATTTACAATGACTCCCCTGGACCTTTTTTGACAATGTTGCTACACACATATATTAGGTTGTAAAAATAACCTGCATAAACACATGCATCTTTTTTCAGTTGGCCCCCTTGTTACTGGAGACATATTAGACTTATGGGCCACCAGGGAGGTGCAGAGGAAAAGCTACAGCAGCATTATTTGCCTTACTGTATGTAGTCCTGGTGAGGCTTGTTGCTGCCCAGAGGAAGGAAGTGGCAGGGGACTCCATCAGTGTGTTCAAGAGTTCTTTAACAGGCTGTTGCTGTAGTGCACTTGATCTCTCTGCAGCTAGAACTATTTTAGAAAATTAAACCATTGCTTCACTCAGCTTTGGTACAAAAAGTCACTCATGCATTTTGTTTCCTGTGGCCTAGATTGCAACTACTCCCTTTACTCCCAGTTTGCTCTGAGTTCGACACCAGGCAGATCTCTTGTGGCAGTTTTGTGTGTTCTGGGTAGCTCCAGTTGTGACAGAGTTCACATCAGTTTTAGCTTCAATGAGCTTCAGGGAATTCTGTTGTTCCTTAATTTGTTCTACCAGTTGCACTACCCCACTGATTGTGATAATGCACTCAAGTGTCTAACTTATGTTGACATTTGTTCCACAGATGTTTAAAAGCCAACCCAGGACCATTTTTACCTGTTGTAGCTCAGTTTCACATTCCAGGCATCAGAAAGACAGTGGGAACTTGTCATTTGAGAGTAGTGTGGAGGGAATTGGCATATGGATATATGCAGTCATACAAAGCAAAGCTGATGGAAAATGTGTTTAAATGTATATGCTGCTGGTCCATGTAATGTTACAGCTAGTACAGAAGGCACAGTGTGTGATCTCCAGTCATTGATGTTTGACTCATATCCTTTGTTTGGGTGGCAGAGTTGTGAAACTGATTACATCAACAGATATTAGAAACACAGTAAGTTTGTTCCTCTTTGATGGAAAAGGAGCTGTCCTAGCCTCACAAACTCAACTTAAACTACAGTATGTTTTTCTTTTTCCACCCCCTCCACTGGAAACAAGGATTCCAATGGACATTAATGCCTGAGACACATTTACTCATTTGGCAGACACTTTTATCCATAGTGACTTACAAGTTAGGAAACTTGAGGTTCAGTGTCTTGCCCAAGGCAAGGCAACTTCAGAACTTGGACAGGAGGAGCTGGGGATCAAACTGCCAACCCTGCAATCAGTGGACAACCCACTCTAAAACCTGAGCCACAGCCGCCCACACACTTAACATAAATTGCATTCAATCTCAAAGATTATTTCAGTAAACAAAATCACCAACTTTGTGTATCAGGTACATTAATGGGCGAGTCTGGGCTTGTAGAGCACAATGGTGTCTGGTGGCCACTCAGACTAAGAATAGTAAACTGGACATTACCATCATAGTGTGAGAATGTCCCAGCTGTTGACTTGATATGGTTATGAAGAGCAGCCAAACACTAAGCAAGGACTGCACACTTTTTTTTACCATCTGTTTGGATGGAGTGTGTAAGCACTGGATCTGGTTTGCCACCTTCTCTCATACAGACAGTGCTGTGAAACAAGTTGCACTAAGTGGAATGCAAGCACATACCAACTAACCTGAAAAATGATTTACTGTCAAGCTTTGCTCTACTGGCTTTCTAATATTCACAATATCTCCAGGAAACTGGAACCTGATCTGAAGCAATTAGTCATTGATGTTAGTCTACCATCACGTGTTATTCTACACTTGACATGGTATCATGATATACACCGGGGACATTACATGTTGCAGATGCTTTAGAAGTTGAGGAACTGGATATCAAATTAACATGGCACAAGCATGCACATCCAAACATAGAGGTCTGTAATTTCAAGTACAAAGTTGACTAATGAGGGACAGTTTAAGCATGGCATTTTTTTTGTGTAGGGCCGCGTGGTGGCAATTATTTTCATCTATGTGAGCAAAGGTTTCTAGTGTACATACGCATTTTTTAATTGACAAAGACTCAGCATGTTTGCTGGAGTCTGTCATCAAGAACAGAAGAGGGTTAAACTGCACCATTAAAAATGATTTTGGCTGTCGCCAGGAGCGTGTGTGAGAGATGCGAGAGGTGCAAGCTTGAAACATTACCAAGGCAGTTGGATATTAGTCAACAAGTGACATCATTTTCAGTTTTATGCATTGACTGTCAATAGTCTTACTCACACAGAAGCTGGAAATTTGATCTGTCACAGCATAAAAGAATGATCTTGGGGGCGTCGAGTGGCGTAGTGGGTTGAGCAGGCGCCCCACATGTAGAGGCTACAGTCGGCCCCGGTTCGAATCCCGCATCGGACGGCCCTTTACTGCATGTCATTCCCCCTCTCTCTGCCTCCCCGTTTCCTGTCTCTCTCTACTGTGCTATCATGCTCAGGCATAAAAGCCCCAAAAAATATACTTAAAAAAAAAAAAAGAATCATCTTGTAATGGAGAGATTGTACCATGCAGCAGATTGTGTGGTAATGGTGCAGAGGGGTGAGGGCATGATTTAATGAAGGTATGGATGAGCGGTGGGGGATGGTGGCAATGAAACCTCTATGAATCCCCTGGGAAGGTCAATGCACACACAAGTCCTGCTCCATCAGCCTGATGTCTGACAGCTCTGTGTAATTTATCTGTTTGCTCCACTCTTCAGTGCTGCCTTAAAGTGACCTCAGCTTGCTGGTGAGGAGGCTGTGCTCATACACACTGTAGCCTGCCCCTTTAGTTTTTTTAGGTGGAATACGGTAATGCACTCTGCAGTCACTCACCACAGCCAGTGAAGCGGCTTTTTCAGTCCTGCCTCAGATGTTGTGAGAGCAGTCTGGGAGGAGGTGTGTGTGGAGGTGGTGCGTCCACCTGGACCACTATTTGTCCTGGAGTACTGGGTCTCCATAGCTGGAGGGGGAGACTCCGGCACCCAAGCCTCAGCCTGAGGCTGGATCATGGGCTGTTCTGGCAGCAGAGCGTGCCTTAGTTCTCCCTGCGCTGCAGAGAGGGTAACTGGCTTCTACACTGTTCTGTTCTGCAGTGAGGTATAGATGCAGGTCTGGGGTACAGTAGGACAGGGTGGAAGATATTTGCTTTTGTAAACTGATCAATGAAGTGATGTTTGGCTTTTCTTACTTGGCTATTTTGTCTTATGTTTATAATTGAATTATGCAGGCTGTGTGATGCACTTTGCAGTGTATGAGGTTGTTTATGTGAATCAGCATAGTAAGAGGAAGGTAATTGACCCAGAGGTAAACAGTTTTTGGATAAGCTATGCATCAGTTTGAAGCCTAGCAGGAGCCACTGCAGCTATAGCGCAGTCTCCTCTTTACTGCAAAACTGAATCAGTAAAGGAGTTGAGACTAAAAACATGAGTTGAGTGTCAAATTTTCCTTTAATCCCCCACCCCTTATCCCTGATGATGGTTTTTTTTTGTTAGCTGCTGCTGTGCCTTCAGTGTATTTGCGTCTGGCAGTCAAACACAGTATCTTAGTAGGAAAACTGGATTCATGTGATGGTTATTTGTCAGGGTGTTGCCCTGAAAGAACCTTCCTTCTAATAGTGAATTACTTTTCAAATTCATAATGCTGTAATATTGACTGACGATTTAAGATATGCTGTGTTAAAACAAATATCCCTAGAAATTAGTAATATTGACACTGTCCTGAGCATGTATATGACTGTTTACATTTTCTCCGCAGCGTGATGAAGCCACAAGACAGTGCAGGGAGCTGTCCCAGGAGCTGGTCAACCTTCGAGGAGATCTGGGTAAGTTAGGTCACCTTGGTCTCACACTGGCTGTGTTTACAGTGGTTATCACCAAAGTACACACTCCTGGTACAGTGTTTGCTTACACTACGTCTTTCTAATGTGTTTTTTGTCCTTTGGATTGCTCAGTTTACACAGCAAAGTTGGGACACATTGAGGATTATGTCTCTATAGACAATTATGACAATATATTTTTTATATCTTGGCTCCTGGACTTTTTTGTCACTGGTATATAGTTGTTTACTTGGTGTACTTTTTTGGTTGCTACGATCTGATGCAATCATTGATCTGAGTCATTGGTGCTTTATTGTTGACGTTTATAGCAGATGTTAGGTGTTTATTCCACACTGGTGAATTTAATCAGCGATTACATTGCAGAAATTCCACTGGACTGGCAGTCATGCCGTTCAATAAAAAGTTTGATAAAACATGTGATCTTTATTTAATACTAATAAAATGGTTAGAGCCAGTGCTCTGCCTGAGAGTGGTTGGTGTTATTATGGGTTAACTTGATGGAACTGGTGTCGAAATCAATTCATGAATTAAATATTATTCTTTTTGTTTGCAGGTGAGGACATACTCTTGTTTGCTTTTATCCACCATATAGATATTCCCTGTGGCTCCCTCCACTTGTTAATTGCTTTGTCCTCCACTGAAAATCAGATATCTATTTGACATGGCTTGTGTGTTTAATTGTTGCTCAGTTAAATGGTGTCAGTCTGTTCCCCAGGGAGTGGTAGGGTGGCCTCTGACCCCACACAGGAGGGGCTCTCACTAGTGGAATGCCACACCACCTGAGGCCTTGTGAAGGCTTACAGATAACGACCCATGTTTTATGCCAAGCCTAAGTGCTGTCACACAGAATAGCCTCGAACATACAGGCACATGCACGCTCAAACATGCACTCACGCAGCAGCTTTCATCTCCGTTACTTAAGGCTGCAGTAGTGTTGTGACTCCTCCCCTCCTTTACAGTCTCAAGACTTCCACATGACTGCTCTTATATGCTGAGCTGCACTATAACACATTCTTCACTTCAGGCTGTGAGATCTACGCTATCCTCAGATCAACCTTTTGTATTATGTGTAGTAAAATATGTTTGGCAGTCAAGAGGCATTCTTAAAAATCCACGTTTAGTTTATTTTGTCCTCGGACTGTGTCCCTGCCTGCTTCCCCAGTGATCTCACTCCTCGTACAGCAATAAATTCAAGGCTTGGATCACAGCCAAAAGTATGGTTCAACCACACCCAGTTTGTTATCATTCCTCACATGTAAAATTACAACTAAAAGGGATCTGCCTGCTTCAGCATCCGCATTATATGTTACGTTTCCAAATCCCGTCATCCTGATAACTCTTGGCAAAAATACAGCTAACATTAGATTAACTGGGTCCTGGTTTTCCATACTGCATGAGCCATGAGGTGTTTTTGTAGGGTGGATTTGGACTAGAAAGGCTCATATGAGCAGATCTCTGTTACACATGGTTGCGGAATGCCGGGCTCCGTTTGTTGAGCTGCACATGCCAAAGCATGATAGATAGTCCCTATGTTAGCTTGGCCTCTGTTCCTGGAGCTGCGGCTGTTATTCCACTCTGGCTAAGGTGAATCTTCATGCTCCTGCAGTGCACTGTTATTTCTTCCTACTGTAGCTCAGTATTTAGATGTGTAGAAGAAGAGACTCTGGCACTCCATTTATATGCAGACAGTAACAGGGATACAAATAAGTAGACAAATAAATAACACAATTTGAGACTATCTGTGTGCGACAAAATTGTTCAATATTATAGATAAACACATTTCAAATGCAGCATGTGGCCCTTGTGCAGAGAATCGTCATATGTGCAAAAGATGCCTACTTTTTGGTAACCATGAAACGTTATATTGTTATAACGTCATTGTACCACCCATTTTGTAGGATAGCAGAGAAACATCTGAATTCAGTATTATTTTACACCCACTTGCTCCACTACTAAAGTTTTACATTGTTTCAGGTTAAAAATAGATAGTCGTGGTTTATTGTCATACCATGCATTTAAGACCAAACCTCTCAAGGAAAGTCACCTGCTAAACATGACAGAAGAGTTTGTTGTTGCACACAGCAGTCTTTCTTACTGTACACCATCACTGTGACTTTTCTAGTGAGCTGAGGTCCAATTCCAGCTGCTGGGTATCAACAGTGTTTGTGCACAGCCACTTAAACTGCAGACAGGTTATGGAGTTGGTCACTGTCACCAACTCCAGAGCAGGCATAAACACTTTGTGATGGAAACAGCTGGGATATAGTGAGATCAGTTTACAGAACAAAAACAAAAGCCACCAGTTGCACAAGCTTGAAAATGGCACCAACTGTGGAAAGGAGAAATGAGCCTGATTTAAGAAATCTGTTACCTATGCCACCGATTTCAAGATAGTGTGAAAGAATTGAGACTTGTTACTACATCCTCATCTGTCTATAAATAACTGCAGTGTAGTTGTGGTTAAGTGCAAGAGGCACCTCCCCTTGAAAGTCAGTTTTTCCATTCCTTTTAGGAGAGCATCAGTGTCGCACATTTACATCAAGGACGACTTTGCTAAACAGAGGGTCCTCAGTGGACATATCAGATTTCTTACACAATCGGTTACTAATACATTCTTTCCTCTGACCTTTTTTTAATGAATATTACAGTCTACACAGCTGCAGATACTCACTGAACATCATGCAAAGTCCTATCACAATTTCACCAAGATAAAATGCTATCTTTTTATTTCCAGTTTGCTCCATCCATTCCTCTGAGCGTTTGGAGAAGGAGAAGGAGGAGTTGCGTGTTGCTCTGGAGGATGCACTGCAGAAACTGCAGGAGCAGCATCAGAACGATGTGGCTGAGCTGGAGCAGAGGTTACAGGCCTTCTACCAGGCTGAGTGGGACAAGGTCCACCTCACCTACCAGGAGGAGGCTGACAAGTGCAAGACTCTCATGCAACAGCAGGTTTGTCACAACACTACCTTTCAGAATGATTTTGTATGTGCTGCAGGAAACTGACAGTAAAACATCTAAATATAAGGCAGTGCCTGATAATGCCTCATGATCAATAATGCTTTGTTTCAAAATTAAGTATATTGTGTTATTTTTAAAGATGGGAGAGCTTAAAGCCAATCATGAAGCCATTAAGCTGGAACTGCAGAGCAGCCACACAGAACAGCTGCAGTGCGTTAAACAGCAGTATGAAATGTCACTGGAAGGTGAGTGGACAGCACTGACACAAACTATTCAAACTACATCCATTCTCTGAAGCTGCTTTTTATGAGTTCATTTGAAACCGACTCGAGCTGAGAAAGCTTTAAGTGTGTTTTTAACTTTTAATTTTCTGCCTCTGTTAACTAATGCATGTACAGTATAAAAATGTTTTATTGCATCATAACATTAAATTGTGATTAATCTTGACCTTTCTAAAGTGACAATACCTGTAAACCTTTCAGAGCTCAGGAAAGTTCACAATCAGGAGCTGCAGTCTGTGGACAAAACTTTGAAAGATGCAGAGGCTGCTCTGTCTGTAAGGATCACTTTTTCCCTTTTCATGTAATGGCGCGAGATTAACTCATGATTTGATAAGCTAATGTGTAAAACTTTACTCAGTGACTTTGTTGTGCTGCGTGCGTCCACAGGGACAGATCCAAGAGCTGACTGTGGAGAACAGTGCCCTTATAGAGAAGCTAACAGCAGAGGAGAACAAGAGGAGGGAGCTGGCCGAAAAGAGTCAGGTACTCTTATCTGTGCGCTTATTATAGCAGAGCTCCACTTTAGAAACATCTCATGACTCCAGTGTTGTTCACCCCCGAGCATAAAAGGTGGGAAATCCATGAAGCCAATGATTACCAGAAGGATGGGTCATCAACAGAGGCGCACACAATACATGTTTTCGTGAAAGACTTAATTCTTAAGTAACCCATAGTTTTCTGTTCAGTCAACCATTAACCATTCTTCAGTGTGAAATGTGGCAGGTTAAACTCTGCTGCATCACCCCACCCCCCCACCCCGCCTCCCCCTCACTGTCCAGAATGTATATTTTAATTTTCCCAGAGTGCTGTTGTACAGGGGGCTGACGCTCCTCATCAGTGTTAAGTGGCTGCCACATGTACTCAGCATTCTGGCCTGGCACAGTGGAGTCATTAAGATAACTGCCTCACGTTACCCTGCCACTGCACATCTGTTATTAATAGATAAATAAGAAGAACAGCATTAGCAACAGATCAGTGTTACATATTGACCATGTGTAGAGCACTAGGAGTTAAACACTACCTTCATGCAGAACACATCGTCTGCATGTTTGTAATATGAATTATTGTGTAAGACACCTAAACATCCACAGTGTGACTGTCCCTGTGAACCCTGAGCAGTGAATATTTTGTAAGTGATGACTAGCGCCCTCTGTTGTGTGGTTCTGGAGGCTTGCTGTATTAATGTAAGCACTTTTTGCAGTCTTGATAGTCCCTGAACGTCTTGGCACTATTTATTTGTCCCTGCAGAAGGACTCCCACACCCTGTATCTGGAGCAGGAGCTGGATAGCCTCAAAGTGGTGCTGGATATCAAAAACAAGCAGCTCCACCAGCAGGAGAAGAAGCTGATGGAGATAGACAAACTGGTAAGAACTGAGGCAGATGAAAATGTTTGCTGGGCGTCAAGACAAGCAATGCTACTGACATAGAAAAAAACACTTGGATCTGTCAATCATTCTGTTTTTTTTTTCCCAGACAGAGAAAAATGTGAAGTTGGATGAGAACCTTAAGAAGGTCCAGCAGGAGAATGAGGACCTCAAAGCCCGCATGGAAAGACATGCTGCACTGTCGAGGTAAGAGTTCACAAAATGAGCTCATGAAGTGATGGAAACCACCTGTCTCTGTTCAGGCTCTTTATGCCCCAGTGAACCTTTGAATGACTGCATTATCATTATCATTTATAGAGCACTTTTCTAAACCCATGTCACCAAGTGCTTCACACAAGCCAACAACTTCAAAACAAGCACATCAAATAAAACTGAATATCACCAGCCATATCCTTTTTAGGGTTTCTGAAACAACCTGTGTAATCCTCATTTTATTAGTTTCATTTCTTAAAGAAAGTCTGACACCAAATAAATCAAATAATTAATGATACACTGTAGGTGAGAACTTGAGCTGAGTGGTTGAATCGCTCTCGTGTGAACATTTATGCTCCGGATCATTTCTAACTAGTCTGTTGTGTTGATGCACCACAGACAGCTGTCCACAGAGCAGGCCATGCTGCAGGAGTCTCTGCAGAAGGAGTCCAAGGTGAACAAGCGTTTGTCCATGGAGAACGAGGAGCTGCTGTGGAAGCTCCATAATGGAGACCTGAGTAGCCCCCGCAAAGTGTCCCCCAGCTCCACCTCCCCCTCCCACTCCTTCAGCTTCCAATCACCTCGCAACTCTGGCGTCTTCTCCAGCCCTCCTGTCTCGCCCAGATAACGATGGGCCCCTGCTTCCGGGAAGCAGACCCTGATGTTTGAGTTATCCCTCTAGAATATGGAGCCATTTTTGTTTCCTGTTCGCTTAGCAACACAACAGCCTGACCTTGGCTCCTTCAGGTTTGGATGAACTCTGACACTTTCTGGACAGGGACACTACAGACTGTAAGAAAAAAAACGTTGCACAGAAGCACTTAATAAGCAAGGCCACCTTGTTCTTTGCTTTTCACATCTGAAACTATGGATGAGGGAAAAGGAAATCTCAGGACTTGTATGTAATGAAACACTATTTTTGTTACTTGTAGTTGTTGGCAAAGGCTTGTCTTTCCTGAAGTTCAGCACACGCACACATACAGTACATGCAGTAAAAAATACACACATGCATGCATGTGTATACACATGCGCAGATACAGCCCTGCAGGGTGAGAGAGGGCTTCTTTGTGTCTCTGGAGACCACAGCCATGGAAAGTCTGAATTCAGAATAGCTATGAATACAGATGGCAGCATCCCTCCTCAGGGCATATTTTTATTTTAAATATGTTGCTTCTGTTGGATTCCTGCACCATTTCTCACAGCTAACTGCTGTAATAATCCTAACATCCCACTGCTAGTCAGGACACCAGTGCTGTACATGTCTCTGTCTAAAAATTTAAATGTTCATACTCATATGCAGGCTGCTCTCACTGGCATGTTCATATTTCCGTATGTTATATTTTCAAAGGTCAGGATTTTTTACGTCCATATTGACAGTTTAAGTATCATCTCTGGCCTCAAACATGTTTAGATTTTCACGTTTTTTTTTTTTTGACTAAGGGACCAATCCGAGTCTTTGTGCATGTGTTTGAGTTGTGTCGATCACCCCTCACTGAACCCTAATGCAGCTTTAAATTCAGGGTCTTGACCAGAAGAAGCCTTGCTTGTACACGTCAGAAACACTGCATCTTGGAAATGTCTCGAAAAGAGTATTTTGTGTGGAATTGAAATTATTGGTGTGTTGACCCTGTTTGAAATATGCAATTAATAAAGTCTTGTATTAAACCTGAAGTTGGAAAGCTGCAAAATAGTCTATCGGTGTCAAAATTTGTTACTGTTATCCACATATTTTGTGAATTTATTCAGATGAAACTCTGCTTACAGTTTCCTTAAAGAGATATATTACAGTTTATAATTCAGTTTTTCCTGGGACTGAAAAACTTGGACTCAGTAGGTTTTACCTCCATAGAATCAGTGAAGTTAATATTCACCATCAGTCAAGCTTTGTGACTATTGTTTTTACTAAAGCACAAACATTCATGTCCTTAAGCGTAAGTATATTTCAAAATCATAACAACCAGCAACTAAACTGGAAACTGCAGCAATTGTTGCATTGGACCAAAATAAGTTCTGGGCCTTCAGATCACATTCCACATACGGAGTGCATTAGGACGTAAGACCGACACACTGCTCAGCTTTAAAACAGATTCTCCTCCTCATGACATGCTGCAAAGCCAGAGCAAGTCTCTGATGGCTGCAGCTCTTCTCCAGCATCATTATTTAATTTAAATGTAGCATAGAACAAAGCTGTGATTAGACAGTGATGTTTGATCAGGTGTCCAGCTCAACAGAGTGCCAGGTGTCAGTGTGGCTTGGTGTTGCTTCTTTCATAATGACTCCACCACCAAAAACTTTAATCTCCAGGTACGACATTGAAATGAGTGTCTATATTATATTAATATTTGGTGAGTACAGCACTTGCCTTGCTTACTGCTTGCTGTTTAGCATTGATTCCACAACCTTTTTGCAGACAATGAGAATCTGTGTTAAAGCCAGAGTCCTGCAGAGTATCACAAAAACCATGCCACAGTTTGGGCTTTTATCAGATCATCCCATAGATGTTCAGTAGATTGGAGGTCTGGTGACTGTGGAGGAAAAGCCCTGCAGGTCATGACTCCTCACTCTTCTTTGGACTTCAGATAGCTGCGATTCATGTTTCGGCTCATTGCCCTGCTGTAAGATTAATCCTCTTTTCACGGCTTTGAGCCAGGGGGAGTGTCATGGGGTGGTCCATTTAGATTTGATGAACCTTACTTTCAGTGAAAATGACTTGTTCTTGTGTTGCCCTACTCCTTTGAAATGGGAAATTTAGCTACAGCTTGATGGTTTTAAATGTCAAAATGCACTCTTCAATGAAGTACATAGCAAATCTTTATTGTTATTACCATGTTCAATCTAAAAATACATCCGTTTGTAAGTATATACATGTTGATTTCATGTGCTCTCACTGGTTGTTACAGTTATATCTTTAAAAAAATGTCAAAACACTCCAACATCATCCATAACATAACACAGGGCCTGCTGCTGAGACTATTTGGAGATGATGTCGATTGTCACGATCGTCTCACCGTGCTGGTTTTTGGCTTTACAGATGTAGTTCCCAAAGTCAATGGTCTCCATGTCCTCTACAGTCATGACACTTTGGGAGACCCTTGTGGTGTGGGCCATACCCCTGTTCACCAGCCGCCAGGAGGTTAAGATGTGAACAGGACGATGGTCCTACACAACAAAACAAACATGGCTACTGTTATTGTATTGATTTTTTTTTTCTTCAAATGCAGCAGATGTAGGTGTGTAGGTGTAGCTGTAGGTGTGCAGGATAGTTGAATGACTAAATATATTTTCAGTCACTGATCCGAGATTTCTGCTTTTTCCCCTGCATTAGCAGCATTGACCAGAGCTGACAAGTAATATCTCTCAAATCATCGGCTCACAGTTGGTTGATGGTATTGGTATCTTTATTCAAAATGAAGCCTGTTATTCCTCTCACCTGACCAGGATAAGACCAAGTGAAGCTCACGTCCACTTCTGGCTCCCCCAGCACGGTGCAGGTGACATTAACGTTGTCGCCTCCTCTCGCGGAGTCTGGAGACGCCTCTAGGCTCACAAACGGTGGACCACTGGGAACTGTCAACACCAGGAAGGGAAACAGAGTGAATCTATTATTTATTATGTCTCCTTTATGTAGAGTAGTCTGTCTATCCACACTCACTCTGCTAGGAGTCACTATTCTGATATCAGCTGGTGAAGACAACAAACCTATGATTTATAGATGAATGATTTGTGGTATTTAGACAGTTACAGAAAACCTCCTCTCTCTCTCTCTCTCTCTCTCTCTCTCTCTCTCTCTCTCTCTCTCTCTCTATCTGCCAGTTTCAACACATGCCATGCAGCAGCTTAATATGGTAAAAACCTTAAACCACACAAAAATTTCCCCCCCCCCCCCTTCTGTAAAATCCAGACTGTATGTTTCCATTTCAGCTGGCAAGTGTCCACACACACCGGGCTCAGCAGCGAGGAGTGAGGAGGCTTTTGACAACTCTGAAATAAAAGCTTTTCCTGGAAGCTGACGAAGCAAAGTAAGCAGAACTTGATTCATGACTTTGTGAAAATGCCTCTCGCAGTGGCTCTTGGCACTTTGAGTCATCAAGGTGACTTACAAAGCTCAATGGTAAAGTTTGACATTTAAAAGCACTGGAAAATTGTCGGAGCAGCATTACAATGCGTTACTGTATTTACGACCACATTGATGTGTTGTGTGGGTGTTGTGTCCCTACCCTCCACATAGAGCAGCTGGTACATAGTGGAGACCTGAGGGGTGCCCTTGGTCACAGCCTTGCAGTAGAAGACTCCCTGGTGCTCTGGACTGGGGCTCTGCAAGACAAAGCCCTTGGTGGGGTCATAGGTCACCAGGGTGTCGTTGGCTGTGATCTCCTCTGCGGGTACTTCTCTGTGCAGGGACACCTTGGCCTGTGGGTCGGTCACACGGCAGGGCACCACAGCGGGACTGTCTGGGCGCAGGTACACAATCTCAAAGTGGATGGCAGAGGGGACGAAGAGGTTATCTTTGTCTGGTTGGAGAAAAAGATATCAACACAGTTACTGGATTTCAAGGCACAATACACCTAGATGAAAACAGGTCACCTAATCACCAGGCTGATCAGAGTTTGAAACTCTGAACTGAAACTCAGGACTGACTCACTTTTTGAGGGTTGATACACTGATATTTCTAAGATAGGAACTGCTGATAGTTTGTGCTTGCATATTATGAAATGAAATGGAAAAAAAGGAAAAATAATTATAATAAATACTCAGGCCTATTTCTACCTACCAGAGATGAAATCTTCACTGTTAAGTGTTGTCTTTTACTGGACGCTATTTTGAACTGATGTTGCTCTTGAAATGCTTATATTTCTAAAACAGTAGTTATTTTTGATGCACAGAGTTTGCATTGAGTGATATTAAAAAGAGGAAAAGTGAAACAAAAATCTGCCAAAATCAACAGAGGCTGTGTATTTTTTACAAGACATTAAATCATTAATAATTCATCGTAAAACATAGCACAGCTTCTCAGTGAGACACATCAGGGCCTTAAAACAGAAATAGATACAGAAGCTCTACTGCAGGACTGGTCAACCATGTTTTTATTCTAACCCAGACTGACTCAGACTGATGAGCACTCATTACACCTAATTTAATAATTCTTTGTTTGTTTGTATGTTTGTTGTAAAACACAACATTTACATATTATCACCATATAAAGTTGATATAGCTAAAGTGATAGCATACAGTTGTCAATTTACACATCCAGCAGACATTCGTTTGGAGTTATGTCTGTGTCCATCTGATTCATGTAAGTCTAATATTCACTCTGCTTTTAGCTCTGTTTTGGTCTCCACCAGCTCCAGAGAGAAACATCTGGCTCCTTAGCTACTAAATGTGTCCCTGTGTTCACCAGCTAGTCGCTAACTGTGTCCGTCTGCAGCTTGATGCTGGGCAGGTTGTGTACAGAGGGTTTATCGGAGGGTTTAGTTGTGTTGTCTAGAAACAGATGCCTCTTGTTGCTGGAAGTCGTGGCCGTGCATGTAAACACAATGAGCTTTAAGATGCTGAAAGGCTCCACAGTGGGTTTGTCACCATGAGTGACACCTTTTGCATTACACATCTGACCCATTGCTTATAAAAAAAAAAAATGAAGTAGTGCAGCTTTAAAAATATATCCCTTACTGATAAAATAAGAAAGCGTGATGTGTACATTATTGTTTTTGATCACCTGTGAAATAGATGTATGAGACGTAGGCTCGATCATGGTCCTTCTCACACTCTGTCCCATCACACACTACCACCCAGCAGCTGTAGGGCCCCGTGTCAGCGGCAGAGGGTGACGTCAAGATCAGCTGACTGTACTTGTCGCTCTGCTTGATGCTGGAGGCAGGAAACAAAATATAAGACCTTCATATCCGCATCAGCTTTACAGCATGACAAACAGTTGAGGTCCTCTTGCAGCACCTGAGGCGTGAGTCGTTGAAGGTGTCCAGGTAGGTTGGGTACGACCATCCGATGTTGTTGCCTTTGCAGCGCAGCTCTATGTTCTTCCCAGGAGTCAGATCAGTGGTCTGGCCCAGGCGAAGGAAGCGGCCCTTGTCTAAGACCTGGGTCAGCAGGGACTGGCCTTTCCCCCCTACATCCTTAGGTTTGGGTTGTCGCACCTTCACCCGTTTCCCCCCTGGTCTGATGCGGTTCTCTCCTACATCTTTCCTTCGCTTGACTTGTTGGCAGTCACCTGGATACACAGAGAAAAAAGAGAAGTGGGGAGGGGGGCAAAGAAATAATAAGGATAACAAAGTTGAGTCAGAACATCTTCTGTTACTGTTCTGCATCAGCAGGTCTCATTCCTGACTGAAACAGCACAGGGTCAGCCCGGTGGTGAACAGTGAGCTGCTCTTTGTGTTTCCCCAGCTGTGACAACAGTTGAACAGGAAGTGTGAAATCCTTGTTACTGGCACAAAATGTCCAGAACCCAGCCTCTTTCTTTCTGTCTCTTTTTCTCAGTGGGCACAGAACATAGAAAAGAAGAGAGGATAAAAAGATTATTGTTCAGTGGAGACGTTCAGGGTTTGTTGTTTTCTTCCTCAGTGCAGCGTTAATGAGGACTCTAAGAAAAAGGTCAACAGTGAAGGCCAGTTAATTAGAAACGCCTGTTGCATGCCTCAGATCCAGCTGGTTTGAGTTGGTGTGCAGAAAACCTTTGCAGAAACTCACAGAACTACATGCAACCCTTCAGCAAACTTTTACAATTCACATGCATTGTATAAAATTCAAATATGGCAGATTGGTGGCATTTTGTCTTCCTGACAAATGAAGTGTTTGTCTTTGACATTTGAGAATAAGATTTGCTTCTTTGTGAATGCACCTCCCATTCTTCAGCCATCACAAAGACTGCTGCCCCTTATACAACCTTAGATTATCTAATCCTCCCACTACTTCCAGGTTACACTCAAGTTCTCGTGATGAAAATAACAGTTGTGTCTGCTTCTCTCATAAATCTACGAGACAGATATGGAGACTTACTCACCATTGTGTAGCTCCAGCCAGAGCAGTGCCAGGCAGAGCACAACCCAGATCTTCATGGTGTGCTGATGGGGTGGTCAAAGGAGTGACTCCTCTACAGAGATCAGGGAAGTTTGGTGTCGGGCTCAGTAGGAAAGAAGGTCAGGCTCGGAGCTTCACTGGAACTCTGCAGGCTCCAGCTGCCCTGTTTAGATTTCCAGCTCCATCCTCCTCACAGACTGAGAGGAAAAGGGAAAATAACTTTGGATCCCCTCTGTTTTCTCTCTCTCCTCAGACATGAAGAGTGGAAACACACACTCTGGTGCCCTCTGCTGGATCTGAGTGTGGATCATCCTGCTTTTTTAAAGGGTAAATCCTCCACCTCAGAAAACCACAGCTGCACTCAAAGAATTCATGCTCTCACATGTTGCACACCTGTCTACATCCTAGTTAGTGAAGTGACCGCAGGTGTTTTGACTTTAAACATTTTTAACATGCTGTGACATCACTAGACGGGGTGTGGCCAGAGTTGCAGCGTGTAAATGTTTTAAGGCACAGAGTGATGCAGCAGTTTTTGAACATTTGTAATTCACCCCTTTAACTTATCCTTTAATGGTTTAAGGTGGTGAATACTGCTGTAGTCATATCACGTTAGCATTATGTTTCATTTCATTTTATTTCATTTGTTAGCGTAATAATAGCTAATAATAATAATATAATAATTTAGTGATAGAAAACCATGCCATCTTGTTAATGGCAGCCATAATTTTTTAATTCATATTTTGTCCTGGAATGCTTGATCTCAGTATGAATTTATGTCTGCAAACTATAAAGGAAGGTCATACTCATGACCACTGAATCAGAGCTATGTAAATGTGTCATGATGCTGTAATCCCACCTATTAAAAGGAATGGCATCTCTTTTCGCAGGAACCTAAAGGAGGACAGGAAATATCCACTGGAATCTGCTACCAATTGTAGAAAAAAGGTATGAAATATTCACAAATAGCGATTTTGTCAGGCTTTGTAATTGTAGATATGGATGGGTACGTGATGAACCAAACAGAAAAACAAAAGAAAACAGATCATAAGGTTATTTCTAATTGGCCACAAGGTGGTGTTACCTAAAACATAGTAAAACTTGTCGGTTCTTCCATGGTTCATAGTCAATCTCTCCACCAGCATTCACTAAAATCTGCTACATCTTTTTTGAAATATTCTTATAGGACAGAAAACTTAACCTCTTTAAGGCGGTGATGAAAAAAAAAGTAAACATTAAACACTGTCTTTTTGGAAAATACATTTATTGTATTTGTCTGTGCAGCTGGTAACAAGGGAAACTACATCATGGTCACATCTATGCACGTCATCCTGTAACTTCACTGGAAGACTCTACACGGGTAATGTAGAGGTTCAGTGTGGGAGAATGCCCACCTCACTCCTGCTGAGACCAGCTTCTGAATTTGTTCCACATTTATTTAAACCAGTGACCTGCACACATCAATCAGCCTGATCGATCAGTTACCAACATATCTTACAGCCGCAGCATCTGACCTCTGGAAAAGTGAAGAATCTCTCCACGTCAGATGGTGTAAAACAGATCAGAGATCAAACAGCGAACACGTTTCTACTGGAAACTAGAGCTCACTGAGCCTTACAGCTCACAGTACTAGAAAAATGCAGATGGCCCCTAAAAGGCCAGGAGAAAGAGTGCTAGCTCTGAGTCTTCATGCAGTTCAGAACAAAAAGTCTCTTCAGACTGGTTATGAAGCAAGACCCCAGTCACTGAAGTAAGACACTGAACACAAAGAGAAGAAACTTGGATAAAAGCCCATTTCATCTACTTATGTGGCAAAACAAACATCTTCCTATATAATACTTTAACTCGTAATTAATTGTGCTTCTTGTTAGGTGGCAAAGTACTCTAGTTATGACGGAATAATTTCATGACGGTTATAGCAACAGCAAGTCTGCAGATGTATCAAAATGAAAACAGTGTTATAATCTGACAGAGAAAAAAAAGAAACTACAAATACTTTTTCAGGAGAGTTTTGTCTCAATAACAGTTTTCTTATTCAGACTGTAACAGTTCATACACATAACACACCCAAGTAAAAATAGAAAAGTAAACCTGTGCTGAGTAAAACCACCACAACAGCTATGGAGATCTCAATAACTACAGTAAAGAAAGATATGACTTGTTACATAATACCCACAGAAGCCTGAAACCTCCCCCCAGCATCTGGCCGACTTTCAGGTCACTGACATAAAAACAGAGTCGAGTCACAACATGTTAAGTGCCTGCAAAACTATTTGACATTTTGTACATTGGTCTAAATGTGGCAGTGTCTTTATGATCTTTTTATACAGCATCACAATTATCACAATAATGCATTATGCACATAAAAGTTCTAAAATATGTTTAGACAACACATCTTTAACCTTATATTGGTCCTTTTTCCGCTTCAGGCACTCATGTAAGAGAACAACAAGTGCTTTTACCACAAACTAACATCACTTACAATACTAACACACAACTGATGTATCAAAATCTAATAATATCTGGACCATTAAATGATAGCACAGTTTTCAAAGACTAAAAATCCAACTGTAAAAATCTGCTAAAAATGTAAAAACTTACAGAAAAGACAACGTGTGTGTCATGCACTAAAAAGTCAAGTCCATAATGAAAGAGAAAAGCTTTGCTGCAGTCTTGACATGACTGCTTCAGTGTTAAAGGAAATGAACATCACTCTCCAGTGTTACCTGTCCATTCAAGTCTGCCTCCATGCTGTCCATGAAGTACAATGTGACCTACAGGATGCGGTCCCATCACAGTGATAGAGCGGCTCCACGTCACGTGGTCGCTGATACAGAATACTGATGCTGCCTTCGCAGACTGAATGTGCTCGCGGCTGAAGCACGCACGGTGAAGCAGTAATACAGGTGCATCAAGGCAGAGCTGCTGTGTGCTTTTATGCATCTGTTGCCTCACAGAGTCTTTGAATGAGCTGGTAAACTTTAACACTGGCTGGTCTTCTCTGGAAAGATGAAACGCTCTTGGTCTTTTCCTACTGCACCTGTGCCAACCTGCTTCTCCCTGCTGCTCTTGCTGTGTTCCTGGGTGGTGTTACTGCTGGTTACTGGACCCTGACGTTGGCGCTGGCGCTCCACACTATGCCACATGCCGTAGCCAAAGTAGATCAGGAAGCCTGAGAAGGGCCATTGGAAAAGATATGAGGTACCAAAAAAACGGGCTATTAAAGGAATAGTTGGACATTCTGGGAACTGATTTGCTTTCTTGCTAAGAGTTAGATAAGCAGATTGATACCACGCTCAGTTCTGTCCATTAAATATGAAGCTGGAGCCAGGAGATGGTTATCTTAGCTCAGCATAATGACTGCAAGCAGGGCGAAGCAGCTAGTCTGGCTCTGTCCAAACAAAATTTATCAGCCAGCACTTCTAAAGCCGAATAATTAACATGTTATGTCTGGTTTGTTTGGTCAGTACAAAAATGTAAATGTAAAAGTGATGGGAAACCACAACAAAACTACAGGAATTCCCTGGTCCCGCCCCCATGGAGTTGTTTCCCATTAAAATAAGTGTAGGTCACAAAATGTTGCACTGTGGCTGCAAATGCTGTTCAAAAATTTTGGGACGTACATTAAAAGGAACCTACCCACAGCCATCCACAAAGAGAAACGTATCCAGGTGTCTCCACTCAGCTGAACCATGAGGTAAATATTGACAAATATGCTCAGAATGGGCAGAAACGGCAGAAGAGGGACCTGTGATGAAACACATGTCAGATCAGCCTCATTCCATAATGCAGGACGGTGTGAGAACAGCAGACGTATTGAGCTTCTACGCACCATGAAGGAGACCTTCTTGCTGGTCTGCGGCTGCCTGCAGACCATGGCGACGCAGCCGCTGAAGATGAGGAGACACACAGACAGCAATGCCAGGATCCACACTTCCATACCAAGGACGGAGTAGATGTGGTACGTGGTGAGATAGCTGACCACACACACTACCAGCACTGTGTTTAACAATACATATTTTAACAGATGATCAAATGTTAATCAGGCTGCAGTCAGACAGAGCACCAATAAACAGCTGTTGACCTGTCCTGCCTACCTAGCACACTGATGGACATGTTGACCACACTGGAGGAATGCTCCGAGGGTTGGACCGGAGGGTGCAGGACAGTCTGCAGGGTGGAGCTGCCACCCTTCAGCATGTTGAGATGGGACTCTGACTCTGTCAGGTCTGACTCACCCTCTTCAGAGGACAGGTAATCCCTCTCACTGGGACCTGCACGCCGCTCCAGAGCTCCGTCTGGCTGGTACCTGGAGGACAGACGCAGCAAAGGTTAAAGGTCATAAGTTGCTGCTTTACTAAGGTTCACAGCCTGAAAAGCTGCACTGCTTTCAGTGTTTTCAGTGTCTAAAAGTACTACTGGTTTATATATAGTGTAATCTCTCTCTCTCCATCTATACAGAGATATATATATATATATATATATATATATATTATGAAATAGTCTAAGGTGTTTTTTTACTTTACAAAACAAGTGAGGCCTTTAAATCTGGTTCAAACCAGGGAAGGAACAGTGTGTCAGTGTCTGCTGCGTCTGTGGTGATGAATCACCTCTGTGCGACCAACACAAGTGTACAGAAAGTACAGAGTTTAGCGAGTGTAGAAAACTTAAGTAAACACCTTCATTCACTCAAGCAGCCACTTCACATCCACACAATGGGAGCATTCACAGCTCTTACATCACCAGTGTGATGCCAGAACATGAGGTGTAGAGTACGTTTCACAAACAGGCTAATCATACCTGTGGGCTCATAGAAAAGCTGTAAGGGAGGCTATTTCACAATTCTGCACAAATAGGTTTTCCTTCAAGTGATATTTTTAGTTATTTTCTATAAATGTACCCACCTGAGAATCAGTACACACACAGCAACCAGCGAGTAGGCCAGCAGCGTCCCAATGGACATCATGTCAACCAGGGCTTTGAGGTCAAACAGGAAAGCCATGATGGCTACAGCAAGCACAAAATTTAAATTAACACAAACACGTTCACCTATAAAAAGAACATTTATAAGAAATAGGAACCTTACTGATGACTAAATACATAAAAGCAGTAATTTACAAAAACATACAGTAGTGTGACAATAATATTCTTGCAATTATAAAGGGGAAAGCTGCTCTCTTCAGATGCACCATCCAACAAATGCACATCAACGTGAACAGATGCAAATTAAATTTCATGCAGAAGTGTTTTGACAATAAAAAGGCACAAAAGAGCTAAATGTTTCCAACAGCTGTGATCACCTCCATACCATGTGTCGTTTGATGTGAGATACACTGTGGTTTGCCTCTCTTGTATCTCAGCACCAGACTCCAGTGTGGAGCTGATCACAGCAGTGCAGTTCAAACACGGAGCAGTGGTATGTCCGCTGCTCCTCACAACATTATATTAAAACAAAAATAACAGAGAAAAGCTCCCCTGAACACTGCTGTCAGGTGTTCAGTACATGGCCTATGGTGATGTGGTATGGTGAACCCTCCCAGGGTTCACAGCTACCAGCCAGTACAGCAGGTCATTCACCCTGCAGGTCTTCTAACCCCAACACCTGAGTACAGTGAGCAGGATGTTACCATGTACTGTGCACCTGGATCCCACTGAGCAGGAAAGCTTTAGAAGTGGACATTCTTAACACCGTATGAGCACCACAACAGCCTCCAAAGACCAGATTGTTTGAATTTCATGGAAGTCAGATGAATGTGTTGAAAACTACTTGGCTGAAAGTACTAAATGTGACGACCCCTGGGGTCCTCTTGGGGGTGTGTTGTCTGTTGGCCTGACCTATCCTCTTGTTTGTAGCTGATCAGGTCATTAGGAACACCTGTGTTCCCGGGTATATAAGTCCTGGTGGCTGATTAATCTCTCTCTGCTCCTCTCCACAGGCGCATCCTGCTTTTGGCTCTGTTATGTCTTCGTTTGAGCCTTATGTCTGGTTTTGCACTTTACAACACTCATGCACACCATACACCACTGATTTACTGATTTCCACACCTCATACTTGGAACAACATTTAATTTGGTTTTCTTAATTTGGTTTAATAAAATATTCTTTATGAATAACTGTGGTGCATCTCCCTTTTTGTCATGACCACTTGAGCCGGGGTCATAGCACAAAGTAGCCACAGACTACCATGAGGCTGTGACAAAACATGTCCTGTAATTTCATCATCATGAAAGGGCCAAATGGCATTTTAACATAACTCTTTTAATATAAACACACCCACTACATAACATCTCAACAGTCACCTCTCTATATATGAAAGCTGTCTTAGTGATTTTCATACAATAGAAAATGAATTTGGCCTGATTGTGCCTTATAAGCATAACTGTAGTCTACTCTGTAATTCGTACCATTAGATTAGTAACTACAGTCTTGTCAGCGGCTCTGTGGAGCTGTGCTTTCAGATAAATGCTAACATCAGCGTGTTACAGATAAATGCGCACAATGACAATGTTAAAATGGTGATATTTAGCAGGTATACAGTTTACCATGTTCATCATCTTAGTTTAGTGTGATAGGTAACATTGTAATATTACAAATTCTGACCTGATGAAAGGTCATGGGATCAGCTAAAGTATTACAATTCATCATGGAGGTGGGGCCTGAATGTCTGCCCCAAATTTCATTGCAATCCATCTAATAGTCGTTGCAGTATTTCAGTCTGAACTAGGGTTGTCACGATATCAGATTTTCATGAAATAATTATAAAGGTCAAAAGAATTCATGATAACGATATTATCACGATATTATTGTGATAACTGTAGAAAAAAAATGCAATCAGTCTAATTCATCTTTAACTTTGTTTTGTCTATTTTTTGGCTAAGGCTCAAATACGAGTGTGGGTAGGTGGAGAGAGAGTTTATAACCACAACTGTACAAAAAATTACAAAAGAAACAATTGCACTTAAAGGTTTTGCTATTGCTACGCAGCCAACGTTAGCAAAGTAACAGCAATGTTAACTCTTGTCTCTATCACATCATTATTTCTACTGAAGTTAGCACGCTAACCAGCTAGCCCCTGCCTGTTTCGTCTCTATCTCACTGTAGCCTCCAATGTGTCCTGAAGACATAGCGCTGCTTAGAGGACGTATTATAACCTCTTGCTTTGTAAATGCAACTATGGCTGAAACTCACAATCACCACTACAGAAACCACGTTCGTCAGCAAAGAAAGGTTACAAACAGCCCCTTTAATGGACAGTGAAAAGGCAACCAGATGAACTGACAAGCAAAAGACCCACAAGGCCTGACATCTGCCATCATGATATTATCATATATTAACATCATATCAATAGTTTTTTAAATATCACGGTTGTCATCAATACCAGGATATCGCAGCAAGACCTAGTCTGAACCAAAGTGGTGGACCAACTGACCAACTGATTTTGCATTCCTAAAGCCATGATGTTAACACGGCTATTCATTCACTCTCTTTTTTCTTTTCTTTTTTTTTAAATTGTTATTACTTAAAAAAGTGACCAAAGTCAGATGGACTTGTGGACTGAAGTGGTGAGCACAAGAAAATTATTAAAATAAGAAAAAAAATGAATAATGAGTGTAATGGTTTTGTGACATGCTTTTAGAAACACCATCACCAAGTTTCACATGCAGTCACCACCAACAAACAATGATATCAATTCAAAACCCCAAACAAGGCCACGATTCAACCCCATGAGAGGCGAGTCCTCGTCTCGAGAGCTTACCCGCAGTGGTACCTGCCGCCATGGTGGCAGCCACAGGCGACTGGCGCTTACTCACTTTGGACATAAATTTGAACAGAATACCATCTCGTGCCATGGCAAAGAGAATGCGCGGTAGAGGGAACATGGAGCCCAACAGGCTAGGGAGAAGAGGGTTCATGGTTAAGTTGCGGGTATTCTGGGAAAGAAAACATGACACCTGTACAACTGTGAAAGAACAACACGTGTCTGGATGGAAAACATCCCACAAAAATGGATAATTTAAAGAAGAAAGTTTAACAGAGCGGATCAATTTCAGGATGACTGCAGTTCATGACATTTAGGAGGCAGAAGAACCAACAGATTCATCTGTATCCTCCTACTGCGTCTTTCACAGTTGATTGGTGGAGAAAGATTAGCAGGAGTGATCTCACTTGGACGCTCCCCGGCTCTCACCTGCTACTACACCGGAGCTCATAGTGGCAATAAGTGGGGTCTTCGTCTTTGGATTGATTCGGGCTAAGGCTTTGAAAAGCACCCCATCCTCTGCCATAGCATAGATTACACGAGGCATAGGGAAAATGGAGCCCAGCAGACTGCATGAGACAGCAGAGACATGCAAGACCAACACGTTAATCAAGAGCCCAAAACACAGACACACACGATCACACACCTACAGTCACATCTTCAAAGCTTCAGAGCAAGATTAAAATCAATGAGTGCCTTTCTTTCCTGTTGGTAATGGTCCCATAGTGTCATCATGTTTATCTTCCATTCATTTACATCAACTTTAATTAATGGAGGTGCTCTGAGAGTACAATTACAGGTGACTGATGTTTGTCAATTTTTCATGTTTGAAAGTAATGTTTCTGTTGGTTTTAAAGAGACTCATGAACCCTTGAATCATTACATTTCCCACATTCAGTTCAAAACATTAATACAAAGAAAAAATACGCTAAAGCAATTTTGACAACGATTATGATAACTCGCTGTTTTGTAGAATTGTTTGCAAAACTGCCAGTCAAAGGGCAGCCTGTCCTAAACAGTATAAACCTGCAGCAATGACTTATCCAAGATTTAGCTGATTCGATTTAATTAATTTGGGTCAAATTTGATAATATGCACATGAGATCAGATCATGGGATGAGTTGGTGACTGACATGCACCGAACAGATGGGGAACTGAAACCCTCAGGAAAGAAAGACAGAATTAAGTCACACCAATATATCATTTTGAGACACACTTGACCACCTTATTTATGATACTTCATTATAAATAGTATATGGACATGCGGATATCTCAAAACAGGAAAGCACTGCGCCCACCACATCCCCATTAAGCAACAAGAATCAATCCAATAACAAGACACTTACAGAGATTTATGGTCACAGTTTTGACCAGATCTCATTCACCATTATCACCCATTTATAACATGCACAACAATCTGAAATTAAAGTCATAAACTCTGTTGACTCAAATACAGTCAAACTTCATCTGCTATGAATACTGATGTTTTGTGCTTGACTTATTCTACAAAATCATCTCTTGTTAAAACAGTTGGTTACCTGGTGGAGAGGGCACAGAGTGAACCCACAGCGACCACATATTTGGCGGGGCCCCACCCCACATATTCAAAAGCCATGGGCAGTGGGCTCTTCTCATCCAGCAGATAGTAGGGCATCATCAGGGTGAGCGCAGCTGACACACCGAAGTACGCCAGGAAGCACACGGTCAGTGACACCACGATGCCGATGGGAATGGCTCTCTGGGGGTTCTTCACCTCCTCACCTGTCACACACAGACACACACAAATATGTTTACATTCAGTTTATGGCAAATTTAAGTCAAACTAAATCACAATCTATCAAAGGCTCACCTGTTGTCGCAATGCAGTCAAATCCAACAAAAGCATAGAAACAGGTGGCAGCTCCAGCTAAGGTCCCACTGAAGCCGTAGGGCATAAATCCTCCGACTCCATAATCACTGCTCACATTGGCCGTTACCGACAAGTTCCTTAAACATGTAAACTGTCATTTTATAACAACATTTGGCATGAAAATGTAGGTACAACCTGCCCACTGCCTTATTTAGGGAAGCATAACAATGGATTTTATTCTGACATTTATTTAACCAATACATACTGTATGTGTCTAATAAACCAGCAGAGTTGACCTATATCACTGTACCTGTGATGGTTTGTGTTGTTATTGTTAGCAGATGAATACATTACCTTCTAACTATGGTGACATTAATGAGGGATTCTTCAGTTATCTTCCAGTTGTATGTGTCTCCTTTAACAAAGCCGGAGATGATGACGAACAAGAGCACGAGCACATTGATTGAAGTGAAGACCTTATTGACCCACGCTGACTCCTTCACGCCAAACGACAGGAGCCCTGAACAAGAGCAAAGATGATGATGCTAAGTATAATGTTTACCACATAAATTGTTAGTTTTGTGTGTTAGCATGATAGCATCTATATTTGATCATAAAACAAAGAATTAAATTTTTGACCTGCTGATCACACTAGAGGTTGATTTAAGTTATTCTTAAACGTATAAATGTCCCTGAAAGTTATTTGGGGTGTTTCAGACCAAATCAAATTAGGGACACAGTTACAAACCTTTATTTGTCTTTGAGTTTTCATAAATACTGGAACTTTTTTCTGATGAAAAGTTATTACATAAGTTCTACATCTGTCATCCAAACACCAGTGGATTCTTCCTGGGTCACACTGACCTAATGCAATCACAGCATTGGCAGGATGATAGATACAACGCATGATAAAGTTCTCAGTTTTAGCCTCAGGGTCATAAATGTGGAATGTAACCCACAATGTCCTCACAATGTCTCAGTCATCACCAGCTACTGATGATACTAAACCATCAGCTGTGACAGTGGAGCTTCTCAGTGGCCTGAGGTTGTAAAGAAACTGCAGTTGTATGAGCTGTGACTGTGGGAAAGAGGGTGCTGCTGAAGGCAAAATGATCAGGGTATTTTTACAAAGGACGGGGGTGAATGTGGGCTCCCAGTGGACTCACAAAACCCTGGCCTCCAGCGTGCATGTGCCCTGCCTCGTTAACCACTTACTTAACCACAAGGTCCTGCCATCTCTTTATTGGGTTATGCCAGCTGTGGCTCATGAAAATCGGCCGTTTAAAACAAAATGTACCAAACCTAATTCCCATTTTTTTTCTCTGCAGCCTCGTATTGACCTGAATGTTATGATTCTTTATTTGCTGCCTTACCAGAGAGCAGCAGTATCAGGCAGACAGCGAAGAAGTCAGGGTACTGAGCCAGACCAGGAGAGTTCATGCTGAAGTAGGTTTTACAGAATATCTCTATGTGTCCTCCTATCATTTCATCAAATGTGCCACTCCAAGCTCTGGCAACTGAGGAGGTACCTGTGAGAAAACAAAGCGCAGCCACAATGAAGACACAGGATCTTCTTCAAATAACATCTAAATCCGAGATTTTCAGTAACTCACCAATCACATAGGACAGAATTAGATTCCAACCAGTGATGAAGGCCCAGATCTCTCCTACAGTCACATAACTGTACAGGTAAGCAGAGCCTGTTTTAGGGACGCGGGCCCCAAACTCAGCGTAACACAGACCGGCCATGACAGAGGCCAGGGCAGCAATTAGAAAAGAGATGACGATGCTAGGGCCGGAGTCTCCCTTGGCCACCTCACCGGCCAGCACATAGACGCCGGCGCCCAAAGTGCTGCCCACTCCCAGCGCAATGAGGTCGACGGTTCCCAGGCATCGGCACAGCTTAGAGTCCTCCAGGCTGCTCAGGTCGACCACTTTTCTGCGCACCAGGGAGCGGCCAAATGACAGAACCTGCTCCAGCATGTTGACACCGTCTGACAGAGGGAGAGAGAGAAGAAAAGGCTGAAAATACCTGTGCAGCTTAGATCTGACCTACTTCACTGTATAAACAACAGTTTCGTAAAACTTAGTATTTGAGTCTTCTGTAGACTGTCCTGTCCTGAAACATGCTGTTTCTTGTCACCGTCCACATCAGAGCATGTAGAGCATGGCTGAACGGCTGAGCTTGGGGAATGAGGGGGTAATTTGTTTGGATGAATCAATATGTATAGTTGCACCGGAGTGTGTGCATGCAAGTGTGAAGGCCTCCAAGTTGCAGAGATGCACATAAAGAAGAAATATTGTGAAATACATTTTGAAAAATCTCTCACAATCATGGTGGAAGAAAGAGGAAAAGAAATCAGCCAGTAGCTCTCATCAGCCATCCCATCACCACTATTCTTTATCTTAGCATCAGTATTTGCACTTTTTTAACATTCAATAGCAGGTGCATAAATTGTGAAATCAAAGGCCTGCGAGCACTGTTTATTTAAGCTCCACCTGCTTCGCAGCTCCTGGAGTTTGTTGAAAAATGTTGAAAAGTGAGTTGCATAACGTGAAGAGGGAAACAAAGGTGGGGTTAGGACTGTAGAGAGGGATGTTAACCCTACAAACTATGACGTGCATTTAGGAATGCTGCCAAGGGCTATAGCGTGGTAAAGTTCATACAGTAAGTATCCCATTAAAGACTATTGTCTGGGGTTACGGTGCAGATCTAAGTACTCAAAGGGCTGCATTCATAAGCGGACCATGAATGCTCCAATATGGCACAATAAAGACATTCCAGTAGCACTCGTACCTAATGACATAAAAAAAAAAGGAAATAAAAAGAAAAACTGCAAAGTCTTCTTTGTTTTCATTGTGTTGTATCTAAAAATGTCTCTTTTCATTTACTGGATTGGTGGGGATGCTGCCTAAAATATTTGCATGAAAATGATAAAGGAAGAAAACATGCCTGCTCTGCAATGAATAGTTTCTGGCTTGCTTTTGAAGTTACGGCTCCTTCTTTGAACCTAGACGTTGATTATTTTGACCGTAAATTTACACTGACGACCGTCCCAACATGCACTGATCTCCATTTCAGTGTGAATTTGTAGACCAAGAGAAATGAGTTTTGGGTGTGACAGCTCATTAACATTACAATGTGGGCTGTATAACAGCGTCTCACAGAATATAGTGGATGAAAACTGGAAATCACAAAGAGCCACATCAGATTTTGACATGTGAAAGTCCAGTTTTGGAAAAAATGACAATACAAATTTCAGTAATATTTGTTGTCAGGTAAACTGTGAATATGCATGATCATTCAAGACTTGTCACGTGTATTTCACATTGTACAGTGACACTAACATGAAGCACATATCTTACATTGAACATGCTGAATTTCTCTGTAAGGTTCACAAACAACACAAACAAAAGCTACTGTAAATATCTGACTTCTGATTTCTTCATTAGTTATTCTAAACTTACCACCGTAGCAAACATACACATTACACTGCATTTTTTTCTATTTAATTAGAGACATTCTGTACACCTACCTGTTAGAATGACTGTGTGGATTGACTGGTCCAGAAGTTCAGACACTGAAACAAGAAGGCTGTCAAAAGTACTTTCCTTCCAGCCTACTTCTGCAGGGAGCGCGCTCAGCAGGTCAGTTGCACATGAAGCACAGGTAAACGTCAAATCACATCTACTGACCCCATGAACTGCAGCCTCGAAACTCTGGTTCACCAGTCCGCTCAACACTAATTGACTATGCTGGCATGTACAGTGTGCAGAGCAGTATTTTAACTCCTCCCCTCTCTGTCCCCAGTGTTTCTTCATAGGATCTGCCCTCGCCTTGCCCCTAGACTCAGACTCCAGTCCCGCCTCAGCCAGGGGAGTGACATCTCCTGAGGAGGGAGCCAAGAGGGGAGGAGGGGACCCCAGGGAAATTGGGTGGGGGGTATGTCACCTCCATGCTTGAGGTTTGGAGGAGTACTACTCTATGGAGGCAACATTGCACCATAAGCTCTCAACGTGGGATCACACAGCAGAACAGAGAGGGGAAAAAGAGGAATCTTGACAGTAGAAATAGTGACTTCTAATGTACACTCAAATAGATCCCAGCTCACCAGATGCTTACCTACTACTGATAAATGGTTAGGCAACTGGCATTGACAAACATTGAAGCAGACACTTGTGTTTACCCAGTGCAGTCCACAGGAGTGCTGCTAAAAGCATGGGTGCTGATTGGTCAATGAAGGGTGGATGAGCTACAGTACTGGGAGGTTAAGTTCCCTTAATGGAAGACAGGTATTGCTCAATGTTCCCTGTGCTACTGGACCTATTGGACATTACAAAATCAATAACCCGTCTCTGTGTGGTACACCACCAAAAGTCTGGACTCCAAGTTGGAGCTGTTGGAGGAAAAACAGAAAAGTCACATTCCCTGAGAATCACAACTAAGGTTGAGTTTGCAACGGAGAGTGTTGCTGCCAAGACCAGCTCAAACCAGCCTAAGACCTCAGTGGGAAGGTGGCAGCTGGCCCTTGGAAACACCATCCAACCCACAGACCAGAGACTTGACAGCACGACAACAGCCATTTCTCTCTGTTTGTCTGTCCAGCCAGCCAGCCAGCCAAATATCATGGCCGATCGCCCACCAAATCTTGGCTGCAGGGGCTGATTATCTGACCTGCATGCTGATGGGAAAGCAAATGCTTTCCTTAATGGTGGGCTGACTGGAGACACTATTGTAAATGCTGGCTGTTTGTCTTACACACACACACACACACACACACACACACACACACACACACACACACACACGCTCTAGGACCGACATATATTTACATTTAATACAAATATACAATATGTCTCCCATCAAATGACCTGAAAAGCATAAAACTAAGAAATATATATATATATATATAATAATAATATATATATATATTATATATATATATATAAAATAGTCAGAGTGGATTGTAAGCCCTTTCATATTTTGCTAGATAGTGCACCAAAGAAGAAGTTGCAGTAGATCACTAAAAGCTGGTGAATCTGGTAATCTGCTTGTCACACTTATGTAGTTTTAAACACAGCTGCATTCCTTCCATGTCAACCAAGTTACAACTAGGACCAAACTTTATTTGTTGCTATATATTTATATATGAACTGCAATGTACATGGAGGGAATTTTTTTTTATAAATGTCAAATACATTTTTGGACAAAATTCACAATATATCACTTTTACTTTGTTCTAATAATCCCATAATATCCTCCTGTAGGACATAAATACTTGCTTTTGGAATGGGCATTAAGTTTCTTCACATGCAGGTCGTCACTGTAACCATGGAAAGGATGGACAGGAGTCACCGGCTCACCGTATTTCATTGTTGACCTGCGCTAATTGTGTGAGGCCAATTGAATGCATTTGCCCTCCAATGGCTGAGTGACCTAGCTTCAAAAACGTGGATATGGTCAACAGATTGAGTGGTGTTTGCCTTGCAGACAGCGGGACTGCTCGCTCCAGTTAACACTGGTGTCACCAGGAAATGTTAGAGTGAACAATTACTGATAAGGTGGACAACAGCTGCATGTGGAATCAAGACAGAAAGAGTGACCTCAAGATTAAAAACAGCAGTTGTTGGGGAAGGAGGATACTTAGACCTCAGTTTAACAAAGACCTAACAGGCTTAGGCCAAAGTTAATTGGGTGACTGATACACTACAGGATGAACTAAAGGACAAAGCCACAGATGACTTCGGGTAATGAACAACAATAACATCTAATCTCTTTTGTGAACTATTATTAAGGAAGAAAACACAGACTAAATAAATATTTGATGGGCGATAAAAAGCAAAGTTTAATTCAAATAAAAGCAGTTTGTCCAACATCACATATTGACGATGCCAGATTGAATATGTAAACCTAAATGAACTTTATCAATTTTATCTGGTTCAGTGTCACTAAGCTGAAAAAATTAAAATACAGAGAAGTAAAAAAAAAAGGGGTATACTTTTTACATTTAGGAAGCAAGTAAGAGCCACGGTTTATTTAGTGTAATGGCACAAAGCCTTTTCATATTACATTTCAAGAACAGTCTGGGGACTGAAGCCTGAAGACATCACCTGGTCTTAGTTTGACTTAATACTCTTTTTATTAGGTAGGAGGATGAAGCATTATTTATGGATGTATTAATCGTCGCCAGGTAAGATTCTCCCTCCCTGCTCTTCAGAAAGTGATTTCCTGTCTCTAGTTAGTATACAAGCCTTGCACAGTACATTACTTGCAGGTACCTTCATGTTTTTGTTTGGTGGGTCTGACTCTTAAAAAAAAAAAAAAAAAAGACTACATTTGCAAAAATTTAATTGTCATACTTTGACCTTTCAGGAAACTACATTGGCCAAATGTTTGAGGGGGTCAGCGCCTTAAATCTTGGAGTTAATATATTGTGTATTCAGTGCTATCTATCTTTAGTTTCAACACATCTGGCAACCGAAACAGATTCCTTTATATATGATCTGTGATGTCCAAGAATCTTTTGGCCCCTGGGTTAATTGTGGCCTCAGGCTGACTTTATTCCAAGTCCCTCGGGATACACTGCCTCTTCCAAAAATGAATTCCACACTGAGAAAAGATAAAACGTGGGTTACAGTAAAACTGGCGGACTTGCACAGGGGATTTCACAAGTTTGCGAAATTAAATTTAAATATTTGGTTGCAAACCTTCCTTCTACACTGTCAAGCTCATTGTTGGGATCTTTTTTTGGCCTTTTATATGTGGAAATTACTCCGACAAGACATATACCAGTGATCATCACATAATCTGCATATGCACATAATGATCTCTCATCCAGGCAGCAGTGAGTTGTTTAATCCAAGTGATATCAGAACTGTACTTTATAATCATTAGACAATCAAGCTTTTTTGGGTTCTTCATGCATGAATGCAGCACAGTAGGAGAGGGCGTGCAGCAGGGCTGCCAGGCGTCAGTAAGTCAATCACTTCTGCTTAGTTTAACTAACCACTTTTATTGTTTTTTTCTGTCTACTGTCCTGCAACAGATGGCTGCTCTGCTCAGTGGTGCACAAAATACTCAAAATATAAAAATACATTTTAAAATTTGGAACGACTTGCCCAAACAATGAAGACGTCAGAACTTGATAAACGAAAACATTTCACTGGGTGTGCAAACAAAATGTGCGCTCATCCAATTTAAAATCATGTGGGATTCATCTGTTTACACAAGGGATCTTCTCAAAATAGCCTCACGCTCTGTTTAACAGTGAAACATCACTTAAACTCTCGATATTTTGTGCTCAGTGCCAGAATGTACAACACTGTATCGCATAAATTTAACCTTTAGATAACATTTTAAACTCTGCTGGCCTACTTCATCACACAGCCCTGAACATCTGGGGCTGCCAGGGTAATTGATACCAGGTTTGACTATGTTACACCCACACAGGTGTTTCCACTTATGTTGCCTGCTTATACCTCTCCTCCTGACACCCTCACTATGTTGACTCATGTTAATCATGTTAATGTGGGATTTCCGTCTTTATCGTTCTCATTAGCACAGTCTGGTGACCTGCATAACTGCCAGCAAAGTTTCACCAGACATGAACCCCAGCAGGTGAATTCAGCCAGAAAAAATAGAAACACTTGTACAACTGTTTTCCTTTTTCTTTTTTGCCTGTAGTATCTAGGGCTTATGAGTGGCTCTTGAATGTTAGCAGTCCATAGAAACCTTTTGTAAACAAATTGTTACCCAGTGAGTCATGTAAACTACAGAAATTCATTATGAAACCCTTTGAAGCAGAGTATGGGCTCAGAGTCTGTCCACAACAGGTAGCTAATCGGAGTCACATGGCATCAGCAGGTGTGAATTGTTTCTTAATTAGATAGCTTGAATGAAAACCAGAGGTCTTACACCGGAAGTAACTATTGCCCTTTCTGTGAAAAAAACAGTTATTCTTGCCAACATTAGCTTATTTATCAATAAACCACTTACTTATTCGGTATGTCTAATTCGAAATTTCAGTGCAGATGTGTAGTATGACGCATTTCCTCTTAAATGAAAGGAGGTCGGTGAATGTCTGGGATTTACTTACTTTTGCGGTGAATCCTCAATAAAACGACGGTTCAGTAACTTCATTTGGTCAGCAGCCTGAGGTGCCCTTTAACATTTTATTCAGGCCACGGCTCAGCTCTTGGCGGGCTTTAGGACCCGGAGGTGCACCTCCCGTGAAGACGGCTCAGGGAAGAGCAATGTTATGGCGCGGTGTACCTGAGCGCTGCTGAGGAACAAACGTAAACCATTTAATCTCACCTACAACTCACTGTTACACTGCTGTACACATGTTGTACTGCTGGTAACTGTGTTGTGAAAGGTGCAGTGGTCGCAGGAAGCTGCGGCTCGTCTCTCAGCTGCTGATGGAGCACATCCGACTACCAAAGGTAACCGCGGATCTCGTTGCAGTGATTAGCCACAATGTCCGCATTACCTCAGTGATACGTAAACACAAACCGCCATGTTTACTCACAATTGATGCAGAGTTTTGATTCAGATAATTAAGCAAACACGCAGGCTTAATTTAAAGGGCGTGTGCGGTATCAGCCACGTAGGCAGCCGGGGTCTTCCTGCTGCTATCAGCTACATTAGACGGCTGGGTGTGTGCTCGTCCATCAGTGCATTTAACACAGCTGTAGTTGTTCGTGAGCTGAGGATGAGGATGTTTGATGCTGTTCTTCACCTTCCTCCTCCAGGTGGAGAATGTCAGGCTGCGGGACAGAGTCTCTCCCAGGAGGAGTAGGGTGGGCACCCTGTACCTGACAGCCACACACACCATCTTTGTGGAGAATGAGGCCGGAGTGCGCAATGAAACTTGGGTAGGCATGAGCTCAGTACACTGACGGGGTGAAAAATCAGTGCGACACACAGATTGTATCCAAGCGTCACGTTTACAATGTCAACATGGTTACTCATGCCATAGCATTATGGAAGGTCAGTTTGTCTTCTATTTGTCTTAGGTGCTTCACAGTTTGGTGTGCAGTGTGGAGAAACAAGCTGCCACCGCGTCAGGATGTGCTCTGCTCATCCACTGTAAGAACTTCCAGGTTCTTCATTTTGTCATTCCTCGAGAGCGGGAATGCCACGATGTTCACCTGTCCCTGCAGCGTCTCTCCCAGCCAGGTGAGATGTGGTATGATGCCAGCAAAGGATTGATTTGGTGATGTTCTTGCATTAGAGCCAAACCATTATATCATGGGGTCCTTATTATTGTCTTTTATCAGCTATTTTACAGCTACATCAGTATTGGTGCTTGATTAAACATCCCTCCTCCAGAATAATCTGCTGCTGCACTATCATGAGATTTTTGATGATGATTGTTTGCTCTGAAACATCTTCATCTCATCATCTTCTCCTCTGCTTTGCAACACCTTGGCCTCATACAAATTGGAGGCTCTCCTCATCAAACCAGTATTGTGCCTTGCAGAGAGTTACGCAGAGCTGTATTGCTTCTCCTATAAGCCTAACGTGGATGAGGAGGAGAGACGGCAGGAATGGGACTTCTTGGACCTCAAGGCTGATTACAGCAGAATGGGACTTCCAAACTCCCTGTGGAAACTCTCTGCCGTCAACCGAAACTACAAGGTCAGCAGGCCGACATCCATGACCAGTTGTACTATTTCATCCTAATATGGACATCACGGTTTCTCTGACTTTTGTAATGTCTTTTTTTTCTTTTTTTTTTCTTTTTTTTTAAGGTGAGTGACACTTACCCCGCTGACCTCTTTGTACCTGAATCTGCCGCACCTCCGGTCATCGTGGGGAGCTCCAAGTTCAGGAGCAGGGGAAGATTTCCCACTCTGTCGTACTACTCCAAAGAAAATCATGTAAGTTGACTACATACACGTTTTCTTTATTTTCTATATGCCTCCTATGTTAACCAATATCATAGGGGCATTAATCGTGTCTGACGCTCCTCAGATGCAAAACAAAACTGACAGAACCTCTGATTCCATCTCTCTGATTCAGACCCTGCACAGGTACGAATACGTGTTGACAGTACTTCATTTTTGCTTTCTTTGTTAGGCTAGTTTTTGTTGCTGAAATGTCATCTACCTCTCCTCTTCCAGCAGCCAGAAGTTTTTGTTTCACAAAATATGCTAGCCAGAAAGTGAGTTTAGTAAACATTAAGTCACTGCCGTTGAGTTGCTGATGCTGTTTTCTGGCAATTTTTAGCAGTTAACACTCATTCATGCTCAACGCTAGATGTGAATAGTCTTTTTTTTTTCTGTACTCTGCATTTGTTCTGTCTGTATTTGTCCACGTTTTCTGAAAGCTTATGGATTAAACAGAGCAGTACCACCAGAAATCCTGGGGGCAGTGTAGCCAATGAAAATTTAAAAAATGGCTGGACTTTTTGAGGAGAGGTTATGTGATATTTAATGACCTCACAGGCCACCGCCATCTACAATGCTGCTTCCACTTTTGCCATGTAAGAGGTAGATGATTACGCCCTCCACCATCGTCACCGTGTTTGTTGATGTCAGAAACTTTGACTCGAGTGGATTTATGGCTTAACAACCATGCCAACGCAAATGATGCATGGAAGTATGTGGGCAGTGACGGCTACAGACGGTTTTCAGATGTAAAGGGAACATAAATGACCCTTTGGGCAGTAAATTTTTTTTCCCCATTCAATTTTCCATCTGTAGATCTGATATAGACACTGAGCCTGAAATAAATCAAACTGATGATGCTATGATGGTACAGAAGTAGCACCAGACTCTGCATTTGGTTTCTAGTTTCGTCTGGTATGAGAGCAGTCTTTCCGAGGTGTATGATATAAGATGTAGTTTTTGTCATAAGGTTTGAGCTTCAAACGTAGTTAGGTTCACATCAAGTTACTGGTTCTGTGCCTCTTCAGCTGAGACTGACCTATTGATCATGTGGGTCAAGTGGTCGCCTTAAATACTGCACCTCTGCGGCAACACAACAGAGGTAGATGAGACTATTTATGAGGAGATGAAGCCAGATGTCCTGTCTGGTCTGCCCCCACAATTCAGCTACAGTTATTCTTTTTCTTTTTCTTTTTCTTTTTTTTGAAAACCATATATTTGAATCAAGAATAAGCCTAAATATCCATAATTCATCCTATTAATCCCTGACTGGACAGTTGGGAGTGCTTTATGTGTGCGAGGTCAGATTCCCAGGGCTGATGGGCCTGTGTGTGGATATCAGTCCGTACGAAGGGGCTCCACTCTGGCTCATGAGCCAGAAGGGAGAATCACACAACAATCTCTGTCCCCTTCCCTTGTGTCCCCTAAATGGAGATATGAGAAGTTGTTTGGCTGATTGTTTTAAATTGAACATGAAGAGAGAGAGCACTGTGAATTTGCATGTACCCTGATTCTCACATGACGGATGAATTTTATGATCTACATGTCATGCCGAGTAATAATTCACTTAAAATCAACTGTCAGACGAGTAAACATTCCCGCATGAAACCTGAGCGCTTCTTGCCTCCTCCCAGGCTGCCATCTGCCGCAGCAGCCAGCCTCTGTCAGGTTTCAGCGCTCGCTGCCTGGAGGATGAACAGATGCTGGAGGCCATCTTAAGGTCCAATCCCCGCAGCGACTTCATGTATGTGGTGGACACCAGGCCTAAGGTGAGCCCTTTGTGCCTAAGGAACGGCCTGCGAAAATACAAGCCATACAGTACTATGCTGTATGTTCAGGTGGGCTTTATTTTCCATGCTGCGTTTTGCCAGCTGGATGTGCTCACAGCAAAAGTCTTGAAAACATCCTGGCTCTGTACTAGCTGAACCATGATCAATATTATATAATGGAGATTTGTGTAAAAACCCCACTTTTGTATGATTTTTGTTCTTGAAACACTCTTAACTCACAATCATATGTTTTTGTAGCTGAATGCGATCGCAAACCGAGCCGCGGGAAAAGGCTACGAGAATGAAGATAACTACTCCAACATTAAATTCCAGTTCATCGGCATCGAGAACATCCACGTTATGAGGAACAGCCAGCAAAAAATGCTAGAAGGTAATAATCACGTCCTGTGCAGACAATCTGTGCCTCACTGACTTTTAGAGTTACATACCGTAGAAACAGTTTGGAGGCCACAGCAGTGCATTCCTGACTGTGACAGAAATGTCTCAACACATCAGTGTTTGTGGAGCAAAATGTATATTTTCTGGCACTGCCTGTTTAAATTTGCTGCTTCTTCAATAACTAAAGCAGAGCGAGACCCCATGCTACCCCCTGTGGTTTTCATGTGCACTCATGCAGACTGGACTGTGCTGCAATCAGACCTCAAATGAGCCCACAGGAGAATTTCTGGGTATTGTGCAGGGGTGCTCCTAGGAAGACTTTGAATCCATCTGGATTTTATTTCAGAGCTATTTTGGTTTCCCAGAGTGGACAATCCAGGACCTTATCCCCCAAAGAGAGACAGAGGGCGTGAGAATGATGTGATTTTAAGTCTTAAAAGTTATAGCTGTTCTTAGTTGTGATAACTCTTTGCCCCCTGGCAGCGCAAGGGAAGTCTTTAAATGCTGGAGACAGCGCCTGCCCTTCAGAGCTCGCCTGACTCTCCCTACCCGATCGTACACTTCAATAAGATTTAGAAGACCCCCCGCCTGGCAGCATGACCTCAAACATTTCTTCTAAGTGCAGCACACCAAGTGTTACAAAACCAAAGGCTGAATAAACCTGTTCACCTGCTCACTCTCCTATCAGTGGCCTCACAGCACTTTTACAGGTCAGCAAGCTGATGTGCTGTCAGCAAAAAACACTTAGTCACCTCAGTCAGCAGCTTAATGAGTGAGGACGGAGCAGATGTTTTCATACAGTAACCTCAAAGTGTCTGAATTATGAGTGTTAATGTGATAAATTGTCTTCAGCAAATAAAATGTTAGCCATGGAGAAACGGGTTCATGTCACTTCCTCTCAGGGAACTCACAAATATTTATGTTGAACCCTGAAGATGGAAAAATAAATTGTAGTTTCTGTTTTGCAAGATAAACAAACATAATGCAGGAAGCCTTATGGTACAGAAATGGATCTGCATTTAATTGTCTGCCTCGTGTGTGTGATTGTGTTTGAATATGGCTTTGTCTTCATTCATATTTAAAAAAAAAAAAAAAAAAAAAAAAAAAACACTATAAAAAGACTTAAGTCTGCAGCCACACTGCAGCTGTTTTGTGAGGCTGCACTTCGGCACAGGAGTTAGTTAAGGCTAATGTCAGCATGCTAACATGCTCACACTGACATTAACGTGCTGATCTAAGCAGGCCATACCATCTTACTTTAGCGTGTTAGCATGCTAACATATGCTGATAAGCACTAAACTCAAAGTACAGGTGATGCTGATGGTAATTTTGTAAGTCATTTGATCATAAACCCAAGTGTTGGACAAATTAGAAATGAGTCCTGTCAATGGCAATGAAAATTCAGGGGATTACCAAAGATTACCAAATCTTCTTGATGGGGGACATGTATGAAAATCTGGGACCCAAGAAAAAGTCAACCCTCTGGTGGCGCTGGAGGAAAGGTCACGGAGACAGTAAATTAATTATGATTCATCCTCTAGGGACCATGAATGTCTCTACAAAATGTCATGTCAATCCATCCAGTAGCTGTTGAGATATTTCAGTCTGGATCAGTGGTAGATGCTAGTGTCACTGAAAACATTGGCTGGCATCCAAATGAGTCATCACATGAGAAGCTGAAGGAAATCTGTTTGGGGGGCGGACAAAATATACTCAAATGACCCATATTTTCCCATGCCATGCACAGACTCCCCCATAAATTCACAGTCATGGATGTTGTCCTTATAATGAAAGTGAACGTGTGGTTTAATAAAGTCCCTCAATCAGGTATGCTCCATGTTTCCTGCCAGTGAGACAGCTGTGTTGTGGTTACAGTGTGTGAGCTGCGTTCCCCCTCCATGTCCGACTTCCTGGAGGGTCTGGAGAGCTCAGGCTGGCTCAAGCACATCAAAGCTGTTTTGGATGCAGGCATCTTCATCGCCAAGGTCAGTCTGGAGGTTAATCCCCGCTGTCTGCTTCACCACTGCACTCAATATTAGCTTAGGTGCTTGTGTGTGTTGTGTCCTGCAAGTTTTGTGTGATACATATTGTCTGTCTGTGCAGAGATATTTCTTTAACTGTGCTTAGTCAATAAAAAGAGAGAAGAATTCTTCTGTTGCCAAAAAATGACTGTCCCTTTCTGAGTTATACAACGAAGAGACCTTTGGCCGCTATTTTTTCTTGGGCTCCACCAATCAAATACTTAAGGTAGTAAATGGCTGAGGGATGGGAATGGCTGAGGTTGGGGTCAGTTAGTTCAACAGTCAGGAGTTGTTGTTGTTGTTGTTGTTGTTGTGCTGCCTAACAGGAAACTCTAGTAGCTGGCAGTTTCCCCTCAAAAAGTTTCATTTACCATAGGGCTTATAATTACTGATAAAATACCACAACCAACTGTGTCAGACTTCTCATATTATAAAAAAACAAAACAGAAACACCAGGCAGTAATCATCAACAATCAACAACAACAACACAACACAATACAACCACAATAAAAGCACATCTGTCCAGTTCCCCAAACTTCAGCAACAGGAACTCCAGGCCTCTGATTCAGTCCTGTTTAAACTGTTTTCATTGTTCAGTCGTGCCTGTTTTTAATTTTTGCAATGTATTGTAGGATTTTTAACTGGTGCAAACAGGAGAAAATTCAACATTTATATTTTAAATCATGCAATGTTGGCATCCACATTTACTTGCTTGCACACTTTCTTGCCGTTATTGGCGCATATCCACATTTATCGCCCCCAACTGTTGATCTGTGGAATAGCATGAAACCAGGAGCAGGAATTTGTCTCACATTATGTAAACACTCACTTGTAAAAATGTTACTCTATAGCACTAATAGTGGACAGAAGTCACAGAGTATCTTTAACATTTTGGCCTTGAGGGTTTAGGTGTCAAAGCATGAGAAAGGAAAACTGATATATCCATTTTAAGGGTAAATTCCACCTCAAATCACTGAGACTATTGGTGTCATAGTTTGATATTCTCTTGGTATATTATCTTTTTAATGGATAACAGGCAGAAACTTGTTTGAAGTGTTTCTAATGCAGCTGAAAGTCACCATCAAAGGGCAAACATCTGTTCTGATAATGGGCTGAGGTTAAATTATAATCCATCACAGAGGCAAAATAGTAACTAAATTCTTCACAGACAGTTAAAGTTTTAAAAGACCTACTTGGTCTACTCCCATTTTTGGCAACAAAAAATACATTTTTTTGCCACTAGAAAATCCACAGAGAGCAAACAGTGGGACTTTCTGCCCTATCTGACATAAATGATTGATGATATTTTCATGTTTCCAATTTATTTTGTTTTCTAGCCATAATTTACTCTCAACACCCTGAATGTGCTCTGGCACTGCACAGACTGTATTTGTGTTTGTGCGTGATGTGTGTGTGTGTGTGTGTGTGCGTGCGTGCGTGCGTGTGTGTAGGCTGTTGCAGAGGAGGGTGTCAGTGTCCTGGTTCACTGTTCAGACGGGTGGGACCGCACGGCCCAGGTGTGTTCAGTGGCCTGTGTGCTGCTGGATCCCTACTACAGGACCCTCCGAGGACTCATGGTAAATACTGAATTTTTGCATTGAAGTGTAGGATTGAATCTTGGAAGTAAGACTGTAAATGTCACATAACCCTCTGGTGTCTCTGTGTCATATTAATATATGCAGCCACATTGTGGCTTTAGCTGAAAGTAGTCCATGCTGGGCTCATGGGGCTTGTCTCTTTGATCAGAAGGATTTGTGAAGGCTATCTTGGAATCCAGAAAGAGCCACTATGGAAAATGAATGTAATGCAGAGGCCTCCTTTTGGGAATTGCCCCTGAAGTCAGAGGGAAATGACCCCACACAGAGGGTGAAGAGGTTCAGCCATTCTGCAGGGATTGACTGTGCACTGTGTCTGAACCTTTAATCATGACATACTGGAATTCAAGATGAACAAGACTGTAGACTATATTTTGGTTTGTTTTTCTTCACTTAGGTTCTCATCGAGAGAGACTGGGTCTCATTTGGACACAAGTTCTCTCACAGGTTTGACTCTAAAAGCAACTTTCAAGACATCTACGATTCAGATGTTTTGTTTTGATCTAACTATACATGCCCCTCTTCTACAGATGCAACCACCTGGTGGGAGATCCTAAGGAGGTGTCTCCCATCATTGATCAGTTCCTGGAGTGCGTGTGGCAGCTGATGGAGCAGTTCCCCTGTGCCTTTGAGTTCAACGAGAGGTTCCTCATCACCATTCACAGCCACATCTACTCCTGCCAGTATGGCAACTTCATTGGCAACAACCAGCGGGAGAGGATGGAGCTAGGGTGAGATTTAAACCTGCTGCTACCATCACTTTCTTTTCCTTTTCACAGCACTGACATCTGGTCTGAGAGGAGACTGACGACTTAGGGGGGGGGGGTTGCCAGTAGTATATTACATCACTGGGCTTGTACAAGTACAGACAACTCTGTCTTTATCTGCCATTTTGACAGAGTGCGAGAGAGGACTCACTCTTTGTGGATTTACCTATGGACGAACCGTGCAGACTACATCAACCCTCTGTACAGGCCTGACCACAGCCAGACTCAGGGGCTACTACGGCCGTCTACTGCCCCCTACTGCTTTAAGTAGGTTGTCACTAACAGCAACTAAAACAGCTTAGTTTGAAATCTGGTGTACACATGTTAAAAATGCAGTTCTCAGTTGAACACTTGGCCTCTGATTGTCTGAAGAATGCTCATAGTCTGAAAGTGAAACTACACAGGAGTTAAAGGAGGATGATTTCACAGATGAACTTGGTTTTGTATAGGTTATGGAGAGGCCTGTACAACCGCTTTGACCGAGGGATGCATCCGAGGCAGTCCATAGATGATTACCTGAGGGCCATCCAAGAGGAGACTCAGCAGCTGGAGGAGCAGCTGGCCTCACACAAACAGGTAGGACAGTGCTGTGAATTCATACTGCAAGTCATTTGTCATGAGAAAAAAATGCCCCTCCAGTGTTTTTCCTGCTTATAGAAGTTGACTGTAGTCTTCATGTGTTACATTACCAATAGAAAATTGCTGAACTGGAGCAGGAGCAGGAATGGCATGTCACCCAGAAAGCAACCACCTTTGATAAGAGTCCCACAGCGTGGGCTCTCAGCAATGACCTCACTCTGGCCAACACCCCTCAGGACTACACTGGGGGCTTCATCACCAGCAGCCCCTGTCAGCCAAAAGCACCAGACAGCAGCGTGATCCTCCTGCCCCAAGACCTGAACAAAACATCCGAAGCCAACCTCTCCAACGGCAGCGACCAGGAGTCTGGGATCGCAGACCTGAGCTGTCGTTCACCCGCCAGCGAGGACAGCACCAGGGATCCCGACTCAGATGAGGCTGCCTACTCTGCTGCCTGAGCAAACGTAGCGTGTGGTGGAAGCCACAGTAGCTTCAAGGCCACTGAACAAATGCTACCTTCACATTAATCAAGTGACCCGGCTATTGCCACTAACCTTAGCGAAAAGTCGGGTTACACAGCTTACTTGCACTTTTGTTTGCATGTTGTGTGGTGGACTCGCCCCGTTGCCACATACATACTAGTTAAAACTAGTTGCTGTAGCTGACTAGATTTTACTTCTAATCCCAGTGAAAGAATTTCTGAAAGTAATTGCAAAGCTGAATATAGCTCCCAGTCATGTCTGTTGTTCAACAGCAGAATTAACCCATAAAACTGTACACAGTTTAATATTGGCGTGATCTCAACAGAAACTAGTTTACTTAAGTAAAAGGCAAGTAAAGAGCAGTTCTGAACAATTCAGTGTACATGTAAAATGAGTAAGTATGAGCGCTTTTTATTATGGTCTTCCATACACTTAATTTATTCATTAGGCATTTGGCTTTACAATGTTAACACTTTCTGAAAACACTGCTACAATAATGGATCGCAACAGATTTATCCTCAACTAGAAAAGCAGTGTTGGCTATAAAAAGAGACAAACAGGACTTTGATATCAAATTTTTTAAAACGACACGAGCTTCTAAGAGACCAAAGCATCATTTTAGGTGCATTGATCTTTAAAGCTGCTAAGTTAGTTAGTTAATTAGGGGGAAATCAGGACAGAATCAAACAGATAAAACAGTAACATAAGATGGAACAACAAATAGAAAAACTGCAGGGATAAAAACAGCCGACTCAAGGTGTATACAGACTATAAGCTGCTGTCGCATTGTACTAAGAGAATGACTCATCTTTGAAGCAGTGTTTTGCAAAGATTTATCTCCTCAAGTCTTTTTCCATAAAATGTTTTGATAATTTTGTCTAACAGCTGTTGTAGATGCTGTCGCACCTTATGGTCACTGCTACTCACAGACAGTCTGGGTTCATGATTTCAGTCTGGCCTGAAAGACGAGCAGTAATCCTGTTCCATCCAAAATGTAATTCAAATGGCAGTGTAGTGTTGTTTCTGTCCCAAAGAACATATAATATGAACTGAACTCACTCAGCAAACCACAGTGACCTCAGCTGGGATTTAGAGTCATTACACTACAATAACCAGTGGTTAGTTGTGGCTGATTGGCACCTTATGAGCCACACCTGCAGATTTCAACTTCATACAGGATATCACGTGATATTAATGCTACACAGTGGAAAATAAGCTTTGATTTTTTTTTTTTTTTTTTTTTTTTTTCCAGAAGATGAGGGAACTTTATACATTCCTGCCCACACTACTTCAACACCAGATTTGTTATGATCAAACCAAATTTTTTACTAAAGGGAATCAACTGTCTACTTGTATAAATGACAGGACTACTGAACCAGCAGACGAGAGCATGTGAACACAAATATTTTGCTGTCTAAGGAAGCAGATTACTGACTGACTTTTTGAATATTTGTGCCATTTTAACTGTAAAATTAGGATTAAAACTGCTCACTGTAATAGTGTAGTACACATTGCTGTAGGTGCACTGCAATACTGCAAATGAACAATGTACAGATGATCAAGCAAAGCATGTTAAGATATTTTTGTACTTTGACCTATTTTTTTGACTACTGTAATCTTGCTTTAATGCGTGTTGTTTTTATTTGTATCAGAGGGTTTAAGTTGTCTGGTCATAATGACTTATGACCTTGTATAAAAGAAAGAGCTTCATATTGCTGTTTATTTGTTCAGGTGGAAAAAGCCAAATTGAAAAGAGCCAAATTTATCAAACTGACCTAAATACAAAATTGTGTCTATTGTGTCCAAGTTCTTGTGAAATAAATAAATATATATGACAAATAAATACATTACTGTCAGTTATATTGCTTTAATGATTATTGTGTTCTTGTTTGACCTTTAAGAGTCAGTTCACATGCATGGTATGCAGATAGTTTTGGTTTCATTTACTCAGGGTTTGAGATTTCTGGATAATCTATAGAACACACCGTGAATAATTTTCATAAGAACAAAGTCTAACTTTTGTAGGCTTAATGAAGAAACCCTCTAAAAATGGTTCCTAGCATTTATATACTCAGTCTACAATAGGCAAAATGTAGGCTCTGTATGTTCAATCCCACATTTCAGAAAGATGAACAGATTAACCAACGAGTTGCAGTCTGGTATGTTTGAGACTTGACACAAATTTATTTAGTCAAAACTACTGTAAACCCAGTTGTTTCCCTTTTTTCATCATACATAAGCCCTGGTACAAGAGATGTGCAACTGTGTCAAACAGTTTGTGTCTGAACAACTGCAAGCAGACAGCTTCATTTATTAACATGCATGAATAGACCTCTACCAGCTTCTATGACATTATCAAGTTTAGTCAGCGGCAACAGAAGATGTCCCTCATTAGACCTCCAATCCCTGTTGTTGATGTACATCTGGCCAGCTGTACTGGCCATGAGCCAGACCCTAAAGCCCTGCCAGCACCAGTGATGCTGTTCTGTGGCTCACCCCGCTGTCTGCTTTCATTTATTATCTGTGAGCAAGGAGAAGTTTACTTTGAGGACCTTTACTTTGTGTCTTTTTTGTTTGTTTGTTTTAGTTTTTCTGAACTGTATTAGTGTTCAAAAAAAGTCAAAACTAAAACTGCAAGAAAAGGCAAATTATTATGTGTGTACAACAATATGAGTGCAAGGAGCAAAAGGAAATTGGTGGGGAACTTACAGAAATACCAGGTCCAAGTTTAATGGTGTAATAGACTGTTGATCACTTTTGTTTGGACACAAAATTAACACATTTTCTAAGAAAAAACTGGAATTTGTTTTTTTCTTTTTTAAGTTATTAAAGCAGGTGTTGTGAACAAATAGAACGTAGGTCATACGGCCATAAGCATACAGACATACGTACATGACGTTTCAGTTTTACGTGATGACGTCGTGTTGTAGGCTCAGCTATGATGGCAGCCGTAGGTTGACATCGATACAATACTGAATATAAACTATTTAAAAGTTAGCGGAACAGCCCCGACACAATAACGTAGAACAAAGTAACAGTTTTCAGATAGTACACGCTTCAAACACACACCCGCCCGGTTTGGGGAACGGTGAGTTGACCTGGCTACAGTAGCTTTGCAGTATCTAAGTGGCGCCGAGTGTGTGTGTATATAAATATATGTAGGCTATGTATGTGTATGTGTGGGTGCGTGTGTGATGCTAGTTATTCGTCTCTTTCACGTTTTGCACACACTCCTCTTTATCTGACGAGGCAGCTGTCTGCTTCAGAAGTGCGTTGAAACTGTGCACAGCCTCCGACCTGAGAGCCTCCACTGTCCTGCTCATGTTAACCGGCGCTAAGCCCGTAGCCTGCTAACTGCTACAGGTAACCTAGCTAGCCCAAAGTGCTGCTGAAAACTGCCTGCGACGAGCCTGTGTTAACAACAGCCAGCTAAGCACGTCCTGCATGTCTTGAATCGTCAGCTGCTGCCGTTCCCACTGTCTGTCTGCGAATTTGTGAATTTAGCAGTTAATGTGAAGTGTCCCAGCTGAAGGAAGCACAAACAGCTCTTAGATTGAATTAGCTCCCCCAGTGTTGAGACTGACACTGAGACATCTGTGCATTTAATATTATAACGTTATATCTTGTCAATGGTTTGTCAGCACTTCTTGTATATCTGGGGGTCATGTGTTCAATGCCTTTGTGCTGCCACCTTTTATTATTAGGTCTGTCACAGGTCAGTGTGTACAGGGCCAGGTCTATGAAGCTACTGTCTTCTTGAAGTTTCTGTATTTCTGTCTGTGTTTTTCCTTTTGCATGGTAAAGTGGCACTATGCCCGCAGCTACTGTGGATCACAGCCAAAGAATATGTGAGGTTTGGGCCAACAACCTGGAGGAGGAGCTGAAGAGGATCCGACATGTCATTCGAAAATACAACTACATTGCTATGGTTAGTGGTGCTCATAGGGACACACACACAAAAAAAACTCTGGCACTTCCCTTTTTGATAGATTTCCACTGTGCAAAATAAATTCTTCATCTTGCAGGACACAGAGTTTCCAGGTGTAGTAGCCAGACCAATCGGAGAGTTCAGAAGCAACGCGGACTATCAGTACCAGTTACTGCGCTGCAATGTGGATTTGCTCAAGATAATCCAACTGGGCCTCACGTTTATGAACGAACAAGGGGAATACCCTCCAGGAACATCAACATGGCAGTTCAATTTTAAGTTTAACCTCACGTAAGATGATTTTCCTGTCTGTTTCATCCCGGTCATTTATGTTTCATTCAAATGCATCCAGAATTTTAACCTGACTTTAGTAGCATTTACATTTAACAGGAAGCGGTTTTGGCGACACAACTTCAAATGCAACAATTCAGGACTATATAGTCGCGTAGTAAACCAGAATTTGCATAATTCACATTAATGGTTCAGGTACTAGCTTTGAGAAGAGCATCTCAGCTATTTCAAATGCATACACTAACAAAACACAAGCCAGTATTTAAAACTCACAAAATTGTCCATGACTGCTATCATCCCTCCCTGACTGTCTTTTGTGTTTGTAATAATAAAGTGTGATGTGTGTTGTGTGTCATCAGAGAGGATATGTATGCACAGGACTCCATTGAGCTCCTGACTACTTCAGGGATTCAGTTCAAGAAGCATGAGGACGAAGGCATCGAGACGCTATACTTTGCAGAGCTGCTGATGACATCAGGAGTGGTGCTCTGCGATGGGGTCAAGTGGCTGTCTTTTCACAGGTATTCCGCTTTTGCAGTTATTTGCTATACTGTGAACGGCTGCATAGCAACAGGAGTCATACTCATTCTGCACATAATATTCAGAAAAATCAGACAATTTACAGAAATGGCAAATTGTCTGTCTCATAACTTCTCTTTTACTTTAGCCAGCTACTTAATAAACAAACCATTATCAGACAGTTTGTACTCATCAGAAACACAATGTGTTAATTATAGTATCATTGACCGTGTCTGCTCATCACCTTATACATAATGCACAGTATCTTTTATCCAAACCGTCCATATTATCTGTGTTTTGAGTTTGAAACCAATGCAGTGCATGAATGCAAGTTTATTTGTTTTTGTTTGTTTGTTTTTTTGTCTTGTTGTAAGATGTTACGCAGAACTAGGATTGTTTTGCTACAAACATGTTAAAACTAGAAAATATCTTGTTAAAATTTACCATTATATTTGCTGTTCAAGTGTAATTATTGGTGACGAGGCAACTTTTACCCTTATTTTCTACAACCTGCTGCTTAACATCTTCATTTTGTACTCAGTTTCCCACTTGTGTCTCCATGGCAAACTGAGGCTAAAGATAACCAGGCTTTGGATATTAAACAAAGCTTAGGTTTGAAACATCACTGTCATCTTGTTCAGGTATTGAGAACACACTTTTACAAACAGGCTTTAATGTCATTATTATTTATGTTCTTTGTATTTTTGTTGCGTCTGTTTATGTTATATTATTTATTTAATTTATCCTGTTTTTTTATTGCTGTCTTGTGAATTCAGTGTTAATCTTATTGGACAGTGGGTCTGTTGTGATTGAGCTGAGCATCCTGTTAATCTTATTTCAGTTCCTATTAGCCACTGATTAGTAGGATACTTGTTCAATCCACATCCAATATCACGTGATAATTTCTGGGATAATTCAGTTGCTTTGTGTAGTTATTTGCCCTTGTGTAGTGTCCCATCTGTAGTGGTCTTGTATACTTGACTTGAGGAGAGCGGATACAGGCATGACAAAAAGAAAACCAGTCAGGTTGTCCTTAGTTATCTTTGTCATGGCAAATTGGAAGGGACTGAATCTCTGGAAGCCTGATGCTGTGTGCTCTTTATAACACTGTTGAAAGGTGTGCATGTGTTTGTGTGTACGTGTGTTGCAGCGGCTATGACTTTGGATACCTGATCAAGATTCTGTCCAACGCTAACCTGCCTGAGGAGGAGGTGGACTTTTTCGAGATTCTTCGTTTGTACTTTCCAGTCATTTATGATGTCAAGTACCTCATGAAGAGCTGTAAAAACCTGAAGGTACTTTGATAAATATTACAGCAGGTAGCACAGAGTAGTACCGCCTGTTTTAGTAATTGAAAGATTCACACCTTGATCTCTTCTGAGTGTGGCCCTCAGGTTTTACTTTGACTAGGAGCATGGTCTTGAGTGATTGACAAGTGTTTCATTTTCAGGGCGGGCTGCAGGAAGTAGCTGAACAGCTGGAGCTGGAGAGGATTGGACCACAGCATCAGGCCGGCTCCGACTCTTTACTCACAGGCATGGCTTTCTTCAAGATGAGAGAGGTAGGCTTCTGGAGTCAGTGAAAGGAGTGATGTTATATTAGTTTAGTGAAACTCAAATCTCACAAAGTCAGCCCAAAGTACTGCTTACACCCCTTTCATACACCTAAGGGTGCTTGTTCAGACATGGTCTCATTTCTGAACACGCACATCCTGGTCACTTTTACGTGAGATACTAGATTTGACTTAGTTACATCTCTGATCAGTGTCAGTGCAGCACAAGTCTGAACTGAATGCCATCAGATTAGGCTAGAGAGAGAAATGTGCATCTGGTGCTGCCTTCTAAAGTCACTTTGAATAGTTTGTTACCTCAGCCATCGCCTCTTACGCACAGGATGAGTTTAATAACAACAAAACACTGAGAAAAGCTCTGAACCAATTTTAAATTGATTCTCAACATCTCTCTCTCTCTCTCTCTCTCTCTCTATCTCTCTCTATCTCTGTATCTCCCTCTGTCACACACGCGCACACTCACTCGCACTGTCTGCCAAACATAACACAAGCACACAGCTCTTTCTGTTACTTCTGAATTATATTGAAGAAATCAGTTTGAAAAAAAATTCTTTAACTATTCTGGTAATGAATCATTTATTATTATTGTTCTGTTGTTCCATTAATTGATTGATAGAATAATTGTTGCAGCCACAGAAGGTTGACAAATGAACTAGTCACTTGCCTTTCTTATGGTCTTTACCTCAAATTTTCCATTTTGTAAAAAGCGTGCTTCTCTGAAACGTGTACATTTCTCACAACGCTAATCTTGTGAACTCTGAGCTCCTGATATTTGTTTTTTGCAGGGCTAATGAAATAAAAAAAGGCAAACAAAAGAACAACTGTTGAAAAGTGGAAATAATGCTACCCTCACCACTGTGCAAGTCTTTTAATAGCGTAACTAAACACTGTGTAGAGTAGAGAAACACGTCAAGTGCCAGTATTTCACATGAGAGTGCTCTCCCAAGCTTAAGACCCGTTCCAGAGAATTAAACTTGTGGTTTTAAAGATAAACTTACAATGTATTTAATAATTTAAAAATTTTCTTTAAAAAAAATATTTCCTACAGATGTTCTTTGAGGATCATATCGACGATGCAAAGTACTGTGGTCACTTGTACGGGCTCGGCTCCGGCTCTGCCTACGTCCAGAACGGAACAGGAAACGCTTACGAAGAGGAGGCTAACAAACAGCAGTCGTGACATCACTCTGAGCCTCTGCCATCCTGCAGTTCACATCCACAATCAGTGCGGCGCTGAGGCCAAGCTTCGACAGCTGGATGACAATAATAATGGAAGAACATGAAACACATACACATCGTTTAGCAAGCTGTTTCCCATAGGCTCTGCCCACCTTAGACAACTGAGTATGATGGTCAAAAAAAAAAAAAACCACAGCTGCCCTCACACACGCCACTGGTGCGTGTGTGTGAGTTTAGTCTTTTATTCCTTCGAGGCAGCGTAGACAGTCTGGTTGGTTCAGTTTCATTTAACATGCTTGAAAAGATGGGGTTTTAGTTTTCCTAAAATGTTCTGTAGAAACGTTTTGCACTTTAAAGCTCTAACCTGATTTTATATGGAAAGCTGAAAATGTTTCTGGTGTCTTTCTCCTCTTTGTTGCCTTCTCTATGTTCCCATTTTACATTGCGAACATGTAAATCTTTACTATCACAACAACTGCTCTCACCACGCTCAGCCTTAATATTAGCTGCATTCTTTTAAACTTTAATTTATTGTGCTGGTTATCTGACATTGAAGACGCTCCATTCAATACTGACACCACATGTCAGTATGCTCTTCCTCGATCGCTGGACATCTAGTCTGATAATGAGAAAGGGAGCTCTCAGTGAGTGTGTTTACATGCACTTGAAAAGTCATTGACGTATTTTTCGTTTGTTCATAAAATAAATAATGTTTATAATGACCTAAATAAACTCTAATCCCCCTGTGAGAAGCCTTTAACTAACAAGCTGGTGTATTGTGCTTGTAGATGGGACGCTGAAACGCGTGAGCACCATTTCCTCCGTGTTATTAGTTGCTGTTTTCCTGTTTGTATTCATGAAAATGCTCAGAATAGTTGCATACAAAGATATTTACAGTATGTACCGGGATGCATACGAATGGTTTTCATCGGGGGAGTGTTAGTATTCGTGCATGTAAACATCCTCATTGACACAAGCACACATCAACATATGAACACGGATGTATCGCCTCTCAACATGGTTTTACACTTGATTTTGACAAAATTCACCAGAACTCAAAAAACAATTATAAAGTATTGAGAAAAAAACAAACAAAAAAAAAAAAAACATTAGCCTGCTTTCGGACATGCTGAGGCCACCCTGAACTACTCTGTTGAGAGTAAAATTTCATTTTTAATTGAAGTTAAGGATTTGAAGAGTTTTAGTGTTGTAATAAAAGAAGGAAAAAAACTTTTACTCATTGGGGGAAAACTAACATTGTTTTTTTAAACATGTATCTTTTCTCTCCAGTGCAGTTCATTTCACTTGTAGTTCTGGCCTTTGAATGAAACTTTTTTTTTGTATTGCTTTCCAGATTCATGCTGCCTAGAACAGTCGCATGTACTAAAACGTTTGAATAAATGCTGTGTTGTTGAATAGTATCCTGAACTTCCATAGGTGTGTGTTGAAGTGTAGGTTCATGACTTATTAACCTCCCTCAGCGTCAGAAACCGATAACTGAAACAATTTTCTTTCTGCAGCACATCTCTCTCACTGTAAAGGAGTAAAAGAAGAATATGCAATATAAAAGAGGATTGTTTTTAGATTATTTTGTAAATAAAGGCTTGAAACTTTTCTACCATAAAATGCTCCTGACCGTTACATCTCTTCAATGGCTCTTTAAAGAACTGACTGCGAACACATGAAGATGAGCTCGTTTTATTCTTTTAAGGCATCACAACTGTACAGTACATTGCCTCACACATCCATATTGTCTCTTGAGTCGTACAGACAGAAGAATAGAAAAATATAAATTGACACTGACTGTCACCATGAAGCTTTTTTTGAAACAAGCATACATTCTTTAATTTTCAGTGATGTTTTTTTTTTTTTTTTTAGTAATTTCCAGCCCGAGACGAGAACAGACAGAATCCTCAGAAGGTGAAAATAGATTTGACTTTCTTTTTTTTTTTGCTCTGCAGTACATCCACAACATCAGGTTGTGAGTTATAAAAACACTCAACAGCTCAACAGTATCTGCTTTTTGATGGTGAACAGATCTGCGGCAGCGTCACACGGAGGCTTGTTTTTGCTGGCGGCCAGTGAGCCGGCCCTCCGGAGACAAACACTCAGGAAGCTTTTTGGCCGGCAGTTTGACGTGTACTGTAGGCTACCATACAGCAGGTTAGATATTTGGCAGGGGGGCGGGGTGGGGTGGGGGGGCACACGCTGTTGCAGCACAGAGCAGCACCAGCTTCCAGGTGTTTTAGTGTGACAGCAACATCCTCACTCATGCTATAACGAGTCAGAAGAGCCCTTATTCAAAAATGTAATTACTAATGACTACACTTTTTTTTTGTTTGTTTTCAAGCAAAGGGGGAGAACATCTTGTGGTACAGTTCACTACGACAAGGTGTGTTTGTGTTGACATCCTGAGATGAGAGCATGCATCATCCACAACACTCAAGATGGTGGGTGGAAAACCTGCCCTCGCCCCCCCCTCCACCCACCCACCCCCCCTCTCCAACAACAAAAACAAAAACTTCACTAAGAAGAAAAAAAAGAAAAGACTAAAGGAATGTCATTTACATCACATTAACACCACCACTAATTTATACTTAATGTCCAAATGTTTGGCAAACTCATAACAGCATCTACTAATGTGCTAAGCTATGAAAATAACATAAAATAGATCATTCTGAGAGTTTCTGTGCCATGAACTGTAACATACAACAGCAGCTCAGATTGATTTACCAGTATACAAAGTGCAAAACTTCCCCTCTCCCACTGCTGCTCTGTGCTTATTCATATAGAAACAAAAGAAAATGTGATTGTTGGAATGCAATTTTCATTTTAATCCACTTGTTCTGGAGCCCAAATACTGTCAGGTAGCAGCAGATAATGTTTCTTGATCACAAAAAGGATGATACTGGTGATAGTGATTATTGATTTTTCTCTGGTTTGTATGTGATATCAGTCATGTAAACCTCTCAGAAGAAGGGTCGCAACATGGAAAACAACGAATATCGATGAGGTCACCACCACGTCACGTTCTGATAGGCACAAACACTGCGGAGGGGGCAGCAGAGACCTGCGAGAGGAAACACATAGAGACACGTGTTCATTTTAAATCTTGACATGTGGAGGATTTCCCTGTGACTGTAAACGTACTTTTCTGGGTAGAAGGTGCCAACTTTCAACTCTGGTTATGCCTCATTTTCTATGGTCATCCCTGGGTTGCTGGCACCTAAACAAACACACAGGTGGAATAAAAATCTAGCATTGAAGTCATAAAATACGACTAATTTATTTTTTTGGAGGTTATGAAACCAAACAGCACAGGAAAAACCATTATCTTACCTTTCTTGTCTTTGTCTGCCGCATTGTCACTCTCTGTCCAGGAGGGGGTGCTGGTGAGCAGCCGGCTCTGACTCTCTCTCAGAGGCTTGGAGGGGAACTGGCGGCCCTCTGCTGCACTGGAAACACACAAACACCCATGAGGAGGCATGTAGCCAGGAATCCTGGGCCCCCTGACGCCCACCCTCCTTCTTTAAATAAAATAATGCTAAATCCTGTCCTCCTATGATCTGAATCATTAATTTAAAACTGCAAAACGGCCATAACAGCTTCAAGGTGATTTTCCTGCATCATTAAACCTACAGGTTAATAAACCATTAGGGGCTGACTTGTGACTTGTGACTTGTGCAGACGCTGCTGTTTTTTGGGGTTTTTTTTTTTACTCACCCCTTGTTGGCAGGGTTGGAGCCAGTGGGTGAGGAGGGCTGCTCAGGGTCCAGATTCACCAGACAGGATGGGAACGAGCAACCGTCACCTAAGCTGGAGAGCCAGGAAAGGAAAGGAGGAAGTGCAGCTTGATGTTTGAATGACGATTTGGAAATGAATTTTGTTCAGTTTAGGTGAGATTATAAACATCAGTAGAATTATATGTCATGAATCTAACTTTATGTATGTGGAAATGATGGCTGATGACTGTATGGATGTTAAAACGTCTATGCAGATTTTGCTGAGCGTTAAATGCTAAAACCTTGTCTGACTCAGTAATGTACAGTATGTTATAGCCTGCAGCTATATTTACCTAAGATGAGGTAACATCAACGTCACTGTTTCTAGAGAAAAAGTGCTTTGCAAAACAACATACGAAAATAACTTTCCATTTGTTTTTTTGTTTTTGGAGAATAAATAAATAAGGAGGCTACATAGCAATTAGTTGCTGCAGATATTTTTCGGGTATCTAGTTACAGCTGAATCTCAAGTTTGTATCTCAAAAACATGATTTTGTTTTTATATAATACTGTGACTAATTACCAGGAAGCTGCATATCCACAATATTATTCTTTCTGTCAGCATGAATTACTAATTTAGCAAATCTGGAGCTTCTGCATTAATTGACAGTTTTGATGATGTTGTTTACTGGTGCTGACGCTCTCTGGTCTCCTTCAGGACTTTCCCGTCTTCTGAACCATTTTGTTTCGGTGTAAGCGTCACTAATCCCCGAGCTGAAGAGCGGCTGCTTTCATTCAACACTTCCTTTTCATCCAGAGTTAGATCATGTTGAAATGTGACTGAATGTCTTTGTTTGAACTAGAGTGTGTGATTACCATGGGCACTGATGCTGATTAGCATGACATTTGGGTGACTTTATAATGAGTCTGAAAACTCATTGTCCTTATAGAGTTGTAGTTATAGATGCAATGAAAACACACTATGGTAGTATATAATGTAAAAAGTATGCGTGTCATCGTGATGACCTTACGTAGAGTAGATGAGTAATAGCCACCATTTTTTCTGTGTTAAGATGCTGTGTTATGAATACAATGGCGTTGAATGGCCTTCAATAGACATGAATTCATTATATGACTCACAATATATTATATATAACATATTGAAATTATTCACAGTGAAAAAGAAAGTTGATGTAATATAAATATGGTAGAAGTCTATGGGATTATTTGACTATTATCTACTAAGAAAATCATAAAGTCTGACTGTTATCTATAAAAACAATGTCATAGTACCCATCTTCAAAGAATTATGCACAATGTTTTTTTGTTTTTAGGAATACCTCATTAAATATAAGTACTTAAATATAAGTATTTTCAAAACAATAAGTATGTGACAGCATGAGTAGAATTACTGTGTAGTATTCACATCCATTCATCTGTCTACTAATGCAATTCTTTAGACAATATTTATACTTTTAAACAGGCGATAATTAAACTGTTCCTGAACATACCCGCTAAGACCTTTGAAATCGCACAGTGACGCACAGTGACAGTCCTGCCAATCTGAGATGCACGTGATCCAAATCTTAACATCTCAACAGGTTACAAGTTGGATTTAACGTTCACTGTTTTTTGTTTTTTTTTGCACAGCTGGATGTCTTAGCCACACAGAGCCACCGCCTCAAGTGTTTGACCTGACCTGTGCTTCAGACACTGTGGCTCCTGATCACTTATTTTTAAAAATTATTTCTTAAATCATAGACTTACTTTATTGTTGTTGTTGTTGTTTTAGTTTGCCCACCTTAAATCCTACGTTGTTTCTAATAATACCTTATGTCATGGATACTTCTACAGTTTTCTTTTTGAACACCTTTGACATTATGACCTCACCTGGAGAAAATGGGAACAGGCCAGTATTTCACTTCATCACCGAAGACCTGGCGGAAGTTCTTACCGACGCCCAGACTGAAACCGTTCTTGTCTGTGCCGTGACGAAAGACCGGGGCGCGTACAGCCTCTGAGAGGACACACACGGAGGAGAAGAGGAATAAATACAACTTCGACTTTAAACAGCAGCTCAGTCAGTAAAACAGATCAACACACGAACTTGAATGAAACAGCGCTTTGTTGTGCAGGAAAAGCAGTTCTCAGGCTGTTCCACCAGGTGTGACTCCTCTTCCTACCAGTGTCTGTTACTAAGCTGCTTACTGCTCTGAGCCTTGTGTCTTTGCATTACACTGTAACATACTCCTCTGGATAATCCACTCTCCTCAACACACAGAGACAAAGTGTGCCAGTGTGCACACATAATGAGAAACGGCTCCGTCTGATATCAGCCCAGAGAGGCTCATCAAATCGCTGCGCTGATGAGGATGGTGACTGACGGTGGGAAAAATGCACTGACACATCCTTCATCATTAGTGCACAGACGACACTGTGTAAACCACGAGCAGACTGGAATCAGATACTCGGGATAGAGAAAAGATGAGAGGGAGCTTCTGTTTAAATACTGCAGCTACTGAGAGAACACGCACACACACGAAGGGTATGAAGGACGCCACCTACCGAGAGTGGATCTGTTCTTGCAGACGAGCCAGCAGTGATAGATGAAAAGAGAGGCGAGGCTGACGGAGAACATGGAGGCCGAAAAGAAGAGGAACAGGATGTGGAACTTCGCCTGAGTGTCTGGGAGGCCGTTCTGAGGGGGGAAACAACACATCAACACCACTACACAAGCACAGAGTGGACACTGAAATCAAATGAAGCGGGTGAAATCTGGGTACTGAGAGTTTTCTACTCCACTAATCTAGAGGTTTCTATTTCAGTGCCACTAACTAACCGGCTGGTTCATACCAGGTATTCTCTCAGACGGAAATGTGCTCTACCTCCGGCCTTGTGAAGAAAATCAAACACCACACATGTAACACAGGAATCATGTTGTCCATTAAGAGTTCATTAGAGATATTCTGTGCTGACACAACAGTTTCTAAAGAGGCTGAAAAGTTGATATTGTAGCAGATGATTTATATTTACCGTCCAAAATTTAATGAAGTATTGAAGATCTGTCGCAGTTATAAAAAGGCAGTAGAGTAGCGAATATGCCAGGAACAGCATGAAATACTTGTAGTTGGAGAATCCCACACAGTTGTTCACCCTGCAGAAAGAACAACAGGAAAACTGAGGATGAGTTGGTGGCTGAGCTGTTACAAAATCAAAATGTCGCTGTTGTTCATTTTATCTGCTGAAGTGAAGTATATTGTATGTTTTCCCTCTTTAACTTTACCTCATGTCTGTTTTTTTTCTGTTTTTACTTGTGTAGCTAACCAGACGTTTGAATCAGAGCTCATCCTCAGCTTTTCTTAGTAACATTTCGACACAACGCAGGTCTTCCATGTGTAAATTTGCCTGATTCCAGTTTGCATGAACATTTTTATTGTATTCGCATTGACTTTTTGGTTTTGTGGATGTGAACACAACTACCCTCAGCATTTCCAGCCTGTTTTAGTCTGAAAAACACGTAAATGCAACCACTGGGCTGCAGAGCTGAACTAGAAAAACCTTCAATCAGCAGGTTTGTTTCATTTCCATTCAGTTACAGAGTATTGTAGTATTGTATGTTACATTTTGTTCCAGATGGATAAGGACATGTTCATATCAGGCATTTCAGCCAGAAAACAAATCCTGGAACCTAATGCTTGCATTCGCTTTGCAGCTGATTCTCATTTTCAGTCATTTTTATTCCTGGTTCCTCTCTTGTTCAATATGGCAAAGAGATTCGACAAACCAATTATGTTTAGTAAAAACTGCACTGACTCAGATTTATTTTGTCTCAAAATCTATCATCTGGCTGGACGAGAGGTTAAATGTCCAGTAAGCAAGCTATTATTTGTGCATCCACATGACGCCTGTTTACAAGCCCTGTTGACGTGAATGTGACCGGGCAGTGTGAAAATAAAGAAAATAACACCTTTCCCCACGAAACCTGAATTCTTTTGTGCCTTAATAAAATTATATAATTACACACCATGTGAGTACAGTGCTACACTGGCACAGTGTCACTGATCTTTGTTTTAAATCCTATTGCCTGTTTAATAAAAGAGTGTCACTACGCACCAGGGGCAGTGGTGATCCATCTTCAGGATGCATCTGTAACACAGCAGGGTCAGACATCAGTGTAATTGAATCTTACTCCGCCTGCCAGAATTCAATATATCGTGTGGTCTTTTCTCTATAGGTGCATGAGCAGAGAGCCGTACTTATCACAAACTGAACAATGGTGACATCGATCAGGCTTCAGCAGCTGGCAGCGGTCACAGAAACGGATTGCTGAGGAGACACAGCCAATTCAGTCACACAGCCGTCAGCAGCAGCAGCAGCAGCCTCTCCTAACACCTGACCACAGACTATCAAGGTGACGGGGGTGAAACGAGCTCTGAGAGCTGCATGTCAGTCTAGTCTGCGCCTGTTGTTCTGCATCGGCAGCAGTGTGTGCCGTACTGTACTGTACCTCCAGAGTTGGTGCGCGTGTAGATGGGCAGATCCTTGGCTATCCTCCTCAGGATCTCCTGCTGAGACTCTCCCCGATCTTCACGCTCCAGCAGCTCCTTGTCAGAGTAGGACAGGTGGAACTATGTAGGGCAGAACACAGAGGGAAAGACAAACAACACCTGTGAATTACCTGTGAGCAGTGCAGTTTATTTGTAATGACTCATATCTTTAAATGTGTCAAAACACTCAAATATTTTGTCAGATGAGCTACAAGCTATGGGAGTGTCAGTGATGCAGCCATGTCTGTTATGAAGCTGCAGCTTCGTAGGCGGTGAATGGTATCTTTGTTTCTTCCATTTGTTTTGGCTCCTTCTGCCCCAGCAGGCAAATGGGGGCAAAGCAACACAGAGCCGTGATATTACTTTCAGCCACTCAAGCGACTTATGATGAACACTGGAAACAAATAACTCTGATGATAGCAAACACTACAGCACCCACGAAATTTGACTTTTATTACAATCTCAAAACCTCCAGTGATCCGGCGATCACGTCTCATGCAGGAGAGCGTTCATATGAGGTGATTATTGTCTGCATGTGCGCTTCTCACTGACGGAAACTGAATTGCAGAGGTGGCTTTCCTCTGAGCGTCCTCTCCGAGATGTATGCATGTGTGTGTTCACCCTGCAGAGCCGGAGTGCTGTGGTCAGGATCAGAGCCATTAGAGTGCAGCTCCAGGCACTTCCACTGGAAAGTATTATTAGTCTAAATGCAGCGTTCAATCACCCAGGGAGGCTGTAACCTACATCTGCACTTCCCACCATGCCTCATCATGCTGGCCGACTGTAACGCTGCATTGTAATCAGACACACTCACCTCCTTCAGGGGGTTCATGGGCTTGGTGAAGATGGTTTGCCAGTACGCCCACACAAACATGATGAAAATGGCATGGTACACCAGCAAGTACACGACTGAAAGCAGAAAAAAAACACAAACAAGTCGTCGCCATCGTCTTCTCTTAGCAGTGGTGCGAATTTAACCATTTATCCAAGGTTTGCGGCTTCATTAAATATCAATAATATTAGTGTGATTTTATTTCTTTGACCGTGGTGCTAGAGGAAGAGGCAAAAGATCACCAGCGTCAGAAGGATTCATCCATAAGTGTTTGTACAAACTTCATATAAATGAAAGATGGATGTCTTTCTCTCTCACTGTAAAAGCCTTTAAACATTTAACTGAGGTAATGAAAAAAATCCTGAGGACACACTTCCAGCTGACACAGGCTGATTGTGGTGTTTTGAAGGCAGCTGCCTCTGCGCAGACTGAAGGCTGCTGAACCTCCTCTGGCCTGAAACTCTGCTCAGCACTTGACAGATACGGAGCAGCTGGAGACACTTTAAAGTTTAAATGATTCCTCTTGATGTTAAACAGAATTATAAAACACTTACCCTTTTGTCCCGTGTCTTCGATGGACTCTGAAAAATGAAAAGAGACAGTCATGCCTGTGTTGAATTAAAGAAGTGGAAACACTGTGGAGAGGGTTAGGATATTTCCAAAAAAGTGTTATTTTTATTTTAAATCCTTCGCACAGGGAGCACCTCCATGTGGTGGAGGGTTTTTTTGGGGTTTTTTTTCATGATACACGTTTGACTGACAGTCTGTCTGAATTCAATTTAGCAAGAGTGAAAAATGCTGACTCCGTAAACCCCTAATCCCAGAGTCCAATACCACACCATTCACAAAATCAATACACAGCATGCTCCCAGTCAGACAGTTCGACTCATTGTTCCTCTCATATAGATAAGCATTACTGTGCATTGACAAAAGGAAAACAACAGGAACATCCTGCACAGTTTGTGTGTGTGTGTGTGTGTGTGTGTGTGTGTGTGTGTGTGTGTGTGTGTGTGTGTGTGTGTGAATGCTGACAGCTGCAACCGCTCCCGCAGAGGGGGCCGGGGCGAAGCTGCTGATCATCAGCACCCACATAGTTGATGAGCACCCCCAAAAAACCTGCACACAACACACACACCTAAAGACCTGGACTCAAACATGAAAAGAGACAAGTGGAGACCTGTTGGAGGATCAGATAACACTGCTTTCTATTGGTCCTGATATCTAAGCAATGATTAGCTGAGCACACAGAATCATCCATCTTGAGCAATTAGGCTGTAAAGCAACACACAAACACTACACACACACACACACACACACACACACACACACACACACACACACACACACACACATGCACGCTGCAGGAACTGAGGAAAGGTGAGCCAATGAGCTGAATTGAGGCGTGCTGCCAAAAATCGTGTGCGCGCCACCTTGCCAGCATAAAAACGCCAGTCTGACAGTGAAGCACAAGTGTGTGTGTGTGTGTGTGTGTGAGTGTGTGACTAAGGGCATGTGCAAGGATGTATATTCATGTGTCTATGAAAGTTTGATTGTCTCTGCCATACATCAGCTTCTCCTTTTTTCTCTTTGCTTTCTTGCCAAAATTAAGTAAATGTCCAACAACACAAGAAGCCAAACACCTCCTGATTTCACAGCTTTAACAACCTTGGCTGAAAGAGGAGCGACTGTTCAAAGGCTGATGCTTTAAAAAAAAAAGTGGGTCAACCACAGATTGCTTGGGGTGAATTATGTAAGCCAGACAATGGGATTAACTGAGCTGCTGAAAGAGAGGTGTCAGCTGACGATACTTTCCCACAACTGTCCCTGTGTCTGTCCGCGGAGCACATGCCGGCCTTGAGCAACCACTGTCCTGCCCTGCTGCAGTTGTTTTCATCTGTCCGTCCCATCTGACTCGAGAGAATCACAATTTCCTTCTTGTTCTGCAGGATGCAAAACAAGAAGGTTGAAAAAAACCCACATCAAACAGTGATGTTGCTTTTTTGCTGTAATCAAAATATCTCATGGATGGCAGCAGACACATGCTGTCCTGTAATTCTAGGAGAGGTTCATCCTGGGACAGATGCTGTGCCGGCCTGTCTGCTGAATGGGGGGGGGGGTTTAGAAACTTTAAAACAGGGCCAGACTGAGGCACAGTCTTAAAGACCTTGTCTTGTGACAAAAATTTGTTAACACTCACATTTAAAGCCCTGGTTTAATAACAAACTGTAAATTATTCATATTACAGTATTTATTCAGTGTAATGATTGAATGTAATGAAGACCAAAAGACAGTATCTGGATGGATGGATCTTGAGGCAAAGGGTCCCTGTCTTTGCAGTCATCTGTCTCTGTGGTCATTTTGCATCTCCTCCTGGTCCTTTTCTTGCCTCTTTGGTGTCATTAGTTGTTTTTCATCTCTTTGTGGACATGTTTTTCTTCTCTTTTAGGTCTCTTTGTGGTTATTTTATCTGTGGTCATTTTTAATCTCTGGTTACTTTTGTCTCTTTGTGATTTTGCATCTCTTTGTGGTTATTTTATGTTTCTTTTTGGTTGTTTTTTGTTTCTTTGTGATTCTTTTATGTTTCTTTGTGGTTGGTTTTTGTTTCTTTGTGGTTATTTTATGTTACTTTGTGGTTGGTTTTTGCTTACTTGTGGTTTTTTGACAACAAGAAATGTTAAGTCATTTCATACAGAGGTTTCTGTCCAGGTGCTACAGGTATGCAGTAGACCTGTTGAGTAATACACCCATGATGTAAAGACGCCAGCTAACCTCTGTGGTGGGCGTGGCCTCAAAGAGTCAGTTTTTGGGTGGAGGGGCATGCCATCCAAGATCCACCAGTCTGGCCCCATCCCTCCCTGTGACATGGCACTATTGCTACTACTCCTGCAGCATACTTAACTCTCACTGATCAGGTGACTAACATGAAGGTGTACACTGTCAGTTGAAGCTGGACTGCACGTCCGTCTAAATTTGGAGAAGATCAGATTTAAGAACAAACAAACAGCCAGAACATCAAACACTCCCTTCCTCTGTTTTCTTCTGTTTGGTCTCCTTAAACTGTCTCCATTTCGTCCCCCTTTCTGACAGGGGAGATCTTCTTTCCTAGTGGCCTGACAAGTTGCCAAATGGAGCAGAGGAGTAGGCTGCTGAGACTCCTCTGAGACATCCTAGAAAACCATTACTCACTATCCAGGTCAACTCTGCGTTCACCGTTCACAGAGGAGGCTCACCGTCTGTAGCCGCACCATCCAACGTTCAGCAGTCAGGCGGAGTGTGTGAAGGAGGGAGGCAGGCCTGACTCAAAAGCCATTACAGTCAGACGACTTGCCAAAAGATAATGCTGCTGGTGGTGTTGTGGTGGTGGATATAAATTCAGATAATGAAGCTGAGCAACTACATGAGCCTGAGGCTATTACAGTAAGTCTGCCAGATAGTGCTGATAGTGGTGGTGGGGTCAGATAATGAATCTGAGACACATGGTCTAATCCCATTCTGTTCATCCTGCCATAGTGTATGTCACAAGAATGTAATCAAAGCTTCTTCACAATAAAAGCTGGCTGTCAAATCATTCAATTCTGTCTGTTTTCATTTGTACATCAGTTTTTCGTGTAAAAATACGTTGCCACTTCACCATAACAATATACTGACAATCCCTGGTTTAACTGTTATTGTCATGTGACACTGTCCACACACTGTCCACACACTGCGTAAACAACAAAACAGTCTTCTGCATTAAAAAAAAAAACAATCAGCCTGAACCACAAACTGCTGAAACAGAAATATTTCCCCACCCCATCACCAAAAAAAAAAAAAATACACACACACACCAGCCAGAGACATTTCCCCTCACACACAGACATATACACACACTGCTTCCTCATACCACCCAGACAGCTGGTTTCTTACCTATGCAAAGCTGTAAAACATAGGCGTAGTATGACCAGGCCACTATGAGGGCGATGAACAGGACCGGGATCCAGTACAAAACTCTCTGACAGCCCCGCTTGATACTACGCGAGCCCGACGGTGCCATAGTCTAGGAGCGGATCATTTCTCGTGTGCATACGTATGTTACGCTCCCTCCCCTCCACTCCCTCGCTCAGTGTGTGCGTGTGTGTCTGTGTCTTCCTGTAGACTGTCACTGCATCGTAGCTCCGGCTCTGATCAGCCTAATCGGCAGCTCAGTCGCAACATCCTACCAGCCTCCCACCCGCCGCTGCTCCTGCCTCTGCTGCTGCTGCTGCTGCTGCTGCTGGTGCACTGCTCTCCCCTCTGATCGTCCTGCCCAGCCGCTGCTACAGACTACAACAAAATATCAGACAGCTCACACACACTCATGCGCACGCACGCAAACACGCACACACGCACACACGCACGCACACACACACACACACACACACACACACTGAGAGGCAGCGCCGCCTCTGATGCCTCCCCACAGGTTGCCATGACGTCCGCGAGATGCTGCAAGCCTGGCACATTTTTCACCGTGAGCAGATGGGTTCAATTAGTTCATACTCGTGATGTTCAAACAGTCTCAGTTCAGTTGTTCAGTCTCAACACACACACACACACACACACACACACACACACACACACACACACACACACACACACACACACACACACACACACACACACACACGCCCCTGTTTTACTGCATTTGAGGGGACCATATCCCCTAATCTTAACCAATAAATCACAACTAAAATCCTATCCCATAACCTAGACCTGATTCTAACCCTAAAACCAAGTCTAAACCCTCAAACAGATATTTCGACGTGTGGGGGTCCTGGATTTTGGTCCCTACAAAGCTGTCGGACCCTGTAGGTATGGTCTCTTGATTTACATACAGTAAAACAAACCCATACACATACTGTCGGCTATTTTCACACAAACTATGTTAGGGCAGCTCTGGGTCAGCTGTACCACAGGTTGTTAAGTTTCAGTGGTTTTATGTTCTGTATTCTTTAGTATATTTTGGATCTGTGTTTCACAATATGTAATGTGTTTTGCTAGTGTCAGAGGTATTGTCGCCTGCATATTGTGTTTTATGCCTGACGGTGTAGGTGGAGGTCTGCACAATCCACCTGCTTCTGCTGCCTCACACCCAACTGCACCTGCAAAATATTTCACAACCCTGCAGTACATTGTGCAGCCCTCCTGCCAGGCTGCAATCTGTATCGTTTGCCTGTTACCATCATATTTCACTGAATCATTCCTGATGTTTGATTGAAGAACTCCTTACATGTTTTTTTTCCCATTAATGCTGTTTGGATGTGAGAAAGATTTAAGCTGTGATTTACCACCTGTTGTCACAGCGCTTGTGTGGGTGGCGAGCTGTATCAAACTGACAATATGCACCACAATATGTACATCTGAGTCTTAGAGAAGGGACAGATGGCTCAGTAACACATCGAACCTGAAGTAGCTTTGATTTGTGACAATCACCGGTTTTAATTTTAAAATAGATTCCACAAAGTATATGTTCTCTACTGCATAGAGAAGGTGTGTTCAGCTGTACTTTATAAAGATACAAGCATTCAAGTGGCTTTTATAAAAATCAGTGTCCCCAAAGGCCAGTTTAGCTTATAGACAAATCAGTCAGTGATGGGAGATACAAAAAAAAAATACAATAATGAATAAAAACAACAATTAATACAATACACACATATAATAAATCACACACAAATAAACACGGGTCAACAACATCACTGTTGTCAATGTCACTTGTCAATGTCACTTGTCACCAAAACCATCAGAGAACACAGGGAAGACAAGAGAAGCCAGAAACTGGAGGTCACGGTGTCACACCCACAGCAAGTAACAGGCCAAATCACATTTTGTTTAAGAACAGCTGATGGAATAAAAGACCTCAAGTCTCCGTTTGTGTCACCACCAGGGAGGTCAAACTCTAAGCTAATTAAAGTCACGGTGTCGAGGAGTCCAACATGATGACCTGAGCTTTCTGTGGGGCTCTGGCTGATCCAGGTGGCTAAGATCATTGAATTTACAAATTATGGATCGATTTATTTGTTCTGAAAAGTACTCGGCTACTCAACCTGTGATAACAGTTGTATAATGTCCTCAGTCGCCCTGAAGCAGCTTCATGTCATCAGGGTTTTTTTGGACTGGGCCTGAGACTTCAATTTTTTATCAGTGACAAAGATGGGGGCATTAACCAGGCAGGGAGGAGCTGGCAAATGAGTTGCATTATGGGAATTGTAGGATCCGGTGTCTTTTGAGTTTCACTCATATCTGAGACAAAAAAAAAGTCAGTGTATCAGTCTCTGCTGCTGTTGACCATTCCTGCTTTAATCTGTCTCCTGTAAATCCCCCAGCTTAATGAAAGTGCAATGCTAAATTGCTGGAGAATCCCTTTAGGCTCCCTTTCAGAGGATACAGTATTTTTTTAACGTCAACTGAATTGTTCATACTAATGGGAAAGTGAAACCTGAAACCAAAACAGCTTAGAACTGGGCAATAGTGGGAGAAAGTACTGGTACTTACATACAAATATGGGTGGGTGATGTTAGCAATGTGCGGCTATAATGAGCAAGTACAGGCATTCATTTTTCCTTTCACTCAGTTAAAAGAAAAGTTAAGAAAATTGTATCACTGACGTTTTTTGCAGCTGAAGAGCCAGAATACCACGAGCAGATAGAGCCAAGTCACAAAATAACAGATTTACAGATAAACTTGATACACAAAGACCTATTCACAAAAAGTGGTATATCTTTCTGTCACTGCACCAACTACAAATGAATGGATTAACATTGAAACGAAACTTTACTCTAAATGTCAGGGATCTGTTACTGACTCCTTAAAGAACCCCCTTCACCTCATTTCAGGAAGTGCAGAATTTGAGTTTGAGACTGCAAATTATTACCCTGCTGAATTAATCATTTAAAGATAAAAAGTCCCTGATTAGAGTCTCGAACACCCACACAGCCCCAGGTTGCTGATGATTAATACTGTTAATGATTTGCCTTCAGGTCGAGGATAAAAAAGCTAATTTATTCTACTGTGGTCCTGCTGTCAGTCCGCTGTAGTTAAAAAGAAGAAGAGGTTTGTCTGGTGAGGGCGGCGAGAGCTGTTCACAGTTTATCAGCTGACTTGTGTGAAAACAGCAACTGAACAAACAATGGTGTGTTTTTGTGAGACTGACAAAGGGAGCAAAAAAATAACCAAGCCACATGTTTTATCTCATATTTATTTCACCATGTGATTATAAATGCATCTGTGCTGTAACATCAGTGTAGCAGTCGAGGCCTGATTTAAAAGAAGTTTTCAAAACTCTTCAAGAGGTAGACTATCTAATCCAAACATTCAAAATTTAAACAGAAAGTAGTCTCAAATACAAATACATTAGTCTGGTTAATATTAGAGCGTGTAACGTGTTGATATCTTCAGTCTTTTTCAGTACATAACTCCACCCAGAGCAAACATTGTAACAGGAAACAACAGTCATCAGGTAGTAGCAGTACAAGTGTAAACTCTTCCTTACAGAGCCTAAAGGGAAGGACGTTTTAATCTACTTCTCAATTAAAACCTACACTAATTTAAGCGAGAGTGTCCGAAGAGTGGAACAAACATATGGCTTCAATATTTTGCATATTTATAAAGAGGTCATCCCTGCCAGTGGCATGAAAATAGCACTTGTGTTTACTAGCCAAGAAATGATTAACAGTGTTAGCTGCCTGTAGTTAAACAGTGAAAAGCCACAGACTGAGGGTGTGTGTGTTCAGGCCTGTGGCTCTGGGGGATCCTGGAGGATTTTAGCTGCAGCGCTTCGGGAGAGAGGCGGAAGAGAAGGAGGATAAGGGAAAGGGGGAGGTGCTGCTGTCCTAAGCTGATCTGTGCAGGGGGCTGCAGAGCCGGCAAAAGGACAAAGTATGTGAGTAATGCTGCTGTCGTACAGAATAAACTCAGGATATAAGGAGGATCGAACTGAACAATACACACTGGCAGAGCAGTAATAAGACAAAGTTGGAGTTTTAGATAAATATATAAAATCAGAGTTAACAATTAATTGATAAATATATTTACAAGTAGATAAATCAATAAATAGTTCTCAACAGGTAAAAGTGGTTAAACAAACTAATTAGTGCAATTTAGAGTCCTGCAACACTGAGTTAAGTGGATTTTCTTGTGGGTTCATAATGGGTCACTTGTGTTTGTTTGACCACTTGCAAGAGCTTCGCATTAGGCTGACCACATCCTGTTTGTGCCACGTCCTGTTTATTTTAAAACTTCTAAGAGAGTGTAATAAGATGCTGAAGCATGCACTAACCCGAGAGCTCTGGTAGAGAGCACAGCAGAGGCAAAGCTCATCCAGTTTGTAGCACATGCACTGATGTTGGGATCTTCACCTGGCAACAAAACAGACAGAAAATGACGCCAGTGATAAGTCCAGTGTGACTAACTGTAAACCGACAGATTAATTTATCATGAAGGCAGACTGGATAATCTGCATCGCTCCTGCACTGAAGCTGCAGGCAATTCTGTCTTATATTACACACCAGAAATTAGATACTGAGAAACTGGAATATGAAAAACTCCTTGCACCTCTTAATCAAACAGTCAGAATGCAGCAGTAGTTCTGCAAGCTGCAGAAAAAAAAATCTGGGTCCTCTGCAGTGACTACACCTGTAGATTTTCAGCATACAAATCCCCTTATGAGTTTCAAACAGGCAACAAACCCAGCAGCTCCTTTAAATATCTGTAATATCTGTCGATTCCTCCAGTTTTCTTAAATATCAGAAATAACACAGGGAGTATTGCCAGAACAGAGGTATGTTCACATGTGAAAAATTATAAGTTTTATAACAATTTCTAACTTAAATTGTAGAAAATTCTAATTACCTTGGCAACTAACGCTGAACGCAAAAGGAATGGTTAGAGATTTGTGGCTCTTACAGTATTTGCTAGATGAGAAGATTGAAATCATTCTCAGATCTGCTGGTTAATTATAAAGCTACTGCTAGCAGCTGATTAGCTTAGCTCAAAAGCCTAAAAGCGAACAAGTTGCAGTTCTGTGGTTGATATTTATCAGTCTATTTCTTGGCCGGACACAGTGACTTCCTGAGGTGTCTATGGTTGCCTAGCAAACTCACAGTGACAATAAGACCACAGGCAGTCCATTACATCTCACCAAAACCACAACTTTTCATTGGGTTGTTTTTGACACAAATTAAACAAATCACACATAATATTTTGTAACCTTTGAAAAGGCTAGCTGTTTGTGCTAAGCTAGCTAACCACCCGCTGACTGTAGCTTCATGAGAGTGGTCTTCATCCAAACTGGTGGCAAAAAAGTATTTCTAAAATTTCAAAATATTCCTTTAACTGCTGAAAAGGTCACATAAAGTACCAAAGTGACATTGCCTGTTATTTGTCAGCTATTTTCTCATTTCTCTCAAAAATTTCCCAATTTTTTTTGTAGACATTTTCATATTGCAGCGAGGTTTGCAGAAATGTTCAGATCAAGTCTTTTATCAAGACAGATTATCAAGCGGTTTCCAGAAAGGTGCATTTCCTTTGAAACATTTATACGGCTTTAAACTGCACTGCTCACTGCTCATGTATGCAGACTTAAGCTGGTATCTGGTGGCAGTTGATCAGGCGTTAATATTACAGTGTAACTTAATGCTTCGGGCGAGGAGGGTGAGGGCCTCGAAACACATCTGAAAAGGCTGACTATACACTGCATTAGTGTGTGCCTGGAAACTCTGTTAGAGAATTAATGCTGCATGTTTTGCGCCTCACATTAACCACTGCTGGTATGTTTTTAATCTTGTCTCATTTATCAGACAACACCGACAGTGTGAGAAAAGACTTTTACCTATTTGCTCGAGAGCTCCTTCTTCATGCAGGACTTGAAAGAGATGAACTTCTCCTCCACTCGGACACCCTGTTGGTGTGTGTGTGTGTGTGTGTGTGTGTGTGTGTGTGTGTGTGTGTGTGTGTGTGTGTGTGTGTGTGTGACAGAGAGACAGCGAGAGAAAAAGAGAAATAGGGGAAAAACACCATGAGAACAGTTTCTTGTTGTCCCGCTAGGTGGCAGTATAATTTCACAAAAATCACTAACCACAGATGCCGAGGTGAGATAAAGGACAAAGTATGTGAGTAATGCTGCTGTCGTACACAGAATAAACTCAGGATATAAGGAGGATCGAACTGAACAATACACACTGGCAAGAGCAGTAATAAGACAAAAGTTGGAGTTTTAGATAAATATATAAAATCAGATGAACAATTTAATTTGATAAATATATTTACAAGTAGATAAATCAATAAATAGTTCTCAACAGGTAAAAGTGGTTAAACAAACTAATTAGTGCAATTTAGAGTCCTGCAACACTGAGTTAAGTGGATTTTCTTGTGGGTCATAAATGGGTTCACTTGTGTTGTTGACCACTTGCAAGAGCTTCGCATTAGGCTGACCACATCACTGTTTGTGCCACGTCCTGTTTATTTTAAAACTTTCTAAGAGAGTGTTAATAAGATGCTCGAAGCATGCACTAACCCGAGAGCTCTGGTAGAGAGCACAGCAGAGGCAAAGCTCATCCAGTTTGTAGCACATGCACTGATGTTGGGATCTTCACCTGGCAACAAAACAGACAGAAAATGACGCCATGATAAGTCCAGTGTGACTAACTGTAAACCGACAGATTAATTTCATTGAAGGCAGACTTGGATAATCTGCATCGCTCCTGCACTGAAGCTGCAGGCCAATTCTGTCTTATATTTACACACCAGAAATTAGATACTGAGAGAAACTGGAATATGAAAAACTCCTTGCACCTCTTAATCAAACAGTCAGAATGCCAGCAGTAGTTCTGCAAGCTGCAGAAAAAAAAATCTGGGTCCTCTGCAGTGACTACACCTGTAGATTTTCAGCATACAAAATCCCCTTATGAGTTTCAAACAGGCAACAAAACCCAGCAGCTCCTTTAAATATCTGTAATATCTGTCGATTCCTCCAGTTTCTTTAAATATCAGAAATAACACAGGGGAGTATTGCCAGAACAAGGTATGTTCACATGTGAAAAATTATAAGTTTATAACAATTTCTAACTTAAATTTGTAGAAAATTCTAATTACGCTTGGCAACTAACGCTGAACGCAAAAGAATGGTTAGAGATTTGTGGCTCTTTACAGTATTTGCTTAGATGAGAAGATTGAATCGATTCTCAGATCTGCTGGTTAATTATAAAGCTACTAGCTAGCAGGGCTGATTATGCATAGCTCAAAAGCCTAAAAGCGAACAAGTTGCAGTTCTGTGGTTGATATTTTATCAGTCTATTTCTTGGCCGGACACAGGACTTCCTTGAGGTTCTATGGTTGCCTAAGCAAACTCACAGTGACAAAAGACCCACAGGCAGTCCATAACATCTCACCAAAACCACAACTTTTCATTGGTTGTTTTTGACACAAATTAAACAAATCACACATAAATATTTTGTAACCTTTGAAAAGGCTAGCCTGTTTGTGCTAAGCTAGCTAACCACCCGCTGACTGTAGCTTCATGAGAGTGGTCTTCATCCAAAACTTGGTGGCAAAAAAAGTATTTCTAAAATTTCAAAATATTCCTTTAACTGCTGAAAAGTCACATAATAGTACCAAAGTGACATTGCCTGTTATTTGTCAGCTATTTTCTCATTTCTCTCAAAAATATCCCAATTTTTTTGTAGACATTTCATATTTGCAGCGAGGTTTGCAGAAATTTCAGATCAAGTCTTTATCAAGACAGATTATCAAGCGGTTTCCAGAAAGTGCATTTCCTTTGAAACATTTATACGGCTTTAAACGCACTGCTCACTGCTCATGTATGCAGACTTAAGCTGGTATCTGGTGGCAGTTGATCAGGCGTTAATATTACAGTGTAACTTAATGCTTCGCGAGGAGGGGTGAGGCCTCGAAACACATCTGAAAAGGCTGACTATACACTGCATTAGTGTGTGCCTGGAAACTCTGTTAGAGAATTAATGCTGCATGTTTTGCGCCTCACATTAACCACCGCTGGTATATTTTTAATCTTGTCTCATTTATCAGACAACACCGACAGTGTGAGAAAAGACTTTTACCTATTTGCTCGAGAGCTCCTTCTTCATGCAGGACTTGAAAGAGATGAACTTCTCCTCCACTCGGACCACCCTT